GTTACTGTTCCTAACTCAACTTTGAAACTTCACTACAGTGTTGGAAGATGTCACCTTAAAGGAAGAAAGAGAATTCTTCTTCACGGTAATTCATCAAAGTTACATCTCTGAACAATAATTCGTGAAATTGGTCTGATAGGAGTATTTTGTTTTATTCCAACCAGGTTTTTACTTTGTATATCAGTTGATGATAGATTAGATTGCCGAATGGTTAGCACGTGCGCGCTGTATCATAAGGTCTGTTATTGAGTCATATGGCGTGGTTGCGAATCAACAGTTGTACGTGACAAGGAGTAGGGTCGCCTGTCCAACCTCGTGGGTTTTCTCCGGGTCCTCCGGTTTCATCCCACTGCTAAAGACCCCTACGCGCAAGCGAATTATTGAAATAAAATTAAACCATATGTTAGTCCCGAAATGACCTAGTTTGTGTCGAGTGGACGTTAAACCCCATTTCTCTCTCTTTTCTCATATCAGTTGTTGAATCTTGTCTGAAATGTCGCCATTATCCAGTGTAAACCGAATGTCCTTTATAAAAGATACAGCCTTTTAGTCTTGACAAGCGAAGCTTCCAACTTTTTTGACGAGTAATTAACAAGGTCAACGCATCAAATAACAACAAAACTGATTGAGTTCTTCTAGATAAAGGTCATGTTTTGGGGGAAGGGGGGAGGGGGCATTAAATGGAAAGGGTAACATGATTCTTTAGCCATGGTCCAAGCTTTTATAATTTATATGTTGATTTTTTTTATTCTCGTTACCGGTACCTACAATATGCTTACTAAGGTGTAATGTATCGTTTTATTCAGAGAGTTGCACAGCTACCGTCAGCGAAAATACCATCACCAAGACCTCTTCCTCTTGCACCACACATGTCCAAAGTTCTGCTATCCAATGCGCTATGGAAGCTGAATTGAAGAAAATCCATGATCTAGCTCAAAAGGCCGCCGCACAAGCCGGTCGATAGATGTATAGGTAAAAGAAAAAATATCTAAACTAAGCTTTAAAAAGTTATTATTTATTTGTGGAAGAATATTTAGACTGTCAGGTTATTATAAGTCCACGACTGTAGCAAGGATTCTTGGAGGGTGTTGGGGGTGACTGTTGAGAAATGAGTTTATTCAGATATACGCGTACATTTCGAAACTGGGTGGCACTGCACATCTATACTAATATTTGTGCATGTCGTTTGTTTGTCTGTCTGTCTGGCTGTTCAGGGTTAGTGGCTACATTTTGACTGTACAGAGGTAGCCCACCACTTCCGGCCTGGTGGCGATGACCTACCACATCCGGTTTCGGAGTTATGTTATTTCCGGTGTATGGCTATACCTGGGCCATGTTTCTCGAAATCTTAACTAAGATAAAATCACAATTTTAGTAGATACTTTAATTTTGATTGGCTAAGCCCTAAAATCAACCTAATGTTATCCAATCAAATTACTAAAATTTGGATTTTATCTTAGTTAAAATTTCGTGAAACAGGCTCCTGTGCTACGCCGGGTCACCCGCTAGTTTGGACATAAAGGGAAGTATAACTACAAACTGTTGATGGATAAGTGTAAAGATGAAATAAAACATATAAACTATTTGTTTGTGGCAGAACATTTGGATTGTCTGTCCGCGACTGGTTGGTGTGGATGCTGGGAGATTGGTCAATTCACATACTATTTTGAAACTTGGGGATAATTGAGACTGTTTTGTAATGTCTAATATTCAATCGCCAATATCTCGGTTCAGAGTGGAGCAATTTGACTGAAATTTTCAGCAGATCCCCATTACATTATCTAGTTTTTAACTATTATAGCGAGAACTCAGTTGCGAATCCAGACCCCCCCCCCCCCTGCCCAGCTACATAATTTTTTTTGTAAATCAACACTTTCTATGAGAAAAGTTTCTCGGCCGTGTGCTTTATCCTTTATCGTCAGATATGGGACAGGCAGGGTGGGCACTCAAAGCACGAGATAATGATATAGACATTATGTGATATCACAATTAATGCTTTGCATCCATGAAATTGAATCACAATGTCATTGTATTAATTCATAATAAAATTTGACGCCAAACGAGGTGTTGAATTTCTCTGTTTAAAAAGCTCAATGTGTATGTATATACGCCAAAATGACGATAGAGACCATGCGGCAGGTGAAGGGGGGATACATTGTCTCAGGAACCTGGCAAACCCCCTCCTGCAAAAATTCCTGGATCCGCCCCTGGAACTGCCAGCTATTCATCTTATCGGATTGCTCATTTGGAAATAAGTAGACTCCCTATCACAGAGTTATCGCCGCTCTTATGAAGGCTACAGAAGAAGGTTCTTGACTGAATTTATCTTAGCATTGATGGAGTTTGTAGAGTATACATACATTAATGTTTGAATTTTCTATATCTGCCGGATTGGGGGTTACAGAGTGTGGGATCTTTTTTTTAAAATAAAGTTTTGATCATTTTTATTTTAAAATGTGGAAAATATAAGTAGTGTCGGGTGCCGTGCACCAGACAGAGTGTATTTTTATTCTGATTTGAGGAGTTTATATGACTAACCAAACTTTTGTTGTACTTCAGTATTCAAAGTATATTCAAAAACGCTGAATAAAGGTATAGTGTTTCTGAATTGTTTTTTCTAATTTCGAACAGTTCATTTGACAACACAGTCACTTAAAAAAAATGGATTAATATTGGCTTTCTCCCCCACACTGATAGAGAAAGAATCGATAATGTCCAGCTTGCCCCCCCCCCCCCCACACACACACACCACCAGTAACGTACCAACAACGATTTTTTTTATGTGAACTTGGGAGCCGAAGTCAAGTAACTTCTTGAAAATTACCAACAGCATTCACCATTGTTAAACGTGTGAAATTTCCCAATAAACGGGAAGTGACATCGATTGCAATCTGGTTAAAACACAGATCCTATTTCGTTTCGTTTTTTATAGTTCAAAATTTCATTGTCTTTACTACACCAGGATCTGGAAGAGTCGTTATATTACCGGCGTTTTGGTTGAAGTGAGGGATTAGCCAAAGAAACGGTCTGTACGGCGAGTTCTTGGCGTTACATGCAAGGAACTCTAGGTAAACCACTAGACACGTCAAGGCTGATTGATTAATCAATGTCTGACGTCATAGGGTCAATAAGCCGCTCGTACGACCCCTGACGCGACCTTCCAATACAACAGGTCAGATCTTCATGTTGTGTAGGCCATCGAAAGTATAAAAAAACGAAACGAAATATAGATCTGTAAGTTAATCAGATTTCATCGGTTGTTCCATTCTCCACGCAAGTCTCGCTATCCAGCATTCGACTGCAAGGGAAGACAACTCTGTTTGGGAGATTGCGGTTGTTCTAGAAAGAGTAACAATACGTGACTACATGTAATAGTAGATACGCCAAATGTAATGACGAAACACCTTTAGTTTTTAATGGCCAACATTTCACCTTATATCATTTAGTTTTTGTTTGATTAGGGTTGTTTGTTTTAGAAAACAATCTAGTATCAAACTTACTAATCAAAGGTCATTTCAAAGGTTCTTTTACGCTTCCGATCGATCTGACCCTATTCAAAATAAAACGACTATTTTAAGGCCCTCTCCTAACCGAAACAACATACATTTCATCCAAAAATGAGGAGAGAAGAACGACTTTATTGGAAATGTCGAGAGCAGAAATTTACTTTTTAGAATGGCTTGCAACTCACTTGTATTTTTTTCGATTTAATAAAAAAAAATAGAGTTATTATGATCAATTTCCTATGGCTGCTATATCAAATATGGCCGAATGGTTAGCACGTGCGCGTTGTATCATAACGTCTGTCAATGAGTCAACTGGCGTGGGTTTGATTCCCCGGTTGTACGTGACAAGGAGTAGGGTCGCATGTCCAACCTCGTGTGTTTTCTCCCGGTTCCCCGGTTCCCCCCCACTGCTGGGGGTTGGATGACTGAATGGTTAAGCGTGCGAGCGCTGTATCATAAAGTCTGTCATTGAGTCGACTGGCGTGGTTTCGAATCCCCGGTTGTACGTGGCAAGGAGTAGGGTCGCCTGTCCAACCTCGTGGGTTTTCTCCGGGTCCTCCGGTTTCCTCCCACTGCTAAAGACCCCTACGCGCAAGCGAATTATGTAAATAAAAAATTAAACCATATGTTAGTCCCGAAATGACCTAGTTTGTGTCGAGTGGACGTTAAACCCCATTTCTCTCTCTCTCTCTCTCCCCCCACTGCTAAAGGTCACTAGCCACTACGCGCAAGCGAATTATTGAAATAAAATTGAACCATATGTTAGTTAAAACTCTTTCTCTCTCTCTCTCTCTCTCTTTCTCTCTTTCTCTCTCTCCCAAAAACTGAATACGTGTTCAGTTAAATAACTTGCAACTATTGAATTGTGTGTTAGATTTATTCGTGTTATCAATGATTGGCGTAAGTAAATATACGTCTATTTGTTGGAAGTGGACTGAATAACATGTTAGCTAGTTTATCAAACACCATCTCTGTTTGATTCAAACAAATGTAAGATGTCGTTTCTGTTTTTAGACTGGATTCAAAAAGATTTAATGAACCTGTTCACGTCTCGTAATGAGAAGTTGACATAGAATCTTGAAAGATTCAACCGCCACTTGAAATCTCCTTAACGACGTAGCGAATCTGCTTAATAGCGTAGCCAAAATACACTCGGGGGGACTAGGTTTCCGATGACCTTATAACGAAAGATTAAAATTTTGTTCGAGATTAATGCGATTAGCTGAATATAAAGCTATTTAAGATATAATAATTAAATATGTTTATAAGAAAATGATTATGTTGGATCGATGTGTTTGCCGAGAGTTCTACCGTTTCTTTGTGCTGTAAGAGACCACTCAGCCCACAGCCCCTGCATCCGATAAGGCCACTTGTCAACAACATGTCATGATGTGCGCCAACCGTCTAGTATTTGAATATTTGGGTGTGAAGTGTACAATATAAGCTCTCTGACAGAGAATAACCATCGTGTTAATATGCGTTGTAAGGCTGTTTACCATAATGAGGTGAAGTCGGAGACAGTGACTAAATTGGTTAACATTTGACTTGAACCGGGCTGATGGAGACGCGAATTTGGTTTTTGCTGTTTTTTTCGGGGTTTTGCTTTTCGCAAACACCGCCAAATGATGCCCGATCTGGAACCATTTTACAAGGAACAGACGCACCTGCTACTACTACTGCCAGTGCTCCTCCAAGGAATACGGATCCCCTGGGTTTGCTGGACAACTACCAACCACAAGTTACATCTTCCGTTTTAAAGTTTATAGCTGAGATACAAACGAGAAGTTTGGAGAATGCTATTACTATACAGGCCCAGTTAAATGATCTAGGTAAGTCGAGGGTACATTTATTTCGTTTCGTTTTTCAAACTAAAAACTAGTTAGAAGTATATCGAAAATTGATAAATAATTTATTTATCTTTATTCATTAATTAATTAATTAATTAATTAATTAAATAATCAATAAAATGTTCTTTTACACGCCAACGAACAGACGAGTGGACATCGGTTTGAAGCTGGAAACGTAAAGCCATAAATTAGAATGAAAAAAAACCCCCGCATATTAAATTATTTATTAGGAAATGAATATTGAATATGGGGTGTATAATTCGTATTACTGATCGAGTTTTGTCAATTTTAAGGAAATTTATGGAAATTGATATCTTAGTCTGGCTCACGGATACATGGGGAAAGGAACACCCTTATGGTTCACTTACTACCTATGTGATTTTTCAAAAAATTTTGATTTTCTGTTTTTCTTTTCTTTCAAACATGTTCGTAATAAAAAACTCAAAATACTTTTTGATGTATTTATCTTTAATATGAACATTTTTGATAGTAAATATTATAGGATTTAGAACCAGATAGAAGGGAAAATAAAGAAAATTAAAATATTTGAAAAATATGAAGACAAAACTCCAGAAAATCAAGAACTTTGAAAAAATCACATAGGTGCACGGTGGCCTGGCTGGGTTCTCTACTCATTTCACTAACAAAACTTGATAAAACGTAAAAATAAATTTCAAAAACACACATAAAATTATGCAGGATTTTACACAGCTAACAAAGTTTAAAGGTTTTTGGTTGTATAATCAACTCGGAGTTTGTATTGAATACAGTCAGATTAAAATACAGATCTATATTTCGTTTCGTTTTTTTATACTTTCGACGGCCTACACTAGATGATGGTCACGTCAGGGGTGGCACGAGTGACTTTTGACCCTATGACGTCAGACATTGATTAATCAATCAGCGTTGACGTTTCTAGTAGTTTACTTACAGTTCCGTGCATCGCACACCAAGAACTCGCCGTAACAGATGGTTTCATTGGCTAATCCCTCACTTCAACCACAATGCGGGTTATATAACAACTCTTCCAGATCCTAGTGTAGTAAATAAAATTAAAACGAAATTTTGAACTATAAAAAACTAAACGTAATAGGATCTATGTTTTAATCAGATTGTATTGAGAATGTATTTTATTATTTATAGTATATTTCACACGTCGCGAAAAAAAACCCAAAAACAAGAAAACAATAAAACAGAGATAACATGCGTAAATATCAAGTGTTTCTGCGGCTCTTTTAAGGCAATCTAATTCAAACTTGATATTATTACCGTTCCGTTTATTCTGTTGGTTACTTCCTTGACGTCAAACCGCATGGTTAATGCCTTCTTCACACACTGCGATTTTCCCTACGATACGATATTATGCCTGCCTTAGCTCATCGTGATGTTTCACAACTAAGCGTGACATGGAGTCTGTAACGAATTGGGTGAAATCAATTTAATTTAAAAAAAATTTCATTTTGATTTTATAATTTGGCCCGAAATCAATAACTTGGCGTTTTTATGTTACTTATTAAATTGATTTGTATACTTATATTTTACTGAAAACAGAATTATAATCGACATCATTTCAGTCCTATCTGTAGGCACTTGGTTTCTTATAACAATCATCTGATTGTTGAAATGGAAAAAGAACTTAATTGTTAATATTTTATTTTAGCCGCCCTAAAAGCTAAGAAACATTTCGATGTTTTTGGCCAAAGACATCATTTCACTTACAATTTAACACGTAGGTTAGTTATTTCAAATGAAATCTGTAACCTGTCAAAATAGTTAAATTTGGCACAGTTTTTCGACATAATTCTGTTTGGGGTTAATTTTGTTCCAATACATTTTATAAAAGATTTAAATTCATTCTGATATGAAACTAAGTGATTGTAACCAGAGAGTATTTGGTAATCATTTTTATTTCAGCATATAGTCGAACACCTCTGATTCCAGATCCACGGTACTTTGATCCATCTAGATCCAGGGTAAAACGGCAAGCCACATCAGATGATGACGCACTACCCGAAGACCTGTTAAGAATACTTGGTAGAGATTCAGTCGATCAATCCACGCAACAGGAACCTCCACGTCAGCCTGGTACCTTGAACCCGCCATCCGGTTTACCACGCCCAGATCCAAACAACGGACCACCGTCACCAGGGTTATTCAGACAACCTGGCGGCTTTGATCTTCCGACAGGATTACCACGCCCCGGCCCAATCATCAGAGGACAACTTCCACCTTCTAATTTCTATCCAGGTTCAGATCCCCGTTATCAACGACCATCTGGAGAAACCCCGATTTTGAACCAAAGTCCCCCACCACAATACCTGAGAGGTCCGTCACAACCGCTGCCTTACCAAGCCTATCCGAGTGCTCAAAACAGTGGTGGTGATCAAACTGGCGACAGAAACACGGGTGACAACTCAAGGGACCAAAATACACCTATAAATCGAACCCCAACTCTAATTAGGATTCATCCACGGCTACCTGCATCCGATAATGGACAACAGAATTCGGCAGGAACTCAATCGGCACCCAATGGTCAAAGGACGCCGTTAGGACAACAACAGCCTCCACGCACTGGACTCACACAGGGTGGAATACAACGACCGCCAGCATTCAATCGTGACCAGCCCAGAACCCCAACATTAAATGGACAACCAACAGCAGGTAGACCGAGACCTCCAGTATTCGGCAACCCGACGCCTACTAATTTCAGGGGCCCTGCTATTCCCCCTGCAGGATCAGACGGACAACGACGGCCAATACCCCCAAGTGCTAACAGGCAACCGAATCTTCCCCCAGTTAACTTTAGAGGCCCACCTTTCCCACAAGCTGCCCCAGGACAGCAAGGAAGACCCGAGACACCTACTTATAACGGACAAACAAATAATAGGCCTGTTAATTTCAGAGGTCCTTCTTTCCAACAAAGACGATCCCAGCCATCCACTAATAACGAACAATCTAATCTTCCACCGATCAATTTTAGAGGCCCTCCTGGTTCAGGACAGCAAGAGAGACCACTTACTCCTACTAATAACGGACAACAGAATCGTCCACCAATTAATTTTATACGGCCTCCTGTCCGATCTTCTGGTTCGGGACAGCAAGAAAGGCCCGTGCCACCTCAAAATAACAGAGTCATCAATACTCCAGTTTGGCGCCTTCCTCTATATCGTTACCCCAATAGAGGGGTAATAAACAACAGTTCCTCCGTACCAGGTCCAACTTACGTGCCACAGGTTGTCAACTGGTCCGACCCTAGAAACAGACCAGCTGCAGGAAATGACTACAACCGATACACGCCACCTATTTCTCCCTATACTCCGAGTAATCCCAACTTAGCGGATTGGTTTGATCAGTTCGACAGACAGTTGGATCGCACGGAAGATCAACAGCGCAACCAGCCCCCATTGTACCCAAATAATAATATTGGTCAGCCTGACGGAACTTACCCTACTTACAATAAGAATTATCCATACAACCAGAATCCTAATTCAAGGTATCCATATAGCCCAGAATATGGCTACAGCTATCCGTACAATGGTGCTAATCAGCAACCCAGACCCACGCCATATCCTGGAGCTACCCCCAACCAATACAGATACCCAAACAATCCTTACTACAGACCTTCACCCGATTATGGTGATAACCTTTTATCCGGCTACAATAGAGGGAACGTACCAACTAGACAACCGTTTGTAAATCCAGGGGCAGGGCCAACCCGCCCAAACACACCTTACAATCTACCCCCGTACCCGAACCCACTTCAACCATCTACCCCATATATCCAAAGACCAGGACCCAATCGATTATCTCCACTAGGACAAACACCAAGTAACCCAATACGCCCATTTCCCCCAACATTAACACGATCTGGCACCCTGGCCTCGCCACCCAACGACCAAGCTGGATCTCCTCGTATTGGACAACCACCAGCTCTTAGAGCAGTAGCTGGTGAAGAAGAACACGACGAACCGTACCAAAATGTTCTCCAGAATCTCAATAGGTACCGAAATCTTATCCCAACATTGCGAGCAGTGGGACAGGGAACATCCGGACAACAGCAACAGGAACCAAGCTACGTAAAGGCTCTCGCCGTTCTTCGATCTTTTATTCCTGGAGAGACGTTTGTCTACAATGGCTACATAGTCCAGAATTTCTACATCTATGGTGATTACGAGATGGCTAAAGAACATTTCAGATCATTACCAAATGTGAACGTTACTTATTCAGACACGGACAAATATTCGGGTTATACGGGTACCATTCAAAATTACCGAGTTACGCTGTGTGAAGCATGTGGTTTAGGGCAAAGATATCCCGTTATTGAAATTGTGGGATTAACAAAAGTCTATCCTGGGGTTGTAAAGAGATTTCTGTACAGCCCGAGCTATGATCCAATGGTAGATCCAATGATTAATCCATTAAACGCACCAACTGGAGTTGTACCAACAGTACCACCAGTGTAACGCTAAATAAAAATCGTAATTTAATTACATTCTTCCAGAGTTATTTTTATAGGTCAGCTTGGTTTCAAACAGCATGTGCAGGACGGAGGACCTGACAAGGACAGCTGTCTAGTCGTTCGGATGGAACGAAAAACCGAGGTCCCATTGACGTGCACGTAAAAGATCCCTCGACAGTTGGAATTCGATATAAGAGTAGGCCGTAGTGCCGCTGTCCGGGCAAAATTTCCCTCATAACACACTTTATTAGCCAAATTTGGAGCAAAAGAGTAAGACGTTAAACAGCATGTAATCTGCACTTAACCCCCCCCCCCCCCCAACATTTTCTTGTGCTCTTAAGTTTATTCCATGTGGTGCATAGCATGTTTAACCAACCCTTTCATATCTCTTGTCATATCTCTTATAACATCCACCAGCAGAAAAAGCGCCCGTTTTAACCCTAAATCGTTGTCAACAAATCCCACAGTGCTAAAATCAATTATGAAATGTGTCCCTAGCTTAGAAAGCAGATTTAAATGGCAAGATATAACTCTGCGAAACTTGTTCGAAATTTATGACCTTTCCTTATGTCCCAAATTGTCGCTAGGGCATTCACTAGATTGTGCAAAGTTTGAAAAGTTATCAAGGACCGTAACTCCAGAAATAACTGATGGAAATTGTCTTCTTGATCTCACTGATGTCGACATGATACGTCTAATGCACAAGGGATGAGTCAAACCACCAGGTACAGTAACTTTTATGACAGATGTTGACTTGGAGATACCAATGTCTGTCAGAAACCCTGGGAGATTAAGATGTTTCTAAATAGATTACCCACTGGACAGAAACTAGGTCATTTCAGGTCTAACACACGGTTCAATTTTATTTCAATAATTTGCTTGCGCGTAGGGGTCTTTAGCAATGGGAGGAAACCGGAGGACCCAGAGAAAACCCATGGGGTTGGACAGGCACCCTACCTCTCGTTTCGTACAAGCGGTGAATCGAAACCCAGCCAGTTGACTCAATGACAGAGCTAATGATACAGCGTGCACGTGCTAACCATTCGGCCACCCAACCCCGCCGTTCTCATTGAACTGAAGGGCTGGTGTTTGAAGTATGTATTTCTCTACTGAAACCACATCCATAAACATGAAACCAGTCGGTCAATGGTACAATATAAAATGTTCCTTAATTTTTCACTCGGTTCTTTAAATTGTACTGAAGCCAAAAGATCTGTCCTTAGCAAATTAATGTCATCGCCAAAATTCTATTTTATTTTTTTTCATTCCACCAGAACACCCCATCACATGTTACTAGAACATTCACAAGACACATAAGGCGAACATCCCATGAAGTAATTGTGGAATATTGTTTTTAAATCACTAGGATTTTTCTTTCAATTATCAAAGCTGTAAAGTCTGTCTAGATCAAAAAGATCTTTCAATGTAATCAAAGGCCGATAACTCTGTAAGAGATCTTTGGACATGCCTAATATTCAAATTAAAACAAGCATGAAATCTGAGTTAAACAGAATATGTCTATAATGCCCAGGACAGTATGTAATAAATAACAACCAAAGAAATATACAGGTTGAGAAAATATATCTGGTTTATTTACAAACTTTGTCCAAATTTGACAAAAAAAACAAACAAAAGTATTTAGATCTATTTGCTTTATATAGACAAAATAAAAAACAAACAACCAACCACTCACTCCCTTTAAACTGTGAGCGTTAACAAACTTGTTCACTCATACTATAAATTAGTCCAAAATGTCTGACTCCTTCCCAGGTTTTTAAATAGATATTTTTAGAACTGGAGAGTCAGAATGCTGTTATTAGTTTTCGAATCGTTGATCAACTGTTGTTTTAAATTTGCTTTACGAAGCTGCCATTTTTTTTTTAAAATCCCTTTGAAATCCTAACAGTTTTACTTTCCAGATATATTGCTGGATTTTATTATTTGTTTAAAGATATTGACAAGCGATTTGTCTTTTGTTTTGGATAAATCAGTGACAGAAAGATCGGAAAGGTGTGTGTGTTTGAGAGAGAGAGAGAGAGAGAGAGAGTGGGGTTTAACTCCCCTCAACACAAACTAGGTCATTTCGGGACTAACATATGGTTCAATTATACATGTATTCCAATAATTCACTAGCGCGTAAAAACCGTGCCAGTTGACTCAATGACAGACCTTATAATACAGTGCGCACCCCCAAAAACTCGTCGTTTTATTAGCTAATCCCCCACATTATATAACAACTCTTCCAGATCCTAGTGTAGTAAAGACAAGTAAAACGAAATTCTGAACTATAAAAAAAACGAAACGAAATAGGATCTGTGTTTTAATTAGATTGGGTTTTTATTTGTCGATATTAAATTGGTATGGATCACTAAATATCAATATAAAGTGCTTTTGGACTCGATTTAAAAGTTCTTACATACGAGAGATAAAACTCAATACTGGAGTTTTACCTCAAATATATTGGATATGACTTATCGATGTTTATGATACAGGAACAGAAACAATTTTATCTACAACAACAAAGTGATTATATATCTATAAAAAACAAAAACAATATAATAAATATACACCAATCAATAATCTTTGGATAATATTAAAGGACTACAAACTTAAACACAGTGTATAGAAATATGGTTTAAATCTTCTGGTAGTCTCATACAAACAGTCTAAATAATCTCCACTTTGATCAAACAAATATTAGTGAAGTAAAAGTGATTTTCCTCCGAACCAATTGAAGTACACAAGAGAAACTCTGTATGATCTGTGACACTGTCATTTCATTCAGACTGATATTTGTGGTGGTTGAAGCGGGAGACGAACGTTTTGGCCAGTGGACATTTCGGCCTAGGAGAAAACAAACAAATCAATCTGGCCAAAACGTCCTCTTTTTTTAAAAAAAAGAATTGGCTGAAAAGTCTCGAGACGTAATGTCCTAGTCCGAAATGTCCAGTGGCCGAAACATCCTACATTCAGTTGAAGCAGAGGCAAGTTTGGCTAGGTGTGATTGAAACAAAGTAATTCTAACAAATTTGTCTTTTTATGTTAAAATTACCTTAGTTGTGTTCTACCCTTTCCAGTTCTGTTTCTATCATGAATACAATCTATTATCTATTTATTAATTTGTATAACGAATAACAGAGCTATTTGTCAAACGAATAAATAACAGAGCTATTTTTCAAACGAAAAAAATGATGATGTTTGGATGTGACCACTGATGATGAGCAAATAATTTTGATAGCTATTCCATTAAAGTATGGTTGCCCAGCAACGAAACATATGCCCACAGAAGCTAAACAGTCCATAAAGGTAGTTGCATTTTTTAAATTTTTAGTAGGTAATGGGAGTTTTCACAAGGCCCATAAACCTGATCATAAGTAACAATCCATGAGTAACAAATGCATGAGTAACAATCCATGAGTAACAAATGCATGAGTAACAAATGCGTCTTCCTGAAGCAACCATGAAACAAAAACCATGACTGTAATCAGATGAAAACACTCTGCTGTTTGAGTAATTACAAAATGTTAAAAATCAGGATTTTTTTTTTCTCATAAAAATAAACACTGTGTATGAATTATAAATTGGATGACAACTTTTGCCTCTAGAGTGTCCTCAAGAATTTTCAAAGCAATCAAGGGCAATAAATCTGACAGTAATGATGGGAAATTGTTGAACATCAGTTGAACCAATCTGATTAAAACACAGATCCTATTTCGTTTCGTTTTTAATAGTTCAAAATTTCGTGTTACTTGTCTTTACTACACTAGGATCTGGAAGAGTTGTTATATTACCGCCGTTTTGGTTGAATTGAGGGATAAGCCAATGAAACAGTCTGTTTTGGCGACTTCTTGGATAAACCACTAGAAACGCCAACGTTGACTGATTTAATCAATGTCTGATGTCATGGGGTCAAAAGCCGTCTGTACAACCCCTGACAACTTGTCAGATCTTCACGTAGTAGAGGCCATCGAAAGTATAAAATAACGAAATGAAATATAGATCTGTATTTTATTCAGATTGATGATGAACCTAACTATTAAGTATAAAACTATCTGATGATGATAACTCTAGCTCCTGGACAGACAGACAGACAGACAGACAGTGACAACAACATACAACCAAATTTCAAAGTGGGCGTACTAAAAGAAAAGAACATAAATGAAAAATTGCCTTTCACTTAAAACTAATTTCCTGTTACTAAACCATGGAGCTTAGAATACACAAATATGGATACATTTCAAAATATATACATATTTACATACTATATATAGGACATAACAGTAACAATAACAAGATGGGAACTTTATGGTGGGGCAAAAATATCACTGGTTATCTCTAGCAAACAATTGGAATGATATCATAATATACATATTTAAAAAACCCAACAAAATGTTGAAAACAGAATTTCTGACTAGAGACTTATTTATGAAAATTTGATAGAAACTTATAATCTAAATTAAAGATGCACTATGTAAGAGATAAATCCAGGGGCGCCGGAACCCAGGTACCAGGTATACAAATGGTACCCTGCCCTTTTCTGGGGTATACATGTATACCCATGGCCTAATGATGAAAGTTTGCAACCTTTTTACTAGTCTATTCATTTGTTAATAATCCGTCTTTTGTATTTTTCATTCTCATGTATTTTAAAGGGTTTTATGTTGGAATTTGGAATGCTAGAGGCACTCTAAACAGTGTTCTCGGAATTGACAAATTTCAAAATTTTCTAGAGGCCTGGGGGAGAGAACCCACCCGGAACCACCCTATCTTTTGGTACCCTGACAGCGCCCCTGGATAAATCTGTTTTACTGCTGGTTGTTTTTTCTTACTTCAAATGTTATAAAAATTATTATTTAGTACACATGTTACTTTATTTGGAAGCAGAAAAACTTTATAATATATGGCTGATCCCTTTAGGTTTTTGGTAGTACAACCCCCCCACCCACACCCCCCACACAAACCCACCCTCTCCCAAATATAAGGCTCCTCTGGATAATCTTGGCAACAATGGAATTGAAAGACCACATAAAGAAAGACAAATATGATTTATCATAATGTATGTACATAATATGATTTATCATAATGTCTGTACATAGTTGTGAATATTTAGAATCATTCTGTCTAATTGTAGTAATCCACCTTCTAGAATTTCCCTGAAAATAAAACAAACAATAATATAAGACGAGACACCAAGTTTAATGACCTTGGCATCATTTCATGGCACAGAACTAGGTTTTTTTTACAGCTGGTTTCTTATATTAAACATCTCTATTCAAGAGCAGAACACAGTTTTATGGGAAATCAACAATCACTAGTTTTATGGGAAACCAACAATCACTAGATTTAATGGGAAACAATCACTAGTTTTATGGGACAAAATCACTAGTTTTATTCTTTTTGTCAGTTTTTTAATCTCTTCAATCTGGTTATCAAGCACAATGACATTTAGTAAAAACGAGAGAGATAGAGAGAGACAGAGAGAGAGAGAGACAGAGAGAGATAGAGAGAGAGACAGAGAGAGAGAGAGATGGGGTTTAACACAAACTAGGTCATTACGGTACTAACATATAGTTCAATTTTATTTCAATTATCATTTGCCCATAGGGTCTTTAACTATGAAAGGAACCAGGAAACCCGGAGAAAACCCACAAGATTGGACAGACTACCCTTCACCTTATCATGTACAAACTGGGAATCGAAAATATGTCACTTGATTCATTAAAGGAGTTTATGATACAACGCGCACAATTACTAATTTAATCGGGGGATGATTCTAATTCTTCAAAATTATAACATGTATTATACAAAACTGTATTGATTTCAAATCAAGCGGAATTCTTTAGCGTATGCACAAGATTTTCCAATAGGCTTCTTCGTTTCATGGCCATAATGACTGTGTATATATAAATATATAAAGTCAATCAGATAACTGTAGACTCTGAGTATCCACATGATTCTGCTTTATCTCATGACTGTAAACACTATCTGACCGACGACGGACAGGCAGGGGTGATAACAATATACACATTTCATTTCATTTTTATCCTGAAAGACATCCAATGATCTCTGATATATTTAACCAGAGAGAGAGAGAGAGAGAAAAATGGGGTTGAACGTCCACTCGACACAAACTAGGTCATTTCGGACTAACAGACGACCCTACTCCTTGTCACGTACAACTGGGGATTCGAAACCACGCCAGTTGACTCAATGACAGGCCTTATGATACAGCTCACGTGCTAACCATTTGGCCATCCAACACCCCCCCCCCCCCCCCCGATATATTTAACAGTAACTTACCTCTTACTTGGATTGGTAAAATAGCACACAACAGTCTGAGTAGTTAATGGCCTTGGGGACTGAAATAACAATAATAATAATACCAGTTTGAAACATGGGTTGCCAGTCAATGTAATATGCCAACGTTTACACAGTACTTTGGGTTTTCATCACACAGTACTTTGGGTTTTCATCACATCGGAACAATGAACCAGGAACTCTTTTGTGAGCCAGCATCTTACTGGAGAGAGAGAGAGAGAGAGAGAGAGAGAGAGAGAGAGAGAGAGATGGGATTCAACGTCCACTCGATACAAGCCAGGTCATTTTGGGACTAACATGGTTTAAATTTATTTCAATAATTCGCTTGTACGTAGGGGTCTTTAGCAGTGGGATTAAACGATCCTTCAACAAAATAAAACCACATCTATACAAACCTGACTCCCACATCAGATCAATCTGATCAAAACACAGATCCCATTTCGTTTTGTTTTTTTATAGTTCAAAATTTTGTTTTACTTGTCTTTACTACACTAGGATCTGGAAGAGTTGTTATATAACCCATATTCTGGATGATGTGAGGGGATTAGCCAATGAAACCATCTGTTATAGCGATTTCTTGGTGGACTCTGCATGGAACTGTGGGTAAACCACTAGAAACATCAACGCTGAGTGATTAATCAATGCCTGATGTCATATGGTCAAAAGCCACTTGTATGACCCCAGACGCGACCTTCCAATACAACTGGTCAGATCTTTATGTAGTGTAGACCATCAAAAGTATAAAAAAAGAAACGAAATATAGATCTGTATTTTAATCAGACTGGCATCAGATTTTATGTAAGGAATGTCTGCGAACCTGAGTTTTTTGGGGTTAATTTGTGTGAAGATTATATGCAAGAATTATCTGTGAACCTGAGTGTTTTGGGGTTAATTTGTGTGGCACAACATATCTATCCAGTAATCTTACCTTTAAATTTATTCTAGACAAGAAGGCATTCAAACAACATATCTATCCAGTAATCTTACCTTTAAATTTATTCTAGAGAAGAAGGCGTTCAAACAGTGGGTAAAACTTTCAAACTTTCCCCTATTCAGGTGAACATCTTGTGGTGATATAGTTAGGCAGGATGAAAACAGTTGTTTTAACTCAGTTATTACTGGTATAATCAGGGATAAATTAAAGGCAGGATCATCCAGTTGAGGTAAATGGTTGCTAAAAGGAAAACATTTGATAAAATGTTACCTAGAAATGTCACTGAGAGGAATATTAGCTATCTAAACATACATACATGTAGGCAGGCCGATAATATGACACAGATTATAAACATGGACATAGGGTCTTCAAAGATAAATTAAGATTTTGACTTTGACCTGCTTGCTAGCCTGTGATTCCAACCCTACAATCATACAAAGTATCACCATTTAAATCCAAGATTTGTAACGAATGGATTGATCACTACAGGGCAGACTGATTACTACAGGGCAGATTAATCACTACATGACAGACTGAACACAACACGGCAGACAGATCACTACAGGGCAAAATGTTCACTACAGGGCAGACTGATCACCGATGAACAAATTTAAGTTTCAAAATGAACAGAGTCTTTACAAGAAATTGTGGACGATGGACTGACGGAGGCGAAGGCAACATATAACCACCTTTCCATGTGGGCATATAAAAACGTACCAGAAGTCATTGATAGTAGACCAGATCAGCTGAAATCTATCTTGAAGACTAGTTAATAGATCTTCTTCATCAGTCATTGACTCAATCTATAAAATATAAACCATTTACAACTATATCACTAGCTTCTCCTACATGGAGATTTGCTGACTTATTCATAAATTTCAAATACACTACATTTACAGTTTATTAACCATTTACAACTATATAATTAGCTTCTCCTATAATACATTTACAGTTTATTAATTGTCTGATTAAATAATTCAAGGGTCATTCTTAATCTATGTGTTGGATGTCCGAATGGTTATCACGTGCGCGTTGTATCATAAGGTCTGTCATTGAGTCAACTAGTGTTGTTTCGATTCCCCGGTTATACGTCCAACATTTTGGGTTATCTTTGCGTCCTTCGGTTTCCACTCACTGCTAAAGACCCCTATGCCCAAGCGAATTGTTGAAATAAAATTGAACCATATGTTAGTCCCGAAATGACCTAGTTTGTGCCCAGTGGTAGTTAAACCCCATTTCTCTCTCCCCAATCTTAATCCTTCAATTACATACGACTATAAGCAGAAATGGGACTCATACACAACACAGAGTATACCAACTCTAGAACTCAAGATGTCATTCATTGAATTTACATGGCTACACTGTAACCCAGGTATCATTTAATCTTGTGTCACATTCATTCAATATCTTTGTTTAAAAATCTGTGAAAATCGTTTAAATTCACTAAAAATTATCTAATTTATACCCGAGTCCAGCTTAGAGCTGACCATTCAATTTTGATAAAGAGTGTCCAATTTACAAGCGTTTATTTACTCGCATCACTGTTTTAAAATAATCAACCCAATTGATTTATGATGTATAATGATTAATTTTTGAACAGTGGTCAGGACTTAAAATACTTGTACACTGGACATTCATTATCAAAGATTTGATATTAAATGAATGTGAAAGAAATTAGTGCTAGATACACAAGATTAAATGATACCTGGGTTACAGTGAATATCTGTTTTACTTCTTGTAGAATAAGTTTATATTATTAAATAGCCAAGAATATTTTTATAGGCATCCTCAAAAAGATTACTCAGTTTAGCAGCGACAGATGCCATGCATGGGAAAGGTATGCATGCTCTTTTAAAACATATACCACTTTTCATTCAGCTATTAATGTTTTTGTTGTGATTTTTTGTCTCTTACCTCTGATAAATCATCAACAGCTAAAGAAGAACTTGGTGGGGAATGAAATCTGATTGATTTTGATTGTTTAACTGGAGTACATTTAGACAGAAGGTCATCTAAGTTTCTTTTACACGTTCTTAAAATACCATTATATCTATAAAATATAATAAAATACTATTATATCTATAAAATATAACAAAATACCATTATATCTATAAAATATAACAAATTACCATTATATCTATAAAATATAATACAATATCATTATATCTATAAAAAAAATAATATAACATGTTATAAAATACTATTATATCTATAAAATATAACATGTTATAAATTACTATTATATCTATAAAATATAATACAACATGTAATAAAATACCATTATACCTATAAAATATAATATAACATGTTATATCTATAAAATATAATAAAATAACATTATATCTATAAAATATAACATGTTATAAAATATAATACAACATGTTATAAAATACCATTTCGGGACCAACATATGGTTCAATTTTATTTCAATAATTTGCTTGCCGTAGGGGTCTTTAGCAGTGGGAGGAAACCTGAGGACCCAGAGAAAACCCACAAGGTTGGACAGGCGACCATACTCATTGTCACGTACAACCGTATTGTGTATGGCCTGAAAATCTGTAATTGCCTTAAATGTGAAATATTGTGGCTTTAAAATCTATATTTGTACATTTATTACTTACGATTGTCTGGTTTCACAAACTGTCATAAATGCAGTTACCATCTCTATTAAATTTTTCACATCTTCTACACTCATATCTACAACAGAAAGTCTCAAATAAAATCAATTACCGCAAAAAATAATCCTGAATAAACATTTAGCAAAAACATATACTGAATAAACATTTCGTCTATGACTATAAATCTATGATATATATGGATAATACCTATTTATATAAAAGTGAATTAAAATCGCCAGTAAAATTCATGCTTCAACAAGGAAATGAAATGAAATGAAATGAAGTTTAACGTCCTACTGTTCTGCTCCTATACTGGGCTAATGAAGATGGGCATACGCCATACAGTGTGCTATGAGGGAAATTTTGCCCGGGCAGCAGCACTATTGCTTACTCTTATATCAAATTCCAAATGCCAAGGGATCTTTTACGTGCATTCTAATGCATACACGGGACTAGACAGCTGTACTAAGTCAGGCCCTTCGTTCTGCACCACTGACAAGGGGAAACCACGTCAGAAAATCCAGATGAGAGAGAGAGAGAGACAGAAATGGGGTTTAACGTCCACTCGACACAAACTAGGTCATTTCGGGACTCACATATGGTTCAATTCTATTTCAATAATTTGCTTGTGTGTAGGAATCTTTAGCAGTGGGAGGAAACCAGAGGACACAGAAAAACCACTAGGTTGGACAGGAGACACTACTCCTTGTCACATACAACCAGGGAATCGAAACCACGCCAGTTGACTCAATGACAGACCTTATGATACAGAGCGTACACACTAACTATTCAGCCATACAACCACCCTAGATGATATTCTGGTTATGAGATGAAATGAAATGAAATGAAATGGGGTTTAACGTCCTACTGTTCTGCTCCTAACCTGGGCTAATGAAGACGGGCATATACGCCATACAGTGTGCTATGAGGGAAATTTTGCCCGGGCAGCGGCACTACGGCCTACTCTTATATCGAATTCTAACTGCCAAGGGATCTTTTACGTGCACGCCAATGTGTACACGGGACCTCGGTTTTTCGTCCCATCCGAACAACTAGACAGCTTTCCTTGTCAGCCCCTCCGTCCTGCATCACTGACAAGGGAGAACCACGCCGGAAAATCTGGATGAACTTTCTCGGCCAATGCAAGGATCGAACACCCGACCTCCAGGCTAGCGAGCTAGCGTCTTACCCACTTAGCCACGTGATCCCCTTCTGGTTATGAGACTAGTGTCCTAATCACCCGGCTAACATATACACCTCCCCTCCCCCTCCCTCAATTACCCCTCCCCTCCCCTCCCTCAATTACCTGGATTTTTTACTTTATCAACTATATCATTAACTAGATATTCTTTCTTCCTTGGTAATATCATTCCAAATACGGCCATCCAATGTCTAAAATTAATACGTAAATATTACAAAATATAATTCAATTGTTTAAACATACATTATGCAAGAGCTAAATCTGTCTATTGCAGGTCTTTCTTTAGGCCTGAAATGTTATCTTAATTATTAATTAGACATTAATTAACATATCCAGACTATAACCAACTCTAGATGGCATCGCTAGCCTGCGATCTTTAGTGGATTATGAGCCGATTTACTGCATAACTTTCCTTCACAATTTAACGATTAAATGGATAATCGAGACTATGCTGTTTATTGTACTGTCTTTAGTAATGATGATCGAGGCTAGGCGGAAATTTCAATCGCTTAGTTTTCGGTTCATAGTGGATCAATTTGAATGAAATTTTCAGCAAATTGCCTTTATATTATTTAGTTTTTAACTATTATAGTGAGAACTGCCAACTCGTTATGAATCTCCCATAATGTATCTTTAAGAGATTCATTCTTAAACATACATTATACAACAGCCCTCAGAGAGAGAGAGAGAGAGAGAGAGAGAGAGTTTAACCTCTAGGTCATTTCGGGACTAACATATGGTTCAGTCTTAATTCAATAATTTGCTTGCACATTGGGGTCTTTTAGCAGTGTGAGGAAACCCGAAGACCCGGAGAAAACCCTCGAGGTTGGACAGGCAACTCTACTCCTTGTCACGTACAACCAAGAAATTGAAACCATGCCAATTGACTCAATGACAGACATGATATAACGTGCATGCGCTAACCATTCAGCCATCCACCCCCCCGACACTATATCATATAATTGACAACAAAACATAATAATATTTACTTTTGAAAACATTCCATGATATCTAGAGCTGACCACGGTGGTTTGCGATATACAACAGACTTCCTGTAATAAATAATAGCAATTAAAACATTTTACAATACAAGCATAAATAAGGCTCACTTTAAAAAAAAAAAAATTTTTATTCTGAAACTGAAAGGGATTGAGAATTTTTGACGACTTGGATCAAATTATCTCATTTTAAACCTATAAATCCAGCCAACATTTACTTTCGCCACAGATGAAACGTAGGTCTACAAATACCAGATTTGGTCATTTTCAATTTTTACGAAATGAATAACCATAAAATGATCTAATTTTGACTAATTGTCATTCTTACCAAATATTATTGAAAGCATCTTTCATTTCTGTCTCGAGCACCACACTTAGTCCGGTTTTTATTTCTTCTTTTACTTGACATAAAATCTCATCAACCTAAATGAAATGAATTTAAACGAACCTACATTAAATAAAATGGAAGTAGTGGTTCATTAGCCTACATTAAATAAAGTGAAAGTAATGGTTCATTAGCCTATATTAAATAAAGTGAAAGTAATGGTTCATTAGCCTACATTAAATAAAGTGAAAGTAATGGTTCATTAGTCTACATTAAATAAAGTGAAAGTAATGTTCATTAGTCTACATTAAATAAAGTGAAAGGAATGGTTCATTAGTCTACATTAAATAAAGCGAAAGTAATGGTTCATTAGTCTACATTAAATAGAGTGAAAGTTGTAGTTGATTAACCTACATTAAATAAAGTGAAAGTTGTAGTTGATTAGCCTACATTAAATAAAATGAAAGTAGTGATGCACTGGCTGTGCATATAGCGAGCGATGGAGAAAAAGAGAGAAAGGGGGTTAATCTAATCAACATTAGCCAAGTCATTTTATAAGTTGGAGGAAACTGGAATATTCTACTCCTTGTCATGTACAGGCGTGGAATTGAACCCATGACTCGCATAGATAATGAACCTTATCTCCAGTGAGTGCATTGGATCACTTGGCCACTAAGCTCCCCCTGGAAACATTTACCTGCACTGTATTACATTTTTCACACCCCAACCCTGGAAACATGCTAATCAGATACATTAACAGTTGGAAGAAGCAAACTTCAAAGGGTTAAACAGTGTGAAAACAAACCAACATTTTTAAACCTACCAATTTTCTTTTATCAAACTGCGAGATCCCGCCAGGTGTAGTGATGGCTGGATGTTCTTGTTTAAATGACGAGATCCCACCAGGTGTAGTGATGACTGGATGTTCTGGTATAATTGTACTATAGGATGACTGGGAAGGAGATGGAGAAGGCTGCAACATACACGCTGGAAAAATAAGGATCAAAATTCAACCAGGACGTTAATGAGACCGTTTTGGCTGGTAATATCCAGCTGATACATCAGCAGCTATGCGTCTACGTACTTTTAATTTTACAACATTGCCTGTTTAAAGCTGTGAAACAATTTGATCAAAAAGATTTATACCAGTATTTCTGTTGAACTTTTTTCAGCTTGATTAAAAGAAAATCTCGGACATGCATCTTGGCTTTAAATGGTATACCGTCACAATAACCAAAAGCCAAATTATTAGATTTTTGGGGTTAGCATTTCGATCAATTCAAAATTTATATGGAATACCAAAATCTTTTTTTGTATTCCAAATTTGAATTTTCTTAGTTAGGAATCCGAACTAAACATCTAGAGTGAATCCAACACATCTAGAGTGAGAATCCAACACAACTAGAGTGAGAAGCCAACACATCTAGAGTGAACCCAACACAACTAGAGTGAATCCAACACAACTAGAGTGAGAATCCAACACATTTAGAGAGAATCAAACACATCTAGAGAGAGAATCCAACACATCTAGAGAGAATCCAACACATCTAGAGTGAATCCAACACATCTAGAGTGAATCCAACTAACATCTAGAGTGAGAATCCAATACATCTAGAATGAATCCAACACATCTGGAGTGAATCCAACACATCTAGAGTGAATCCAACACATCTAGAGTGAATCCAACACATCTAGAGTGAATCCAACACATCTAGAGTGAATCCAACACATTTATCAAACCTGCCCATTCAGCTGTAAAAACCTCCAGTAATAAAACAAACTTACTAACCTTGAGATATATGTTTTCTGTACGATGAAATGCCATGATGTTTTACTAGATTTTTTAAACCACTGAATACTGTCTGTAAGAAAATAAATAAATAAACACATGATCTATCTTTTACATGTTTCTGAATATTGTCCATAGTAGACCACTCCATGTTAAAATATAATACTGATCTAAATGATAATTTAGGCAATATAATATAGTAATGATCAATATATTACTTACGTTTTTAGTAAAGGCTTGCATATGATTAATACTGGCTTTATTACATAGATTTATATCATCTGTTAATAGTACAATACAAGCATTAGGATCTGAAACAAAACATCAACATAAATATCAGTTACCAGCAAATATACCAAAATCATTTCTTGATAAATATGTTTTTAAAGCAGCAGTGAGGGACACTACTTAATACCTTATCGTACAATCAGGGGCCATAATCTATATGCATGAATATCTACAGGAACCAAGATCTTAGGGATATAAACATATTTCAAGTTTCATCAAAATCTGATAAAAACTGGGACTCCAACCTTGGTATTGCATACTTTTACACTATTTGCGTACATTTTGTCAGGCATGAAAATGTGGGTGTATAAAAACTGTGAGACAGGGTTGATAATAATTATCTGATACGTACATTTGATATGATGTCTAAGATAACACTGTAATACTCTATCATCATTACAATCTATAGGTAAACCTTCTACTATCTGCTGGGACTACAAATATACCAAAATAAATTTATTCACATTCAGAAATTTAAACACTTAATAAAATAAAACACAGCTACTGTATGTTAAACATCAGAAAATAAAATACTATAATAGGTTGATGTTTGTACAAAGTTTCAATAAAATTTCTTTAATGGATAATGAAATATGCTCCGGAACTGAAATCGGGACGGAAGGAACGGTTATCAGAAAATAAAATAGGTTGATGAATGTGAAAGTGTTATAAAGATATCTTGAACAGTTTCTTAGATATACTCTAGAATAATAATTATACACCAAAATGTAAGTCAAATTTATGTCAGGAAACGATATCGAAACGGACGGAGACACAGACAAAGCCCATTTCAATATCCCTCCCTAACTTCGCTCGGCGCGGGATAATAGTACTTACATCAGCTGGTGTTTGACCTCTGACCCTGGGATGACCAGATTGTAGACAGGAAAACAGAAATTTTACAGCTTTAAATGCTTTATCCTTAGTAAACTGATTCTGAAATAATAACCAAATGATTAAATAATAACCAAATGATTCAATAATAACCAAATGATTCAATAATAACCAAATGATTCAATAATAACCAAATGATTAAACTGATTAGATAAAGAGCCGACAGTTCTCACTATAACAGTTCAAAAAAAAAAAGATAATGAAAACAGAATATGCTGAAAAATTTCTTTGCCTTGATTTTAAAATTTAAAAGGGGGCTACTTGATGACTGTCAGACGCATGCCCCAAGTGAGGTTTAAAACTCTTTTGTATCTAAAGGGAGAGAGATGGAGAGAGAAATAGGGTTTAACGTCCACTGGACACAAACCAGGTCATTTCAGGACTAACATATGGTTCAATTTTTATTTCAATAATTCTCTAGCGCGTAGAGGTTTTAAACATTGGGAGAAAACCGGAGGATGCAGAGAAAACCCACAAGGTTAGACAGGCGACCCTACTCCATGTCACGTACAAATGGGGAATCGAAACCCTGCCAGTTGACTCAATGACAGACCTTATGATACAGTGCACACGTGCTAACCATTCGTCCATCCAACCCCCCTTGTTACTAAAGAAAATTGTATTAGAAATGACTTACTACATTGTGTCGTGATTTACCATCTTTTATATAATCTAATTCTTGCATCACAATCCATGGTATTACTATATATGGTAGACCAAATCCTGTATATATAAATATAACATTTAATATAAACTAACTCTAGCTTGACTTAACAATCCATTCTGAACATCTGAGACATGCTACCTGCGCAGAAGTATCTCAGACCCAGTCAGTAGCCATGATATCCATATCATGTGATCTACACATCACAGGTCATGACATTGACGTCAATGGGTCATGAGGTCAACATTGTAAACAATAGGTTTATCTTCAGCATTGTGTCCGTTGCACCCAGAAAGACTATATAATTCGTACAGTCCCAATATGTTCTCTCTTCTTCCAATGATTTTCAAAAAAATAACATCTACAACTCATAGAATTGACGTTGTCTTCAATGACAGCGTCTGCGAGGGTTGTTCATAGAGGCCGCCATATTGCACTATTTTGTGCGTCGGTCGGTTCTATTTCAGATATACACAATCAATTTTGTTGATGTTTTTAGCGTTGGGATTCACTAATAGTTAATGTGTTTCAGTTCTAAAACAAATATTTTAAACTTTAACGCAAATTTAAAAAATAGCCAAATTCTGGCTGGGATTACTGAGCAAAATGGCCATTCACTGTATACGTGCGATTAGCCACATGTATATAAACTGATTACAAATCAGTTATGTTCGGCGAAATATGCCAGATGTCTCAATCGCATGGCAATCTCTAGTGTCTGGTTATTCCAGTGTACACCGGAAGTTTTTATTGCTTATGCTCTCCAGATAAGAATATGGACTAGCCTCGTTCTTCGAATCCCTAGTTACAAATGGTGCTGAAACGCATTATGGTACACAATTCATGTACCAATGGTAAAATGTTTATTTTGTCTTAAATATTGGATATCAGAAGCCCATCTTTTCCCGATAAGATCACAACATCAATGTTGATTTAAATTAACAAATAATTCGTGTTGTGGAAGACTTTGGATGATATTGAGTTAGAGACTCATTAACTTATTTTCAAGTGATTATTTTTCTGAACCTACGGTCTGACTGTTTCTAGTATATTCTGAACCTACCTTCTATGACTGTTTCTAGAATATTCTGTAGGAATTTTAAACTTTGTACCAGTATATTGGTGTCTATTATCAGATATAAATTCTGTAATTACAATCCATGTCACATATTAATAAACAGAATTTGATAAAAAAAAACAAAACAACTAAGCATTAAAACATTCTGTCGGAAAAGTTGAATTACGAAAAATATACTCTGAAATCTATTTTTAAAAAAGAGAAATGAGACCATTTACAAACTAACATATTACTTTTTTTTGTGAGAGATTTGATGTGATTAATCATGTAGAAATATTACCTTATTTTTAAAATCTTTAATTGGCATAATATCATCATTTATAGCTTCATCTAACTGTCAACAAAAAATACATATTATAAAGTATTCAATTTATCAACACAAGGTCAAAGTATGCAAAATATGTTGCAAATAAAATGGGGTTTAATGTCCTACTGGGCTAATGAAAACGGACATACACCAATGTGCTATAAGGGAAATTTTGCCAAGGCAAAGGCCCTACTACTCTTGTATCGAAATTCCACCTGCCAAGGGATCTTTTACGAGCATGTCAATATATATGCTGGTACTTGGTTTTTCGTCTCACCCGAACGACTAGACAACTGTCTTTGTCAGGCCTCCTGTTCTGCACCACTGACAAGGGGAAACCATGTCGGAAAATCTTTCTCGGCCAATGCAGGGATCAAAGACGCGACCTCCAGACTAGCGATCTACATGAAGCATCTTACCCATTTAAGCACCGTTGCTCCCCTGTAGCAAACACTGGAATCCCAACTAGATAAATAGGGTTTAATGTCCACTCGACACAAACTAGGCCATTTTGGGACTAACACATGGTTCAATTTTACTTCAATAAATCGCATGTGCGCAGGGGTCTTCAGCAGCGGGAGGACAAGGGGAAAACCTACGAGGTTGGACAGGCAACCCTACTCCTTGTCACGTACAACCGGTGAATCGAAACAACGTGAGTTGACTCAATGACAGACTTTATGATACAACATGCACGCCCTAACCATTCGGCCATCTGACCCTCCACATTCGTTAGACAACGCCCTATACATATAGATATTATGAAAGATGATACTTACCTGATCTGGAAATGATCTTATTTCTTCACGCACTTCTTGTAACTAGAAAAGAAGAATAAATGCCTAGAAATGTATCAATCTCCACCAGGGTTCTTACTCCATTTTGAATCAAACCAGCAAGAACTAGTAGATTGTAAGCTCCCATTCCCTTTAATATTACCTGACTTCAACAAAAATATTTCGTGGTAATTTTGTTGTAGTCTGAAGAATGTTTTGTATTCTGCATAGGCTTATATCCACTCTACAGTGAAACATTGACAACATGATAAAAGAAACGGAAAAAGCTCAAAATTTTAACCTCTAAAACACTATACACATACAATCTGATAAAATTACAGATCTATATTTCATTTTGTTTTTTTATACTTTCGATGGCCTCTACTACATTAAGATCTGACTGGTTGTAGTGGAAGGTCATGTTAGAGGTCATAGGAGCGACTTTTGACCCTATGATGTCAAGACATTGATTAATCACTCAGCATTGACGCTTCTAGTGGTTTACCCACAGCTATGTGCATTGCATGACAAGAAATCGCTGTAAAAGACCGTTTCATTCGCTAATCCCTCAGTTTAATATAACGCCGGTAATATAACAACTCTTCCAGATCCCAGTGTAGTAAAGACAAGTAAAACAAAATTTTGAACAATAAAAAACGAAACGAAATAGTATCTGTGTTTTAATTAGATTGATCTCCAACACTATACACATAGGGATGCTGTTACTATATACGTCAGTGATTGTAACAATTGAGTAATTGTTCCGAAACATGTTTAAGGTAAACGTAGAGAAACACCCTGCTAGTAAGCAAGAATTTAAGAGGCAGTAATTGAAAGTTGCTTTATTATGATAAAAACCAGAATCTATGACAGAAACTACAGGTACTTACGTCTACAATCATCATCTCAACCTCATCTTCATTGATATCATCATCATCATCATCAATTTCCATTCCTTCTTCTTCTCCATCATTTACTTCCGTGTCTACAATACACAGTACATCTCTAGTTATCTCCTTACATACATGTATTTTAACAGGTAAATTTTGTTTAAACATACGTTATGCAAGAGCTAAATCTGTCTATTACAGGTCTTTCTTTAGGCCTGAAATATTATATAAACTATTAATTAGACATTAATTAACTTATCCAGACCATAATCAACTCTCGATGCCATCTTATGTGTCAGATTTTCACTGGATTTGAAAACGGATTGCAACTCAACGCTCATTGATGATTCAATCGATAAATGGATAATCGAGACTATGTTTTCTATCGTACCGACGTTAGTAATGATGATCGAGGCTAGGCCTAAAATTCAGACGCTAATATCTTGGTTCAGAGTGGAGCAATTTGACTGAAATTGTGATTATTGTCAGCATATTCCCTTTGCTTTATCTAGTTGTTAACTCTAATCTTCCCCTTTTAATGTACCAATACACAATACATCCTAGTTACACCCTACATATAACACACAGGTCAATTTTGTTTAATATTTTACTAAGATATGATGAACATTTGATATCCTCTGCAGATTATATAACCATGCCAGTGCCATCTATAAGTGTAGGGTAAAATCTTTCAATGGGCCTTTTTATTAAATGTAATGTAGAGAGACAGAGAGAGAGAAATGGGGTTTAACGTCCACTCGACACAAACAAGGTCATTCCAGAACTAACTAACATATGATTCAATTTTATTTCAATAATGTGCTTGCACGTAGGGACTTTAGCAGTGAGAGGAAACCTGAGGAAACCGAAGGACACGGACAGGCACCCCTACTCCTTGTCACGTACAACCATGGAATCGAAACAAAGTCATTTGACTCAATGACGGACTTTGTGATAAAACGTGCACATGATAACCATTCGGACATCCACCCCCCACCCTTCCATGGACCAAATGCACCTCTTCTAACCAACCCATTAATAAAGGGAACCCTATGATTCCAGTTTATATTATTAATGTTTTGGCCTACTTATTCCTCTCAATAATGAATTATATGCAATCTCTCAGTTTGTGTCTGTTTTTTTATAACACAATATATTCTAACATTAATGGCGATAACTACATACATAAGCTTACTGTACATATTTAAATTTTGTAACAAAAAACAGATTTCTAATAGAAATAACAGTTAATAGAGAATTATTTGTACGAAATAAATAAAATAACCAACTTATTTAGTCTTTATAGTATCATTTAAATTTTGTAAGAGAATTTTTTGTAGCAAATAAATAATATAACCAACTTATTTAGTTTTTATAATATGAATTATTACAATATTAGTAGTACAAAATATAAACAAATAATTCAACAAACTCAATGTTTTCAATATTAATAGAATGAAAGAAATATAAAATATCCTACACAATACTTACTACATGTATGTACAATACACATGCTAGACAGCACAGGAATAGCATGCTTTAAATGTAAGGCTTGATAGAGAGAGAGAGAGAGAGAGAGAGAGAGAGAGAGAGGGTTTAACATCCACTCCACACAAACTAGGTAGAGAGAGAGAGAGAGAGAGAGAAATGGGGTTTAACTCCACTCGACACAAACTAGGTCATTTCGGGACTAACATATGGTTAAGGTTTATTTTTTTATTTCAATAATTCGCTTGCACGTAAGGGTCTTTAGCAGTGGGAGGAAACCGGTGGACACCGGAGGAAACCCACGAGGTTGCAAGGGAGGGGGGGAGAGAGAGAGAAATGGGGTTTAAGGTCCACTCACTCACTGACACAAACTAGGTCATTTCGGGACTAACATATACTGTAGTTTAATTTTATTTCAATACTTTGAATGCGCGTAGGGGTTTTGAAAAGTGGGAGGAAACCGGAGGACCTGGAGAAAACCAACAAACTTAGACAGACAACCCTACTCCTCGTCACGTACAACCGGGGAATCGAAACCACGCCAGCTGACTCAATAACAGACCTTATGATACCTGCTAACCATTTGGCCATCCAACCCCTCGCTAATGCTTGAAAAGAAATACAATGCTATAAATGCAGGCCTTAAAACTAACTCTTTTGAGGGCTCGGTAATATTCTTATAAGTCCGCAATAGAAATTGCATAATGTAAAATAAATGAAAACACAGACTTGAAGTACAGTATATCTTACATGTATCTGCATTAGCATAAGTACTTAAAACTATAAAAACCTAGTGATATCTCAGACCTAGGATATTTTCTTTCACATGGCCTAAAATGTTATTTAGTAAACCTAAATAATTTACTACATAATCTATGAAATTTATTAAACTTATAAAATATATTTTTTTCCTAAAATATACAGAAAACAATTAGTGTAATAAAATAAAGATGGGCATACGCCATACAGTGTGCTATGAATTAAAATTTTGCCTGGGCAGCGGCACTACAGCCTACTCTTATATAGAATATAGAATTCCAATTGCCAAGGGATCCTTTATGTGCACGAAAATGTATACACAGGACCTTGGTTTTTCATCCCATCCGAACGATTAGACAGCTGTCCTTGTCAGGCCCTTATTCCTGCATCACTGACAAGGGGAAACCACATCGGAAAATCACGATGAACTTTCTCGGCCGATGCAGGGATCGAACACCAGACCTTCAGACTAGCGAGCCAGCGTCTTACTCACTTAGCCAACGTGACTTCCCTTACAGAGAGAGAGAAATGGGGTTTAACATCCACTCGACACAAACTAGGTCATTTCGGGACTAACATATGGTTCAATTGTATTTCAATAATTTGCTTGCGCGTAGGGGTCTTTAGCAGTGGGAGGAAACCAGAGGACCCGGAGAAAACCCACGAGATTGGACAGACGACCCTACTCATTGTCATGTACCAGTGGGAAATCGAAACACCACCAGTTGACTCAATAACAGACCTTATGATACAGCGCAAATGTGCTAACCATTCGGCCATCCAACCCCCCATGCCTTTACAATTAAGAAATGTTAGTATTATAGTTTGAAGGAAGAATCAAATGTAAAACAAAATGTATTAATGAAATAATCAAGCTCCATCTACAAAATGGGAATTGGGATTATTGTAAGCAAGCTATGTTTCTGCATTTAAGCTAATTATTTAATTAAAAGAGTAAAAGAAAGGAAGCCACTACACAGCTACATTATTAGTGCATCTACATTTCCATCATTTTAATACCTTTAGTGTGTGATAATGCCACTGCAGCACCAATAGTTAAGCCAGTACTGGTTGAGTAACCACTGTCGTACGGTACATTGTTGTTATTACACTCAGTTGATAAAACTACCCTTCTATCTTTACTCGAAACACTAGAACCGTCAGACTTACTCGATGTTTTGGAGATGGGACTTTGCGGAAAATCACACACACTCGGCACTGGATCTGCTTCTGCTATACTATTTATCCACGACTGAATCTCATGTTTTTTCGGAGCTGGTAATTCAACAGTTTCTTCCACTTGATCTTCGTCTTTTGCCACAGAATACATTCCTTGTTTTTGTTTCAATTTAAATCGTAAATCGTTCGTGGCCAACCCTGGTTTTTCGTCAGCACAGACGATTTTTCTATCACTAGTTTCGTCCCTGGATATTTTTAACTTTATTTCAGCACCATCATTAGTAAGATTTTCAAATCGTCTTTTTCGAGTGAAAAGTTCAAACGTAGAACTATTTGACTTATGGTCAGTAGTTGTCAAGTTTTTTTTCTGATATTTGGGTTTTTGTTTGTTATTATAGCGACTAGAAAATGGTCTATCTTTTTTACCAAAAGACTGCGGAAGAGAGTTGGAAGGATCTGAACGTGGCACAGTACACGTTACCACAATTCTGGAAGTCTTCGCACATGATCGAATGGGTTGTTCTTTGGACGGGGTATCATTTTGATTAGGAATGGCTTCAGCTGATTCATCATTTTCCCGAATATTTTTCAGAATACTAGCAAGAGAAAATGTCATTGCTGATTTTTCCGAAGTGTTTTTATGTTCGTTTTTAATTTCGAGTTTTTTTGAGGATTTCTTACTTCTAGTTTCCATTTCTCTGAGCGTCTTTAAATTATCGGCTAAAGAAAACGTCATAGGTTCACGATCAGAGTATTCATTTGCTTCTTCTTCTTGATTTTCAGCACGAATCATTTTCAAATTATCTGCTAGAGAGAATGTCATTGTCTTGGGTTTTTCTGGATTCATTTTTCTGCTTTTTGATTTGTGGGATATACTGGCACTTCCTTTTAAGGTTCGCAGACTATCAGACACGGAGAATGTCATGGGTGAAGTGTCTTCCTTATATTTATCCGCCCGAGACACAACTACATTTTGTTTTTTGTTTTCCAATTGTGTTTCAATCTCCTCATTTTCCAAAATCTGTTTCTGAAGATCACTGAGCTCAGGTCGAAGTTCCAAATCATTTTCGTTGTCACTGTGAAATTGGTGGTCAGAATCTGGAGAAAATACTGAATCGTCGATAAATCCAGAACTACCAGTACTTTGATCGGGTCTAATAAAATCCTTACCAGATTTTGTGGGTGTTTTAGCCGTGTACTGATTTTGGTTTGCATGTACAGGTGAGCCTAGTGGATTGTGTCTGTCACGCAATGCAGGTGTCTGTATCTGGGGTTTTCCTCGTTCCTTCTGTACTTGTTTCTGAGCCGCCGCCCTTTTTGCTGACCGTTCGTCTGGCGGTATTGACGCTAGATATTCTTTCTGATATAAAAAAGTCAAGAAATTAATGCGAGACAGTGTTTAATTTTAGGCGGGTCTATAATTATAAACCTACAATCTACATTTCATTTCGTTTTTTTATACTTTCAATGGCCTCTACTACATGAAGATCTGACAAGTTGTACTTGTTGTACAAGGTGTCATACCAGTGGCTTTTGACCACATGATGTCCGACATTTGATTAATCAATCAGCGTTGATGTTTCTAGTGAGTTACAGTAAATTAAATGCCAGTATTAATTGTACTCAATTTACAAATGAAATGAAATGGGGTTTAACGTCCTACTGTTCTACTCCTAAACTTGGCTAATGAAGACGGGCATACGCCATACAGTGTGCTATGAGGGAAATTTTGCCTGGGCAGCGGCACTATCGCCTACTCTTATATCGAATTCCAACTGCCAAGGGATCTTTTACGTGCATTCCAATGTAGACAGCTGTCCTTGTCAGGCCCTCCGTCCTGCATCACTGACAAGGGGGAACCACGCCGGAAAATCTGGATGAACTTTCTCGGCCAATGTAGGGATCGAACACCCGACCTCCAGGCTAGCGAGCCAGCGTCTTACCCACTTAGCCATGTGATCCCCCTCAATTTTGAACACAGCAGGCACATTTATAATATTCTATCACCAGTTTTATGGTCAAAGGAAAGCCTAAAATCAATTTCACAATAATTTTTCTGGTTTTTTTTTTGTATTGGAAATAATTAAACAATATTGTTTTTATCAAAAAATACTAAATACCAGCCATCATTACCAGGCCTGGTAATAACGGTTTTAGATCTACCTGACAAAATGTCAGGCACTAATGAAATAATACCTGACATTTTCAACTTAGTGCTGGACAGGTATTAATAATATCAATAAAAAAGACAAATCAGTGCTGGACAAAATGACAGGCACCATAGGTTTAGTGTCTGACAAAGCCTGAATCTGTGCCTGACATTGTCTGTGACTGGTGCCTTATTTCCAGGCTTGTATAAATACCTCTGTAACAAGTGTTGGCTGATCCCATGCAGATACATTCGTTCTTGTATTAAAATAGTAGACTCTGTCAGGGTATGTTTTAGATGTAATGACTTTCCATCCAAATGGAAGACATAGTTTTGGTGGTGGTCCTCCTTCAGACTCTCGTTTATTCATCTTAATTATTCAACATCCTAAAATATAATAATTATTTAACTTATGTAATCAAATATGGCCAATACATTAATAGTAAGTACAGGGGGACTGCACCACACATGGTTTACACAGAACAAATCTAAGGACAAAACACAATACGCAGAAATCACAAACAAACGTACATATCAATTTAAGTCAATGGATTTTGGGGGCTAAGCGTCCACTGCGCTGTCAGTCCCGGGCCTGCAGTGATAGGACTTCATTCAAAATTGAAAACAATCAGAGAAAAACATTGTGTAATACCAGCACTAGTCATGATCTGCCACATGCTACATGAAATATGAATGTAAGCATATTGAAGTAAAAATTACCATATCGGTGAAATTTATAAAAAAAACAGTTAGTCTAAAACTAAATGGTCTATGTTAAGTGAAACATTTCAATAGAATTCATATATACTGACTATAAAGTTAGGACATATGTTCCATTTAACACACAAAAAAAACCAGAGGAAAAACAAAACAATAATTTTTTTTATAGCAATTGTATGAATGTATATAAACTGATTTACATTCAATCGTTTCTGTTTATACAGTAATTTCTAATCAGTTATATTTCGGTAAAATACGCGACGATTCCTAATTAAATGGCAGTCTTTGGCATCTGGTTATTCCAGTCTACACTTGTATTATTCTCCTGCATGGGATATGTTCAGCCTTGTTCATCGAGTCACTTCATACAAATAGCGCTCAAAAGCATTCTAGCACGCGAATCGTGTGCCAATTTTAAAATGTTCATTTTGTCTAAAATTATATTAGATATCAGAAGTCAATTTTTTCTCGGTAAAATAACAACATCAATATTGATTTAAATTGACCAATAAGTCGTGATTGCAATGTTGAAGATTGTGGATGATATCGAGTTGAAGACTTGGCTCCTTTAAACAATATTTAAATATGGCCGACCACCTAGGGTAACTCGACTAATATACCAGTTGTTAATTTGTAACACGTTTAACACCTTATCTTTCTACGCGAACTAACAATAAATTGTTCATTCTATCTTATTTTGTTAGATAATCTTTATCGTAATAAGCGGTTGTCATGCAAGATACGCTCAAATTTTGCAAGAGTTTGACAGAAAACAAACTAAAAAAGCGATATTTCATACAAGCAGAAGCCATAATCAAAAAAGTTAGGGTCCGATATGCACTAATATCGAAAGGCACTTTTATTTCTTGTTAACAGGCCAGAAGTTGTCAGTGTCACAAACGTTTATCAAATACTTTGGTCATAATCAAACATGTCTCTGTTGTTCCTGGTGTTTTAACGTCCGCTTCCACTAAGGGGTGATATCGCAAATAAGTATTATCTTAGCGCCTGAGAGAGGAATTTGAAACCAATTTGAAACCAGAGTAAACACATGTGGTTGAGAAGGTGCCCCTATCTTTAACTTCAAGTCATACTGGGGATTGAAACCACGACGCAAGCTAGAGGATACCGGCTACTCCAGGGTGCCTTGAGGTTTCGCTCACACGTAACCTCAAGGTTCTTTAAGCCGTCCTTTTTTGGAGCGATGAGCCACTGAATTGTTGGCGCATCAAATACCCACAAGCTGAAAGGCGTCAGTCCATAAATTCTAAATGCATGTCCTACCTTATTGTGTTATCCACCTCTGAACAACAATAACACTTACTGACAAACAAACGTTGTTCAGTGAAACAGGTTTATCCAATATCACATACACCAGCATTTCTTTTAGTCACCATGTTGGGATAGTTGGAGCTTTTTTTGACGTCATATCCTCCGCATTGAAATTTGAGGACCCCTGTTTTTGAACAGTATTTTTATGGATTGTGTATATGTACTGTTTTTGTAGGGGTTTTATATCGGGATAGAATACGATGTTTGTTGAAGAATAATTAGGTCGCTCTTCACACGTAGTTTAAAATACACAACGTACATTGAGAACTTAATAATTATTTGTTGCATGATTAATTAGTCTTAGTAGGCCTAGATCATGACCAGTGCTTGAAATGAGGATTCTTCTACAACGGCACCAAAAATTTATAAATGCCGTAGCAAAAATTAGCTGACAAGGCACGGCTGCCTTTTTTCATATTGAACAAATATACTGTAACAGTTGTCATTTTCCATCACTGAACGTGCAATTTTTATATTTGTAGATAGACAAACGGTCCGTTATTTTCTGTGTCAATTAATCTGGTTCTAATTGCGTTTGGTGGTACTGTCATAAGTATATAATTTACAGATTCCTCTTGGAGTAATAAAGTCATCGAAATTTGTTTTCCTTTCGATCCTTTAGTTATTCGTGTTCCCAATGGTTGCCTTCATGTCAACCATAACTAAAATTGATTCATCAAATTTCTCACGGCTCTGCCATAACCTTCTATAATAAGGGCACTATTTTAAAAAGTGAGCATTCTTATGAAAAAATGAACTATAAGGGTAGGCTTGGGACACTATTTACAACTAAATCTTGCATTTCTGAATTATTGACCTAATCCCATATATAATTTACAGATTCCTCTTGGAGTAATAAAGTCATCGAAATTTGTTTTCCTTTCGATCCTTTAGTTATTCGTGTTCCCAATGGTTGCCTTCATGTCAACCATAACTAAAATTGATTCATCAAATTTCTCACGGCTCTGCCATAACCTTCTATAATAAGGGCACTATTTTAAAAAGTGAGCATTCTTATGAAAAAATGAACTATAAGGGTAGGCTTGGGACACTATTTACAACTAAATCTTGCATTTCTGAATTATTGACCTAATCCCATACCTATGCATTTCATACGTCTACATGTATATAAAAGGCATAACTTTTTGATACGTGTACACGTGGACAACGGCGCAATTTGGGCTATTTTTATTACCCTGGCAGTCCGTGTTTGCTTCAGCTTTTACTTTTTATGACAGTTTTGCCGTTATGCCGTGGTAAATTCTAGCATAGGCCTTATGATTGAGATTATTATTTATAAAATGTTATTATATGTTCATTACAATATAAATCCTTAAATTTGTCGGCGTTCGTAGAATGTTTCATCGCTACCAGTTGATTATGATAGCTTCTGTCTTGTCAATGTCACGTGACATTTTCCCGCTTTTTCTATCTTAGAGTTGAAAATATTTATAATAAAGCATTGAGTCTTGTATCACACACACGGCAACTAAAATAAAAGGGCCGCCGAGTGCCATTTTAAGTAAGAGACTAGAGAGAATGCTTTGTTCACAATTTGAATAATATTTTATGAAAATATTTATTGGCTGCCGAGTCATTTTAAACAGATATCGGCTACGCAAATATCGATAAAATTTCTTCCGATAGGCCACTCATCGGCCAATTAGGCTACTGAATAGTGAAACCGATAATCGGACCATCACTAAAAATAAATTTAAAATGACGCCTTCGAATTATAGTCTCATGATTTCATTTCGTTGAAAGAATTCTGTAATGTGCACCATGCCAGATTTCAACTTTCGTCGATGTAGGTCATTTCCTGTTTCACTGTGTTTTGTTGCATGTAGGCGAAGATTTTTGTGAAATCTCTTAAAATACTTAAATAGAAAGCCAAAAATATTTTTCGGAACATAGATGGATATGATATGTAAGTTTAATGTGTTAGCAGTGCAGATAACTGAAAATTGTGAATTTTGCCGTCCGCTGAAAGAAGTAAACTAGTTATCAACTTTTGCAACGAGTTTTTGACCGTTCGGATGTTAGATGTTACATCCTCAGAATATCAAAGACTAACATCTAACTTGTTGGATTAGATACCGGCCAGCTACAGCTCAATGTAACACGACACTCTAGACCATCTCAACCACCCTGACATATCTTTTTATATCTATAGTTATGCAGTAGGCCCTGCAGAACAGTGTGACCAATAAACGAAACGGTAGAGACGCATTTACTTAGCTTACATGTACGTATCCTGATCCACTCTCCAAGAACTCGACGAAAGAGTCAAAGAACACTCGGACAGAAAGAAGGCTACTCGTTCGGACCAAGACATTTACACTAGCCTAGTCAATAAATCAACCCTGGTTGTCTTTAGTGCCTACGCTATTCATTTTAGTTGCTGGCATTTCGAAATACTCACCTGATATCCGATTTTATAACACGTTGCTCTTCAATTCGTTCCCGCGACTGTCGCCATTATTTACTCCAAATTTTGGATTAGTAAATGAATTGAAACGAATAAGGGGTTATTGCCGGTTACAGGAAGTTGTCAAGCAACGTAATAAAGTGCATATTATAGTTATTTTTGTGTTTCTATTTTAGAAATAACAAGACAACTAAATTATTACCTATCAAATACAAAATAATTATTGTTTCGTTTGGTATAGAAGTAACAAATTTAACATAATAGATCACCCGCGGAGAAGGGTTGTCGTAAATAATGACAACATTTTAATTTAAAAAACAAATTGTTTTGAATTGGTTTTATAATCTTTAGTAAACTTAATGTTTGAATAGATACAAAAACTGATATGATGTATGTAATAAGCATTTGAAATTCTTTAAATAACACGTCTTGTCATTTTGACGACAGTCATCGATGGTCAAAATGGTTGTCAGAAAAAGAAGTGTTGATATGTGTTGATGAATTTATTATGCCACATGACATTTTGAACTCATTTTTGATCGAATCTAATCACAATGTCTGCAGCATACAGGAAAGATCACTTGACAATTAATCTAGGCACGGATTTTCACTCTTATGACAATAGTAAGACTAAAAGAAAGTCTTTAATCAGAGTAAGTGTTGTTCAACGTGTCTTGTTGTCTTCACTATTATTTATTGTTTATTCGTAATACTAGTGTTACTAGCGATGGACCGATCTTTGGCATACCAATATAATACAGTGGGGCGAATAGGCCTCCCTATTAAACGTACTGTATGCTCTAATATAGAGCGAAGCTCTAAAGCATCGCGCGAAGCGCGGTGCTTGAGCAAAGCTCTTTTCCGGTAACACAGGAGCGTAACTGAAATTGTCACCCACAGACTGTTGATTAAAAAAAAATTCAGACAGGAACCGGATACACTGGACAAAACAGGCAATGCGCATGTCTGTCAATGCGCATGTCAGCGCATGTCAACTTACCAAATCTCGCCCAAGCGAGATTTTGGGTCTCTAAGAAATATTTCTATGACGCGTCGAATAAATGACGTCAGATAATTTTGACGTCAATGAAAATCCTCACACCTTTTTGTTCTTTTTTCAATTGGGGAAACTTTATTATGAAGGTTTTATTTGACAACAATCACATCAGCTTCGCTCTACTCAGGCAAGGCCTGTTACATATTATGTAACAGGCATTGCCTGAGTAGAGCGAAGCTGATTATTGTCAAATATAAAACCTTCATAATTAATGTTCTCAAGTGATACAAAAAATGTTAAATAATTTAGTTTTTCCAAATTGATTTTCATTTAGATCTAAATTGTATACATTAATTTTGTTTTTAAAAAAAGAACAAGAAAGTGTGAGAATTATTTTCATTGACATCAAAAATATGTGACGTCATTGATTAGACGCATCATAGAAATAGTTCTATGAGGCGCGTAATCTCGCTTGGGCGAGATTTGGTAAGTTAATTGACATGCGCATTGCCTGTTTTGCCCAGTGTATCCGGTTCCGGTCTGAATTTTTTTTTAATCAACAGTCTGTGGGTGACAATTTCAGTTACGCTCCTGTGTTACCGGAAAAGAGCTTTGCTCAAGCACCGCGCTTCGCGCGATGCTTTAGAGCTTCGCTCTATATCAGAACATATCTGCATTTATTGATAAGCAGTTTATTTTACTGTCAATATGTCTGGCACATTGATTGATTGAATTGTGTGGAATCAATCAAATCAATCAATCAATCATAATGAAAGTTTGATCTGTTTGGACCAAACCTGTACATTACCATACAGTACATATTATTGGATGCTTATGTTATTGTTTGGGAGACATGTAGCTGAGATGTTTGCTGTACTGTGCATTAGTCAATAGGACTAATCAAGAGTCTAAAGTCTAGCCATATGTAATATATACATGCATGTTATCTGTTTACCTATGTCATATAATGTTCTGCTTGGACAGGTGAACTTTATGTGATAGAATTTTCTGATGAATGTGATGGTTTGAGACAAATCTAACCATCTGCATGGGTGCAAATCCATATTTAATATTATTTATGACTTTCTACAAAGAAAATGAATACATGTATGACTAATCCATCATTTTGTAAAATGCACCTTTGTAAGTATATCCTCTATAGGTTTGTGTTGACATGATTTGCAACACTTAGCATGGTTTGAAATAAACATTATAACTTTCCACAAATGAAATGATGGCAACTGATTCATATCACTCTATAAAATACATGTTTCATAGTGTTGACATACTCAGTACATGTAATTTGCAGCACTAACCAAGGTTAGTTACTTATCCAACCTTATGCAAATACATGTTCCCTCACGTAACCTCCGATCAAACAGACTTCATCAGTTGTGTTGCCCAAGGTGGAGGCTAAAATCATTCGGATACCGATCATTCGCAGTTAATGCACCTAAAGAGTGGAAATATCTACCAGAAATCATTAAATCATCCCCAACTCCCTCTCGTTTTAAATGAAGACTTAAAACCCATCTTTTTGAGAAATGTTATCATGATTAATTAACTGTATGCGCTGTGAGCATGCCTCTGTGCATGGAGTACTAGCGCTATATAAATGTACATATTATTATTATTATTATTTTGTTCGAAATTAGTAGTATGGACTAATTAGGTTAGGTAATATTAGACACAACAGGAATCATAATTCTGAAATTTGTATCAAATGTGACATGAATTAATTCACTGAATTCAATTAAAGATACATTATGGGAGATTCGATAACGAGTTGGCAGTTCTCACTATAATAATTAAAAACAAGATAACGTAAAGGCAATTTGCTGAAAATTTCATTCAAATTAATCCACTATGAACTGAGAACTAAGCGAATAAAATTTCTGCCTAGCCTCGGTCATCATTACTAAAGTCATTCTTTGAATGGCATTTAGTAATTGGAACATATTACTTGTGTATATATATATGCTTGTGTATATGCTTGTGTATATGCTTGTGTATATGCTTGATAACGACTTGTGAAACCTTGTTGAAACGTCGCAGTGAAATAAACCATAGTAATTGTTATCCATAAAAGTGTGTTTTTGATTACTAAAGTCAGTACGTTAAACAGCATAGTCTCGATTATCCATTTAATCGAGAGGGAAAGTTATGCAGTAAATCCGATCACAAATCGCTTAAGATGGCAGGCTAGCGATGCCATCTAGAGTTGATTATGGTCTGGATAAGTTAATTAATGTCTAATTAATAATTTAGATAAGATTTCAGGCCTAAAGAAAGACCTGCAATAGACCGAATTAGCTCTTGTATAATGTATGTTTAATAATACCTGTACTCAGAACATTTTATTTAGCATGGAATTTGAGGACTTTTATATGGCAAACTTCACATGGAAACTGAAAGGTTTGACAGAGACTTTCACTAGAATATATTAAGGACCATCTCTTCAGACTGAATAATACATGTATCTATTATTTATTTTTTTAAAATTATTTTTAGGCATGGAGAAGATTATCCCGACTTCAAAGAAGTGTAATATGTATGATGCTAATACTGGGCATGCTGTGTTCTGGTTATATTGTTCCTGCCATTTATTCTGATTATCACATGATGGACAACCAGTTAGACACTGTGGGTACTCGTAATAGATTAAATCTACACGATACAGATCGCTTAAATACAAAAGATCAGTTAGAATTTGAAAAAAATAAATTAGAGAAAATTGAAGGATTGAAGAAAAAAGCTCGGGAACAACTTCAGGGTATCATGGTCAGTTAGTAGATTAGAAATAACCTGAGTTTGAATTGATGATCCTTCATCTACTTTTAATTTTCTTTAGAATAATTTGGATATTTTTTAACAATTTCAACATTAATATTATTTGTTATTGTATTAGGGGGTTGGCATTGAAATTGGTTTCTGAATCTAAGATGCATGTGGTGCCTTTTGTAGATGAATGAATAATTTATTTGATTTTTTTCGAGATTTATCCAGGCTTGGGTACATGTGCTATATGTAAAATAGATTACTAAAGGCAAGCCTGGAAATAAGGCACCTGTCTCAGGCAATGTCAGGTACAGATTCAGGCTTTGTCAGGCCCAACACATCTGGTACCTGTCATTTTGTCTGGCACTGATTTGTCTTTTTATTGATATTATTAATACATGCTTGACATTTTGTCAGGTACATCTAAAACCGTTATTTCCTGACCTGATTAAAGGGTTAATTTAACACCTGCTATATGCATGTACATGTATACACATCTGCTTATAGTGAGACATGTACTCTTAGGTTTTAAACATGAAATATTGTATTAACAAAATGAAATGGGGTTTAAGTTTAAGGTCCTACTGTTCTGCTCTGACTGGGCTAATGAAGATGGGCATATGCCATACAGTGTGCTAAGAGGGAAATTTTGCCCGGGTTTATGCACTATGGCCTACTCTTATATTGAATTCCTACTGCCAAGGGATCTTTTACGTGCACGGCAATGTTTACACAGGACCTCAGTTTTTCTTCCCATCTGAACGAATAGACAGCTGTCCTTGTCAAGCTCTCCATCCTGCACCACTGACAAGGGGAAACCACGTCGGACAATCCTGATGAACTTTCTCGGCCAGAGTTTGTATTAAGAAATTACTGTAAATAGCCACTGACCGTCATTTGTAGTTTTCGGACAATATCTAATTTTTCATGGCTTAATCGGGGGATGTGGATGGCCGAATGGTTAGCGGGTGCGTGTTGCATCATAAGGTCTGTCATTGAGTCTGCTGGCATAGGTTCGATTCCCCGGTTGTACGTGACAAGGAGTAGGGTCGTCTGTCCAACCTCGTGGGTTTTCTCTGGGTCCTCCGGTATCCTCCCACTGCCAAAGACCCCTACGCGCAAGCGAATTATTGAAATACAATTAAACCATATGTTTGTCCTAGAATCATCTAGTTTGTGTCGAGTGGACGTTAAACCCAATTTCTCTCTCTCTCTTGCACGGCTTAATCAATGTTAAAAGTTTATTTCATTTACCAGTAATATTTGGACAGTTCTTTTGCTGTTAATTTATCATTTTTCATATTAAACATTACCTATCTATATTTTGTTTCTGACCTACACTTTGACAGTTATTATTATTATTATACATGTATTTATACATGTATAGCGCTGCTTTCGCTAGAAGTGCTCAGTGGTGCTTTACAATAATTGCAACCAGTCGAATAAAATATAAAATGACCAGCAAATAAAATATCAAATCACAAATAAAAAGAATAAAAATGACAGACAAATAAAGTATAAAGTTACAAACAGATAAAATGACAATAAAATAATAAAAATAAAGATGAAAACTAAAGGCTTTAGATTAATCATCATTGACTTTTAAACCTATAAATACATCAACTGTCAGTCAAAATCAAAATGCTTGAAGGGCTGACCTCTTTCATTTGTCTATACATGTATGTGTTGATTACATTAATTCAATGTGCTTATTAGGTCTTATGACATTTATAATTTTATGTCCACAGATGCTCTAATACAGTCGATTTTTTGTTTAAATGTCAACAGTTTAAACAAAAATGAACTTAAAGTTAGTAAACAAACCCACTTTGATTTAAACATACATTATGCAAGAGCTAAATCTGCCTATTGCAGATCTTTCTTTAGGCCTGAAATGTTTTCTAAATTATTGATTAGACATTAATTAACTTATCCAGGCCATAATCAACTCTTGGTGGCATTGAATTTCTCCTATATTAAATAGATTAGAACAGTTCAGCCATATTTTGATTTAAGCTAAAAATGGAGGAGCGAGACTAAGCTTCGAACAACCAGTGCGGTGGTTGAACTTATTGCACACGTCTTGTCAAACCTTCAAAGGCTGATATCTTCGTTCGCAATAAAGTAATTTGAATGAAATTTTTAAATTATTCATTTTACATTATCTATTTTGGAACTATTATAGCAAGAATGACTAGCTCTTTATCTAAATCTTACATAATGTATGTTTAATATATGAAACAAAACTTTGATAGCGTAGTTTTTGACTATTTATTCAATGGATATAGGAAATAACACGTAGGTCATTTTTTTTTATTTTCAATTTTTAAGGATCTATCTTCAACACGTCTACAATGATTATTGATTTTTAAGAGAAATTTTTCGATTATGAGTTATATGTATTACATTGAAAAAAGAAATAAACACATGTTTATGGCTAACGTTTTCAGTTTTCTTGAACCTCTCCAGGCCATATTAATATAATAATACACACATATTATATCGATATGGCCTGAAGAGGTTCAAGAGAAGTGAAAACGTTGGCCATAAACATGTGTTTATTTCTTTTTTCAATGTAATTGTATACATATTTCTCTGGGAGTAGTTCAAAGAAAATTATTTTGTATATATATTTTAGTTTTAGTTGTGATTAATCCACCCTGATCCCGACCCCAGGGAAAGTCTTGTTGTTTCAATGTGAAATATCCTTCTGTTTATTCTAAATCTGGAGGGTTGGATGGCGGAATGGTTAGCACATGCACACTGTATCATAAAGTCTGTCATAGAGTCAACTGAAAAGGTTTCGATTCCACTGTTATATGTGACAAGGAGTAGGGTCGCCTGTCCAACCTCGTGGGTTTTCCTCCAGGTCTTCCGGTTTTCTCCCACTGCTAAAGACCCCTATGTGAAAACGAATTATTGAAATAAAATTGAACCATATGTTAGTCCCGAAATGACCTAGTTTGTGTCAAGTGGACGTTAACTCCATTTCGCTCTCTCTCATTAGAGATCTGGGAATATATTAAAACAGCTGGGTCTATGAATGATTGTTGTAATTACTACTCTCTTGTTCCACATAAAAAGGGATTTGGTTAATAACCTGTCATTTCTGTAGTTGTCCATTACAAGAAGATTATCCAGAATTTCTTTTCATGATCCTACACTGTACCAGATCATGTAAATGTAAATAGACTAGTTCAGCCAGACTACTGTGTTTTCTAAATTATACATGTCAATATGATTAAAACACAGATCCTATTTCGTTTCGTTTTTATAGTTCAAAATTATGTTTTACTTGTCTGTACTACACTAGGATCTGGAAGAGTTGTTATATAACCTGCATTCTAGTTGATGTGAGGAATTAGCCAATGAAACAGCCTGTTACGATGAATTCTTGGGGACTATGGGTAAACTCCTAGAAATGTCAATGCTGATTGATTAATCAATGTCTGATGTCGTAGGGTCAAAAGTCGCTTGTATGGCCCCTGACACGACCTCCCGGTACAACTGGTCAGTTTTTCATGTAGTGTAGGCCATCAAAAGTATTAAAAAAAAAAAATGAAATGAAATATAGATCTGTATTTTAATCCGATTGGCTACATGTATGTAAACCAAATTGTATATTTAGTATACATTATATATAAACTATATCTGAATTATTTACAGGCGAAAGTTAACGCAGGCCATAAAAAGGCTGTACCATTTGGTAAAGATGAACTTATGGTACCACCTGTTGGTAAAGATAGACTTATGGTGCCACCTGTTGGTAAAGATAATGTATTAGTTTTACAACCTCCTATTAATGATGATGATATACACGGAAGGGCAAACGAACAGATTGTAAGTTATATAACTGTATAGAAATGAGGTTTAATATTCTACTGTTCTGGGGGGGTTGGATGGCTGAATGGTTAGCGTGCGCGCGCTGTATCATAAAGTCTGTCATTGAGTCGACTGGCGTGGTTTCGAATCCCCGGTTGTACGTGGCAAGGAGTAGGGTCGCCTGTCCAACCTCGTGGGTTTTCTCCGGGTCCTCCGGTTTCCTCCCACTGCTAAAGACCCCTACGCGCAAGCGAATTATTGAAATAAAATTAAACCATATGTTAGTCCTGAAATAACCTAGTTTGTGTCGAGTGGACGTTAAACCCCATTTCTCTCTCTCTACTGTTCTGTTCCAACTGGGCTAATAAAAACGGGCATATGCTGTGATCAAAATTTTCCCTCAAATTCTAACTGCCAATAAACAGGTGAATGGAATACAATTACTGCTTAGGCTTCTCTAGTTATTATCAAGCAATGATAAGATATGAAAATATAACAAGACAATATGTGCATAGGATCTCAGTTTTCATCCCATCCGAAAGACTAGACTGATTTTTTTTTTTCTTCTTCTTTTAGGCTGCACCAGATGGTGGGGAGGATGAGGATGGCAAAAAACCTTCTATTTCTAATTATGATTATTTTAAAGGTAAAATTAATTATTTTTATGGGTGGGTTGTGTTTCAATTCTTTGGCCCATGTTTCTGACGTGGCCATAGTGGGTAGAAGATCAAAATATTAAAGTCTAATCAAATCTCTTACCAGGAAAATACAATCTGATTAAAACACAGATCTTATTTCGTTTCTTTTTTTATAGTTCAAAATTTTGTTTTACTTGTCTTTACTACACTAGCATCTGGAAGAGTTGTTATATTACTGGCATTCTGGTTGAAGTGAGGGATTAACCAATGAAATGGTCTGTACGGCGAGTTTTTTTCGTGAGGTGCACGGAACAGTGGGTAACCCACTAGAAACATCAACGCTGATTGGTTAATCAAATGTCTGACGTCATAGGGTCAAAAGTCTGTCGTACGACCGCTGACACGACCTTCCACTACAACTGGTCAGACCTCCATGTAGTAGATGCCATCGAAAGTATAAAAAAAACCGAAACAAAATATGTGACCCGCTCCCACAGAACAAAGCACTTTTCACACAACTTCATTTTGTACTACGGGCACACAAGCATAATCTGTATGCCTTCTTGTTGCTGTGAGTGAGCCGAACTCAACTCCAGATGATCCGACAAATTTAAAAAGAATTGCATTTTTAGAAAGCTTAGGATGTCGACCATTCAAAGATGCTACCAGCTCTATTTTTATAAAAATGACCAAGAGCCTGGTTTTGTGGGAGCAGCTTTACATATAGATCTGGGGCCTGTTTCACGAAATTTTAACTAAAGATAAAATCCAAATTTTAGCAGATACTTCAATTTTGATTCTCTAAGCACTAAAATCAATCTAATATTATCCAATCAAATTACTAAAATTTGGATTTTATCTCAGTTAACATTTTGTGAAACAGGCCCCAGTATTTTAATCAGATTGGGGAAATTAAAGAAATGTACATGTGTTATAATTCATATGCTTTCTTTATTTTATAGAAAGAAAAGAAAATTCTCAACAAAAGGCTGTGGTATCAGCTTTTAAAGATGCGTGGAAAGCGTACAAGACGTATGCATGGGGTCATGATGAATTAAAACCTGTTAGTAAAACTCACAGTACTTGGTTTGATGTTGGATTAACGATATTAGATTCTCTTGATACACTTGTGGTACTGGGATTAAAAAAAGGTTTGTTTATAATATAAAACAAAAAGAGAAAGATTGTTTGCTCCTTAAAGGGGCATTATTGAAGATTAGATAACTATAATAGTTAAACACTAGATAATGTAATGGGAATATGCAGAAAATTTCAGTCAAATTGCTTCACACTGAACTGAGATATATTAACAGTTGAATTTTAGACCTAGCCTCGATCATCATTACTAAAGTTGGTACGAGAAAAGACATAGTCTTGATTATCCATTTTTGGATTTAATCATCATTGAGTGTTGAGCAAGATTGTATGCTCCTTAAAGATTCCTTCTTGCATACAAACTGGGTGATTTGATGATTTATTTGGACTAAAAATTTATTCAAACTATTTAATCTGCATGTATCAAAAAATTGCTTCAGTTCCCTCTCAAAACAAACATTGTATTCGTGAGGAAGTGCCCCAAGATATAAAACTTCTATTTTTAGAAGCCATGTTTGTCATGTAACTTGATTGAGGGAGGGCCCATTTTAAGAATGTATTTATCGTTACTTACTGTCCATTAACAGAGTTTGAAGAGGCTAAAGAATGGGTACAGAAAGAATTAACATTTGATAAAGATAGATCGGTTAATCTGTTCGAGATTACCATCAGAGCACTCGGTGGGTTACTCAGTGCTTTCCATTTAACAGGAGAATCTGTTTTTAAAGAAAAAGCTGTAAGTATATTTCACAATTTTGAAAGAACAAAAACGGCTGTTATGAAATAGCTACCATACATGGGTATGAACATTTTCAAGCGGATGACTATCAATTAATGCTGTTAGTAATATTGAACAATTTCTAAAAATACCCCAAATATTGTCAATATTGTATAGACCAATCGCCATGTCTCACACCACATCTGTTTTTGGGGCTGACAGAACTGTATCGGGACTCAATTCTGTTGATTATTTTCTTTTTGAATGAAACCTGTATCACTACAGACCCGGAACTGTACAGTGCAGTGATTGCTTGATTTGTTTATATTTTACTATGTCTGTATTCTGTCTTGTCCGCAGGTTTATCTTGTAGATTTAGTTTTGAGTGTAGTGCAGTCCTCCTGGACTTGCTATTAGATTCGTCCCCTGGATTGGTTTTATACTACATGTATGTCCATGTTGGATGTGTCTTGTCTGCTGGTTTGTTTTTGTTTATCTGGGGTGCGATTCTCCTGTACTTATTATTTAAAGAGGAATTATGAGAGATTAGATAAAAAACTGACGATTCTCACTATAATAGGTAAAAACTAGATAATGTAAAGAGAATATGTTGAAAATTTCAGTTAAATTGTTCCGCTCTGAACCGAGATATCAGCGAAATTATTTTAAGCCTAGCCTTGATTATCATTACTAAAGTCGGTACGATAAAAATTAAAGTCTCGATTAAATCATCCATCACAAAATATATTCAAATCCACTAAATATCACAGGCTGGCAATGATATCGAATGTCTAATTAATAATTTATATAACATTTCAGGCCTAAAGAAAGACCTGCAATAGGCAGATTTAGCTCTTGCATAATGTATGTTTAAGTGTAGTTTGATTGTTAAGCACATTATCAATGAAGTTATATAGTAATTATTATTAAATTATTATTATTATTATTATGCAAGAAACTAAGACAAACTGTGTACTAAACCATACGACAGCATCATTAAACCAGTGTGATAGTAAAAACATGATCTACTTTAGTTGTATTAAAATTTAAATGTTTATTAGTAAGTGAATATTGATTTTGTTATGTTGAGTTGTATTTTGAAAGCTGTGCCCTGTCACTGTTGACACTATAGATAATTAAATTGAATATTATATGCTTACGACTAACACCTGGCAAATATGAATAAATATAAATACATCAATTGTTTAAATATATTTCTATTTTAGTATTCTATATAATAATCTATAAAATTTAAAAGGGTTTTTGGAGATCACGTCTAACGTAATTTATAAAATGAACGATACAAAGCTATTCAATACAATTTTCTTAATTTATTGACATCTTTTTCTAGGGTGGGGAATCGATATGATTTCATCAATAATAACATGTATAAACATATAATCGAGAAAAAAAAACAAGTAAAGGAAATGAAATGGGGTTTAATGTCCTACTGTTTGGCACCAACTGGGATAATGAAGATGACCCCCAAGTAAAGGTTTAATGTCCTACTGTTTTTCACCAACTGGGCTAATGAAGACGCCCTTTAAGTAAAGGAAAAATAACATGTTGAGATTTAACGTGAAACAAAGATAGCCAGTGCATTTTTTTTATTATCATTTAATATAGACGTATATCATTGACACACCTGTCCGGTCTACAAGTCCAAGCTCTGACAAATTATTTTCAAATTTGCAGTGATTGTTGATTGGGTTGTAAGGAAGAACCTATTGAAATATATAATTTTTTGATCGCAAATTGCCACTTTATAACTTATAAGTTCTTGATAAAAAGGATTGTTGATTAGGAAATATGGAGAGAGAGAGAGAGAAATGGGGTTTAACGTCCACTCAGGAAATATGGAAGAACTCGATCAAATTTCAATATTTTTGAAACTTAAATTTTGAATGGTTCTTGTAGAGTTATCTTTCTGGTCATATTTTGACTTTTAAAGCTTATGAACATGGAATTTTGTCAAATTTGGCAGGATTGTTCACTGGGACAGCAGATCGAACCCTAATAAAATCATATATCCTTGTGGAGCTAACTTTAAGCTTCTAAACACTATAACAGAATTTTTAAAACTTATCGTAGTTGGATTTTTCAGAACTTGTTCTTAGAACTGACTTGGATGACTTTGCTGCTGGTGAGCATATTATGGGACATGAAATGACCCATTCTATCTTTAAAGGATAATATTGGTGTCAGTCATTCTCACATGTTAAAATTATATTTGGAACGTGTTAAACCAGTTCTATCACATACTGATAATGACTAACAACAATATTGTCCTTTAATTGTATAAATGATGTGGAAACTTGTGTCAGACTTTTACCATGTGTCCTAAATAATGTTCTCTGTTTTTTGTTTATGTCTTTTATTTTATGGATTAATGTGCTATGATTGTTGTAATTTTATATTAGTTGTACTTATTTAAAGCGCCCAGCTGCTCTCGCTGAGTTGAATTGTTGGCGCTATATAAATCAATTATTATTATTATCTCTCTCTCTCTCTCTCTCTCTCTCTCTGTATGAGCTAAATATGCCTATTGTAGGTCTTTCTTTTGATTTCAAATCAGACATTTATTCACATGACAAGCTCATTTGTATTACTGCTCCTTTTATTACATTGTGATAAGAATGAACTACTATTAAAGGGAGATAATCAATGTACATGTACTTAGTCAGAACCAATAAATTATAGATTTCAATATTCTCCTGGAAGTCACTTATGATATATTCTTGATATATTTCAGAAAGATTTAGGGGATCGATTGATGCCTTGTTTTAATACTGAATCAAAAGTTCCATACTCAGACGTCAATTTACGAACTGGAAAAGCCCGTTCTCCAAATTGGGGTCCAGATAGCAGTACATCAGAAGTGTCGACTCTATTATTAGAATTCTGTGACCTTACCCACATAACTGGTGACCCCAAATATGAGGTGAGTATCGTAAAAAAAAAAGCGTAGAATATATCATTGCTCTTGTAAAAAAACACAGGGGGGGGGGGGGCAAATGGTTAGCGAGAGTGGGCGCTGTATCATAAAGCCTAGAATAGAATATGTCATTGCTCTTCTAAAACAAACATACCAAATGATATAAGTTTTGAAATTTAGAATTTGATATTTGTCAAGAACCCAAAGAACAACCTAAATCTGATTTGGCCTGAAGTTGTTAAAATTTTCTAATGTACAGAAACACCGTATTAAGGCAGCATACAAATACATATTGGTAATAAAAATACAAAAAACACATATATCTATCTGTTGATATGTAGTTTCAATAGGAAAGAAAATAGAATTACAAAATATATGGTAGAGTTATTAGTGCAATGACAATAAATGGTACAGTTATTAGTGTGATAATACGGTCTGTCATTAAGTCAACTGGCGTGGTTTCGATTCCCCGGTTGTACATGACAAGGGGTAGGGTCGTCTGTCCAACCTCGTGGGTTTTCTCTGTGTTCTCCAGTTGCCTCCCACTGCTAAAGACCCCTACGCACAAGCGAATTATTGAAATAAAATTGAACCATGTGTTAGTCCCGAAATGACTTAGTTTGTGTCGAGAGGACGTTAAATCCCATTTCTCTCTCTCTATTAGTACAATGACAATATATGGTTGAGTTATTATATATTACAATGAGAATTTTAAAAACATCTCCAATTTAAAAACATCTCCAATTTAAAAGTGGTATTGTATGGAGATAGAAAGTGTTTTGGGCAGTTCTGTTTTGTTCAGGCCTGGAAATAACGGTTTTAGATGTACCTGACAAAATGTCAGGCACTAATGAAATAGTACCTGACATTTTCAACTTAGTGCTGGACATGTATTAATAATATCAATAAAAAAGACAAATCAGTGCCGTACAAAATGACAGGCACCAGAGGTTTAGTGCCTGACAAAACCTGAATCTGTGCCTGACATTGTCTGTGAAAGGTGCCTTATTTCTACGCTTGGTTTTATTTATTGAATAATTTGTTTTAAGGATGTAGCCACTAAAGTTTCTCAACATCTTCACGCATTACCAAAACCCAATGGCTTGGTACCTATCTTTATCAACGCACAGACGGGTAATTTTCGTCCATCAGCTACTATCACTTTAGGAGCTAGAGGAGACAGTTATTATGAATATCTTCTTAAACAATGGATACAGACTGGTAAAAAACTTGATACGTAAGTATACATAGGGTTTAACGAAATCGTGTTAAAATACAGATCTATATTTCGTTTCGTTTCTTTTTTTACTTTTGATGGCCTACACTACATGAAGATCTGATCAGTTGTACTGGGAGGTTGTGTGAGGGGTCATACGAGCGGGTTTTGACCCTATGATATCAGACATTGATTAATCAATCAGTGTTGACGTTTCTAGGGTTTACCAACTCATTGTCTAATTCCTCAGATCATCCAGAACGCCTGTTATATAAAATCTTATCCTGATCCTAGTGTTGTGAAGACAAGTAAAACAAAATTTTGAACTATAAAAAAATGGAATGAAATAGCTAATACAGGATATGGAACTAACTGATTACATTAATTACTTTAAATCAGGACAATTTTATTTCTGTAACTGTAAATATATTCCAAATTCAGACAAAACGGAGAGAAAATGGCATTTTCAACAGTCCTGGTGCTTACATGCAGCAATGTTATTCTGTTTCTCTTTCAGATCTAAAGATGATTATGTTCAAGCTATGGAAGGGGTAAAAGAAAAATTAATCAGAAAATCTGAACCTAATAAATTAACATTTGTAGGTGAATTATTGAGTGGAAGAACATTTAGTCCTAAAATGGTAAGTATGTCCACCAGTGTTCTTAATCGGTTGTTCATAATAAGTGGTTCATAATCTGCGTAGCCAAATTAGTACATTTAACGGTAATTTTGATAATCCGGTAAAAAAACAAAACAAGCTTGCTGATTATTCATAACAGGTTCAGTAAGTTGCTTTTGTAAAAATAGCCCACATGGTGAAAGAAGATGATCTGGGCATAGTTTGCCAATCGCACATCTTCCACGCTCTGCATGAATTCCATGTACCGGTAGATATTAAAATAATGTATGTCCACTATATAGCACTGATTGAGGGGGTTGGATGGCAGAATGGTTAGCCTGTGCGCGTTGGATCATAAGGTCTGTCATTGAGTCAACTGCCGTGTTTTGGATTTCCCGGTTTTACGTGACAAGCACTAGGCTTGCATGTCCAACTTCGTGGGTTTCCTCCGTTTTCTCCGGTTTCCTTTCACTGCTAAAGACCCCTATGAAATAAAATTGAACCATGTGTTAGTCCCAAAATGACCTAGTTTGTGTCGAGTGGACTTTAAAGCCCATATATATCTCTCTCTCTCTCTCTCTCTCTCTCCAGACAAATTAATCACCCATATGTATATTTATATTTTAGGACATTATAAATTATATTTTAGGACATTATAATTTATATTTTAGGACATTATAATGTGTATTAATATTTTAGGACATTATAATTTATATTTATATTTTAGGATCATCTGGTATGTTTTTTACCTGGTACTCTAGCTTTAGGACATCATAATGGTTTACCTGACGATCATATGGAGCTAGCTAAAGAATTGATGAATACTTGTTATGAAATGTATAGAAGAATGGCAACTAAACTGAGTCCAGAAATAACATATTTTAACATGGCTCCAGGTGCACCTGAAGATCTCATTGTTAAGGTAGAAACTTCTTACTGTTGTTGTTATTGTTGATTAATGTATTACCATGGCAACAATCTCCATCATTTTCGTGAAATATGGTTTAATTTTAATATTTTATAGAATATGTAATAATGAATATCAAAGACAACAAAGATATGCTGTAAATTAGCACAATTATGTTTTATATATAAGTCACAGAAACAGACTCAGTGGTTGACACTCTGTAATAATTAAATTATTATACGCCCACATTTTCATATGGATGTATATTGTCGTTGACCCTGTCTGTCCGTCCACAAATTGTTTGTGGACAATCAACAAATCACAAAAGTTATCAGATTTAAAATATAGGTCTATATCCCAAAGATTTCGGTTCCCTTTCGGACCATAACTTCATGGATTATGGCCCCTGATTGTACGAAAAATCATGATTTTAGCTTGTGGACACTCTAGAGGTCACAATTTTTATCTGATTTTGATGGAACTTCAAATGTATATTTATAACCCAAAGATCACGGATCCTGTCAATATTCGCGCATATCGGACTGTAACTTCCTGGATTATGGCCCTGATATTACTAAAATTCGCATTTTTAGCTTGTGGTCCCTATAGAGGTCATAATTTTTATCCAATTTATCGACTATATCACCATTAAACCATAACGATGGTTGAGTTTGAATTTCAGGAAAATCAGACCAATTTTGATGAAACTAGAAATATATGTTTATATCCCAAAGATCTCAGTTCCTGTCTATATTCGGGCATTTCAGACTGTAACTCCCTGAATTATAACTCCTGGTTGTACGAAAAATCACGCTTTGTTTTTTTTAAGCTCCAGCCATCTCTTGCAAGATGTGGGCGTATTTTGCCTGGCAACCGCTAGTTTAATTCATTGTTGGCTTATCAGGCAAATTTTTATTGTATAATTTTCATTTAACTTGTCATTACAAATATTCTATTTCTAGATTAAAGAAAAAAAACTTTAAGAGCATCAAAATGATGACTTAAAACTGTTTAAGGAAAAACATCTTTAACCCGTTAAGTGCGTAGGTCTTTATATAACTTCCTGGACAACTGCCACTCACTGTGTGTAGGGCGTAATATAACGCCTTGGAGGTATTTTCCTCAACCTATTCTTAGAACATAGTACATAGTTCTTCGTCACTTCGTCAAATTAATTACACAAAAGGGGGTAGTTAACGTTTTAAAAACGTCACACTTAACGGGTTAAACACTGAAAATAGAAATTGTATTGATTTTCTCTTCTTTTGATTTTCAGCCATTGGATGCTCATAATTTACTACGTCCCGAGACTGTGGAAAGTTTGTTATATTTATATCGCTTCACAGGAGACAAAAAATACAGAGATTGGGGATGGCAGATCTTTCAAGCTTTTGAAAAATATACTAAAGTGCCAGGAATGGGGTATTCCTCGATAAACAACGTTAAATCTCTTAAACCCAGTTTTAAAGACAAGTTAGAGAGTTTCTTTTTAGCAGAAACATTAAAATATTTATATTTATTATTTAGCGATGATCCAAATTTATTGCCTTTAGATAAATTTGTATTTAATACGGAAGCCCACCCATTGCCTATCTATAACTCGTAGTGATAACAAAAATTTTAATTTCATTTTTACGTGAATCTTTTTAGACGTTCGAAAAATTTGTGACAAGCTTTAACTAAATTTGCCATTACAGTAAAACCTGTCTTATTCTTACTGTTTTTGGGACCAAAGAAATCATTATGGAGAAGAATATGTAGTAAAAATCAGACTTTTTGGATGGTGTAAGTTGGGTTTTCTTGTTAAGTTTGTGACCTGAATATTTATCACAATTGGAATGACACCTTGTAGTGAAACAAAAAATACGGAAAAGGGAAGAAAAAAATAAGGGACAAATCGTCTATTATAACTCACAATACAAGTCTCTTAGTCCATAGCAGATAGTTGTATTTCTCAGTACAAGTCAGGCTTTACTGTACAGAGTTTAAAGTGGTCGTATTAAGATCGATAAAAACAGATTTGTTTTTGTATCCAAGGTTATTACAATCACCTATTTGTTTCAAATCCACGTATCGATAAGGCTAAATTTGTATACAACGGTACACTTGATTTAGTCATAGATGCAATAATTTGAAATACTCATGCTCAAACTCGACCCTTCCTCATGCTATTTGTTGACAAACATGTTCATCTCAGTTGCTATGGTTAACATAATTACCAATAAAATAGGACTGTGTGATTTCTAAATTGTAATTTTGTTTATGTATAACAAGATATACTATCTTGACAGTTGACTATTCAAATCTTAGTAAAACATAATTATTCACTCTGAATAGACAATCACGTTTGTTGTACTGTCAATCGGAAAGTTATTTAGTGATGTCTAGATGTGAATTACCTTTAAATCAAATTTTCTTGCACTGATGATTATTGTGTGAAAAATATACTGATGTTGTGATAGTCACCGTGCAAAAAATATTTGAGGTGACAAAATCAACAAACGTAATATTATATTAATGGTGTTTCATCGATTACAATGATGTTTAAAGCTACAATTTCATATTTTTAAGTTATATTTTGTAAAATTTATTAAAATAAAGCCTTAAAATAGGTGGTATCTATTAACGGTCCTACTTTGTTAAAGAATAATCCTATTAATCCTATAATTCACTATTGCCAGCTGAGAAATTGGCAAAAATATCATTTTCAGCTTCAAATTCAAACGTTTGAAGATAGATATTCCATGGAGGTAATAGGAAAACAAGGAAGGTAATTGTGTTATTATTTCCTGTGTCAATAATTTTTAAGGGTGGGAAATAATAATGCCCATGATCGTATAATAGTGAGTTGATAACCTATTGGGCAAAAGACATAGAAATAATTATGTTTTGACTTTCTTAGAAAATATGAAATTCTCGTTTTAAAGGAATGTTATTATTGTTATTTACTGTAATATGTATTTAAGAGTTAAACCACTAGCTCAATATGTTATATAAATTACCACATTTACAGCATTATTTAATCTTTTCATGAGTTCAGGGGCGGATCCAGAGGGAGGGGTTTTGGGGGGGGTTCAAACCCCACCCTTCTCAGCTACATAAAAAAAATTATGTTCTTACAGAAGGTGGGAAGGAATGGGCATTCAAATCATGAAATAATGATATAGACATGTATGATTTCACAATTAATGCTTTGCATCATTGAAATTGAATCACAATATGATTGTATGAATTCATAATAAAAATTGACGTCACACAAGGTGTTGTATGTGTATGTACGCCTATGTAATTTAGAGACGATGATGGCATCATGCATTGTCAACTGTCAAACCCCCTCCTGCGAAAAATTCCTGGATCCGCCGCTGGAGTTAAGCTTTATATTTTATCTGTTTCATGAGTTCACTTCAACATGTTTGAAACCACTGTTTAAAGGATGTTTATACCACTGTTTAAAGGATGTTTGTGCCACTGTTTAAATTATTAATGAGTTAAATCACTAGCTTAAAGATACATTCCCGCGTACAAACTGGGTGATTTGACGATATATTTGGACTAAAAACATATTCAAACTAATTCATTTATCATAATGTTGCTTCAAATCCTTCTCAAAACATTGCAATTGTCTGGTATACTCTGGCTATAAAAAATCAATCAAAAGAGGTCATGTTTGTGTCACATGACTTACCTCTCTCGGTACCTAGCAAGGGTGCGATGTCGGAGGAGAATTTATTGCATACTCAAGACTATGTTGTCTTTAATCCCTGACTATTTATTACAAATATCGAAGCCTAATTAAATTCGCGGATTATCCACTGCCTGCGTCTTTTCCAACATTTTTATCTCAGAAAGTGTTGTACGTCTAACTCTTCATAAAGTTTATCAAAATGTACATCAAGCGCTCAATCTCCGCGCATTATTTGACGTCACGCGTGCACACACTCCTAATCGTCAGGCCGTTGATTAGGGAAAACCATACTTTTTTGTCCTGTATACGCTCCATGAGTGTTTTTCAGGCAATCCAGTATTTTTCTAGTAAGATTGGATATCTCTACTTTCCATATATACCAAAATTGCCATACTTTTATACCAAAATTGCCATACTTTTATTGGAAATAACCACCCGATAAATACTTTTCTGGGAATGTATCTTTAAAGTGTTATACATATATTTACCATTCTTCATGTTTTATCTGTTCTGTAAGATCATTTCAACATATTTCAAACCACCATTATTTATTTTTATGTCATGTAAATATGGGTGAATTATGTACAATTTCATGTGACTGTTTATCCATCGATGTGGGATTGGCCCAGTTTATAAATTTTTATGAGCACATAATTTGGTGGAAGCCGTCAGAATAATTAATTTATTGTTAGGTTATTAGGGAATCTGAGCCTATCATTCTGATTAAAACACAGATCGTTTTTTATAGTTTAAAATTTCATTTTACTTGTCTTTACTACACTAGGATCTGGAAGAGTTGTTGTATAACCCGTATTCTGGATGATGTGAGGGATTAGCCAATGAAATGGTCTGTTACGGCTAGTTTTGGCGTGAGATGTACGGAACTGTGGGTAACCCACTAGAAACATCAACGCTGATTGGTTAATCAAACATCTGACGTCATAGGGTCAAAAGCCACTCATAATTATGAAATGAAATGAAATGAAATGGGGTTTAACGTCCTACTGTTCTGCTCCTATACTGGGCTAATGAAGACGGGCATATGCCATACAGTGTGCTATGAGGGAAATTTGGCCCGGGCAGCGGCACTATCGCCTACTCTTATATCGAATTCCAACTGCCAAGGGATCTTTTACGTGCATTCTAATGTATACACGGGACCTCGGTTTTTCGTCTCATCCGAAGGACTAGACAGCTGTCCTTGTCAGGCCCTCCATTCTGCACCACTGACAAGGGGAAACCACGTCGGAAAATCAGGATGAACTTTCTCGGGCAATGCAGGGATCGAACACCCGACCTCCAGGCTAGCGAGCCAGTGTCTTAACCACCCAGCCACCGTGGCTCCCCTCATAATTATGACCCCAGATGCAACCTTCCACTACAACTTGACAAATCTTCATATAGTAGAGGCCATCGAAAGTATAAAAAAATGAAATGAAATATAGATCTGTATGTTAATAAGACTGGTGGTCTATATGATTTAATATTCGTGGTCATTCTTCATTGAGAAGTCTTGGCCGAGAAAGTTCATCCAGATTTTCCGGCGTGGTTCTCCCTTGTCAGTGATGCAGGACGGAGGAGCTGACAAGGAAAGCTGTCTAGTCGTTCGGATGGGACGAAAAACCGAGGTCCCGTGTACACATTGGCGTGCACGTAAAAGATCCCTTGACAGTTGGAATTCGATATAAGAGTAGGCCGTAGTGCAGCTGTCCGGGCAAAATTTCCCTCATAGCACACTGTATGGCGTATGCCCGTCTTCATTAGCCCAGGTTAGGAGCAGAACAGTAGGACGTTAAACTCCATTTCATTTCATTTCATTTCATTTCATTTCATTTCATTTCATTGAGAAGTCAAACTTATGACCCAATTAAGCCTGAGGGAACACATCTTTAAATAAAAAATTGATTTTTTTTAAAAGTAGAAAAAATTAAATCAGACAAGGTCAACAATTTATTTTTTTCTCTACAAAAAAAAGTCAAATTTCTTTTATTGCTTTTTACTTGTTAATGGAAGAGTCAGATTGGTTTAAAAGACAGGAATGTTTGTTACTGGACTTAAACTTCAAGATGTCCAGCTGATAGTTGTGTATTCATTTATTCTTGTACTTCATCAATTGAGGTGGGTTTTTATTTTTTGGGGGCAATTAAGTTTGACATTTTGGATTGTCTGTGTTCATTCATATAATATACATGTACTGTTGTGTGTTTCTGGGTAGTTCTATGTTACACTATCTAGAATCAGGACTTGGATCAATCTTCTAGGCTAAAATACATATTTCTGTCAAATAGTTGTTTGGTCGAAACTTGCTTGACTTGCATCTGATCACTATTTACACAGAATATGGCTTGGGTTAGAATATTTGGCCTTCTTTTAGCCTCCTGGTAGTTTTTCTAACACTAGTCTAACATGTATCTAGTCAAAGAGAACCATTCCAACTAATCCATTATGTGAAAATAGTTTTTGTATCACAACAAAATTGTGAACTGTTCCCACAAAACCAGACTCTTGGTCATTTTTATAAAAATAGAGCTGGCAGCATATTTGAATAGTCCACAGCCATGAGTTTGGATCATTCACAGCAACAGAAGGTCATACATTTTATGCTCTTGTGCCCATAGTATAAAATGAAGTTGTGCAACAAGTGTCTGGTTTCGTGGGAGAGGGTCACACAATTGATCAAACCACAAGTTTCAATATTCTTTTATAAGTGTATTTTTTAGTTTTAATAATTTTTTTATATAGAATATGAATAAATGCATGGATATTGTCTGGGGTAAATAATGTTTTAAACTTATTCATTGATGTTCTTTGGTGGAAAGTTTGGAATGACACTGTCTTATTGACTAGTTAGATACAGATTTAGAACGTGGAATAAACAGAACCTGCCCAGCATTACTCATATTACATACAGTGGTTGGGTTAGAGTTAGCCTTATAATATTATATGGTCCCAAAATTACTCCAGTTCTTTTTCATATAAATTATATATTATGTATCTAATATGCTTAAGGGGAGATAATTCACTGTGTGTGGTCTATGACATTCTGCATACTTCAAGGGCTAAATTTGTTTTTTAAGGTCAGCTCAATTTTTGTCAAGATTGCTGAGATGTAAATACGGTCAGGGCATGTGATTTTTGGTGAGATTGTAGGTTAGGTTTTAAGTTTTAGGGTAAGGATTAGGGTTAGGTTTAAGAATTTGGGGGGAGAGGTTAAGTCTCCACATAAGCACTGACCTAGGATGATGAAAAATTAGTTCGTGATATTTCCTAGTTTTATTAAAATACATACAATACATTAGATTTATATACAAAGGCGATTTCACTGTTTATTGGTGTTGGTGGCGCTGATGGTCTTCCTTGGGTGGTGCTTCTGGTATTCTGGTATTGTTGTTTCTGAAGAGAAAAGAAAATAAATTTGAGGCTCTCGGGAGAGAGCCACATTAGTGTGTTTCCTACAACGGATTGGATTTTATAAAAAAATCGTGTTTGTTCCACATCACCGGGTTACGGCTAGGGATTCTTATATCTACTTGATTTTAATTACTAACGGTTAGGCATAGGATTTGATATATGGTTTGTTTTGGGTCAGGGTGGAGACTGGTCTTATTTAATCTAATTTACTGTGCACTAGGATGTCGTTCAGATTTTTATTTTTAGAATATGCAATTATAAGTTTCTGTGTGAATATTTTCGGGTGATTTTCTTGGAGATCAGTATAGTGTTTTCTGATGATTTTGGACGCACTTGCTGCTGTTGCGCTAAATGGAACTACAAAAGGAGCTATTGCGCTAGCCGTATGAATATTCAAACCTAGGGGGGCTGTTGTTTTCAATTTGTCAATCCAGAATTTTTCTCTTGTTAGCCTAAACGTTTTAATTTCTTCTGAAGTTTCAAAGTCGCTCTTGGTCTTTTCTATTGGCGTGACAATGAGATCTGAAATGTCATGATTTGGTTGGTTGAAATGAATTGAGACAGGTTTGTCTTTTTTGGTGACTATGTCAGACCGGTGACCGTTAATTCTTTCCCTAAGTGCATTTTGAGTCTCCCCTACGTATTGCTTGTCACATTTTCTGCATGAGATAAGATAAATTATGTTTGAACTACTGCATGAAAGTTGGTCTAATATTGGGAATTTTGTGCCAGATGTTTTGTTATGGAAATGGTCGGATATGTTTAAGATTTTGCATGTTTGACATCTTGGATGGCCACAAATATTGGTTTTATGTGCTGATTGTATATTATTTGTTTCTTTGGCGGCAAGCTCAGCTAGAGTGTAGTTTTTTATACGTCGTAGATAGCGTTTGGAGTATCCCCTTTCCCGTAGTTTGCTAAATACCAATGTACATGCTGACTCAAAGTCGGTCTTCTGAGTACATATCCTATGAAAACGGAGAATCTGAGATTTTATGATGCCAGAGAATGTATGTTTTGGGTGAAAGGAGCTTTTGAACAATAATTGATGTGTGTCGGTTTCTTTGAAAAATACTTTAGTTTCCAATTGGCCTGTGATTTTGGTGTTGTTACTTTTAAAAACGGTAGTATCAAGGAAATCTATGCTGTTATGGCTTACATTTGCGGTTAATTTGATAGATGGATGATGATTGTTCAGGATGTTGAAAAACGTCCAAAATTCGTCTAGTGTGTAGGTCCAGACTATGAAAACGTCATCTAAAAACCGCCCATAGAAATCTGGTTTTAATGGACAGAGTGGCAGAACTTCCCTTTCCCACTCCGCCATGAAGAGATTTGCATAACTCGGGGCAAATCGTTTTCCCATCGCAGTTCCGGAAGACTGAAGGTATACTTGGTCGTTAAAAGCGAAGTCATTCCTCCTCAGACAAATGTTGAGTAATTTGAGGATTTCTTCGTCCGGCCTGGATGCTTGCGGGTTCCTAAGAAATGCTTTCCTAACTGCTTCAATACCTATGTTATACTTGGAGACTGTTGTTAAGCAGAGCTAATTGTAAAGAGACAGTGTAAGTCAAGTATTGGTCTATTATGGAAATTATTGAAAGAGAATGTATATAGTTGGTTTAGCTATGATGGGGGAAAGTTAACTGATAAATGTGTGGTTTTATATATTATCTTTTAATTATTTCAAATGACTTGTCAAGCAGTGGACACACTCGCTGAATCAATCTGTGTCGAGATTCACCTAGTGTGTCCACCGTCATTCGCCTAGTGTGTCCGCTTCGCAGATCTATTTGCCCGAATGTAGAATTTATTAGCCAATCTCCACTCATCATCCAATCATACCGAGAAGTCACGTGATTGTTTGAAGACATGGTCGCCAGACTCGCCACCATTTGCTTAGTGTATCCACCTATTCGGCCGAATGATTCAGCTAATGTGTCCACCGCTTCAATCTCTCGACCAAGCCAAATATTATCGTGAAGCTATTCCACAAAACATGTTATCATATTGATAATTTAATTTTTATGTGTGCATCCATATCAATTAATATTTAACCTCCGACTAGGGTAATTAAGTTATAGTCTTGAACTCCTTCAATCTAAATTATCTATATATTGACTGCAGTGGTGATTGGTCTAGATAAATTAGTGTTAACTGTCTATCAATACACTGATAAAGATCAAAAAGAGATTTTATTCTGCGTTGGAACTTACGGAATACATTGTTAACCAATGGATTAAGACAACATTTCCATAAGTCTTTTGGGGGGGGGGGGGGGATGGCCGAATGGTTAACCTGTGCACATTGTATCATAAGGTCTGTCATTGAGTCAACTGGTTGGTTTCAATTCCCCGGTTGTATGGTGGCAAGGAGTAGGGTCGTCTGTCCAACCGCGTGGGTTTTCTCCGGGTCCTCTGGTTTCCTCCCACTGTTAAAAAACTCTATGCGCAAGCGAATTATTGAAATTAAATTGAACCATGTGTTAGTCCCGAAATGACCTAGTTTGTGTTGAGACCACGCCAGACCTTATGATACAGCGCGCACGTGCTAATCATTCAGCCATCCAACACCCCTTTCTTCATTAGAAAATATAAACCTTTAGTATACTGACATATCTGACATAAATCAAATATCTAAAGGTAATTTGATTAGATTGTTTTTTTGGAAAAAAAAGATAATCTCTAAAAAAAAAAAAAAATAATACTAAAATTAATATAAGTTTATTGCTTTATATTCCTTTATTGATAATCAAATTATTATATTTTTAATAAATATATAAGTAAAATGATAATCTCTAAAAAAAAAAAATAATACTAAACTTATGTTTTTCCTCTATTGATATCAGATTATTATATTCTTAATAAGTTTATATATGTAGTTAATAATTTATTTTTATATATCAACTGTTCTACATTGATGATGATGTGAAAGACATTGTAGAAGCCGAGTGAGGATTCACAACAGATCAATTTGATATATTCTAAAGTCACTCATGGTTTTTTTGTCTGTTGGATATAGCAGAAAATCTAGTATTTAAAGGACAATATTGGTGTGAGTCATTATCACACATGTGATAGAACTGGTTAAACACGATCATTGCTACGTTAGATGCGTTATGGGGATTTCAAGAAAGGAAAGTGACGAACTGAAAACGAAAACACAAGTTATCCTTCTATATAATTGATTGAAGTGACGAGTGATAACAGATACACAGGCGAATTTCTGCTCACTAATTCCTTGTATATAACTGACTGAAGTGACGATTGATAACAGATACACCGATATTGTCCTTTAAGTTGGCTATTCTATATTGTAACCATACATCATTTACATGCTTGAGGCAGAGTTTTCTTACTCTTTCTAAACCACAGAATATTTGGGTATTGATTATTATTCAGAAAGTCATTTACTGTAAATTGTCTCGCTTCTGCCTTTTCATTCAGGTATATTTGTACCTGATGATCTATTTTGTATTTTATATTTAAACAGGTGATATGATACTGTTTTAAAGAGCTACGTCGTATATAATAGCGCAATAGCTCTCTATGTATTTGTATTACTATAAGCATTTTAGCTTTTGGCATTAATTGGAAGTTATATACAGATTGTTCAATAGGATGCCAGAGAAATGACAAACGATGTATTTATATAATTTTAATTATGTAAACAAATGATGTCAATCAAAACAACTAAAAAGAAACTAAAAAGCTATTAAGAGTTACCTCCAATTAACTAATTTGTAATATTACATAATTACTATGACTATTTCATTTTGAACATAGATAAACCAGAAAATTTGATTCAAATATTATTATTATGTTTAAAAACCATTCTGAGAAAATCTCAGTTGATTTGAAGGGTATTAGGTATTATCTGATAATGTGTTTCATATATTCTAGAGAATACATTATGTAACAGATTGGTTGGAGTATATAGAATAATGTATATAGCGAGTAAATCACCGTGGTAACTAAGTGAACTTGTTCTAAAGAAATTCATAGAATGTAAACCATACCCTCAGACTAATATACTGAAAAATGAACTGATTTTAAAGAGGCATTGTCACTCTCACTGAGAATATTTTTATTTTTTTATAAACAATTGGCTGACCAGTAAAATCAATTTGCATATATCCAATTTGCATATTGGTCAGCCAATCGAATTGCAGTATTTCTTAAAATTTCGATTGTATCTTATTAAGTTTTCGTGAATAAGGACCCTGTTCATTAAAAGAGTCGTGTTTCAGAGTATGTATCTGTATTTTTAAACAAGATGGTTTGTGCTCAGAGGAATGTTATATTCCTCACTATGATAGTTCAATAATAATGTTGTGTATGTAATGTATTGTAAATAAAATGGTTTATTAAAATATTATTTAAAATCTGTATGTTGTATTTTCATTTAAAAATTCCAGTAAACTCATTTCTGACTGTCCATAATCAACTTCCTCTCAAATACAACCAAGCCTGGAAATAAGGCACCTGTCACAGACAATGTCAGGCACAGATTCAGGCTTTGTCAGGCATTAAACCTCTGGTGCCTGTCATTTTGTCCGGCACTGATTTGTCTTTTTTAATGATATTATCAATACATGTTCGGCACCAAGTTGAAAATGTCAGGTACTATTCCATTAGTGTCAGGTACATCTAAAACCGTTATTTCCTCGCAAATACAACAACCACGGATAAATGAAATGGGGTTTAATGTCCTACTGTCCTTCGCCGACTAGTCTAATGAAGACAGGCATACGCCATACAGTATGCTATGAGGGAAATTTTGCCCGAGCAGTGGCACTATGGCTTACTCTTATATCAAATTCCAGATGCAAAGGGATCTTTTACTTGCATGCCAATGTATACACAGGACCTCATTTTTGCATCCCATCCAAATAACTAGACAGCTGTCATTGTCAGAACTCTCCGTCCTGCACCACTGTCAATGGGAAACCACCCCAGAAAATCCTGATCAACTTTCTTGGCTAATGCATGGATCGAACACACAAACTCCAGGCTAGCAAGCCAGCATCTTACCCACTTAGCTACCGTGGCTCCCAAATAACCACAGAAGAGTTTACCTATTAGGAACATGTGGTCGAGTGGGTTTAAAGGACCAATCCCGATAATATTTTGGAGAATAAAATTTCTTAATTAGGGGTTAAAATCCCATAAAAGCCTCTACCTCAGGGCCGAGCAACTAACTCAATATATGTCATACATTTTCAAACAACATAAACCCGTCATCTTCATCTGGAAATGAAAACCAGCATCCCAAGCTGTATTATGTGGTGCCTGGATAAAACCAAGACTTTTATTTTATAAAAATAATGTGACGGTGAAATTTACCTGTATAAACCTCAAAAGGAACGGGAATCGATTATCAGGTCACCCGTCGAAAAATTGACCCGAAATCTTAAAAGGGTTACGTGTCCGGATAAGCAGTTTTGAAGTTCACGTCCAAACGACTCAATATTTTGAGCTAAAATTTTGAGAAGGGGAATATACAATATTTCTCTATATTTTGGCGTTTAAATTTCATACGTACTCAGACTTTTATTTTGTAGACTCTGTTCAAATCGGGATAGTCCCTTTAACACATGTACTTTAGATTATAAGATCTGGCATTGAGACAATGTGTACACGGGACCTCGGTTTTTCGTCCCATCCGAACGACTAGACCGCTGTCCTTGTAAGGCCCTCCGTCCTGCGTCATTGACAAGGGGGAACCACGGCGGAAAAACCGGATGAACTTTCTCGGCCAATGCAGGGATCGAACACCCGACCTCCAGGCTAGCGAGACAGCGTCTTACCCACTTATAATTAGCCACGTGATCCCACTCTCGCTACTGAACGGGTGCCAGATGTATACAAGGTAAAATGGCTTCTTCATCTACCTAGAACACCAAGTACCACCCAAGTTCAGTTTCTCATCCTCAGACTCTTTCTGTTCCTTTTTGCCAAAAGACAAGGATGACAGTAAATGATTTACCCACACATGAATGAAAGAGAAATGGAGTTTAACGTCCTTGACATTAACTATTTCGGGACTAACATATGGTTCAATTTTATTTCGGTAATTCGCTTGTGCTTTGGGGTCTTTAGCAGTGGGATGAAACCGGAGAAAACCCACCAGTTAACTCAATGACAGACCTTATGATACAACGCGCACACATTAACCATATGAATGAACTTTCTTGCATAGGCCCGAGATTTATTTGAATCAAATTGTTTAATATTTTGTGTCAATTATAAGAATGGCTTAACAATAAACAACATAAACAACATTAAATAATATATTATTTTTTATTTATTCTTAATTTACTCATTTATACAAACTCTCAGAACAAATATCAGCAATACAACTTTAAACCAAATATTCTAACCACTACTACTCACACATTCACGCACTCAATCATTCTTCCAATATTTAGACAATGACACATGATCGGTAATGAAAAAAATCATCCTATTTACAAATATCTAAGGCCTTAGGCCCATTTCTCAAAAGGATATCTAGGGATATGGTCTCTTCATTTGTTTTAAAAATCAATGAAGTGATAACGGGATAGTTTTTCAAGAAATAGACCCACAAGCAAATCTAACAATTTCACCCATTTGAAATTCACACAAATGCGTTCAAATATATTTTGCATTGTGTAAAAAAAAACGATTTTTAAAATTATTCCCATTCACTCTAGCCGAGAATATATATATATTGAAATGATTTACAACATCACCAAAGAAATGATTAAAAAAAAAAAAAATAAACTGTGTTCTTAATATTAACATATACATGTATTTCTTAACAACGATGCTTTTATGCCAACAAAACATGATTTGAAGTTGATGTACATGTGTAGATCTTCTTCGACGATGATGCTCCCTCTCAAAAAAAAAACATACCAATGCCAGCTTTGTGAAAATTTCAACCAATGAATGCTTGGTCGCTATATCTTACGATTTATTAATATCACATGACTGCCAAGGACAAGCTGTATCACTTTACGTAATACATTTCTTTTAACATTAACAAATCTAATCAATCAACTCTCCAAAACTGTACACTACGTGAAATCAAATAACCACTAACTATCATTTAAATCTGGGCGCGTTATCATATATCCTAAAGGTTTTCTCGATTCAAAATTTCTAACTTCAATTATAATCCCCAAAATTTCAAAACATTGTGTTGATTGCGAAAAAGACGATGGAATTTGTATGTACTTTAGAATCTATTTTCCAAACAATTGACATACATTTAAAATTTAATATTCGTTGAAGATATATTTCACAAAAAGATCTGGTTTTACTCATTATGGCCGCCACTGTCGATGACTGGAAAGTACAGTTAAAAAGTGAACCGAGTGCTTCTATTCAAGATGTGAATTGTGCAGAGAATACTACAAAACGGTCATCAACCCTCACAAACCCCCTTCTCTTAAAACATATACTTAAACCAATTAACAAATCTAAAATATCGCTGTAACGTTCACAGTAAAACAATATTTCAACTAACAATGAGGGAGGGGTTCCCGGGTCAATGACATGGGATAGATAAAACGACACCAAATTTACACCACCGAACAAATCTAACAGTCATTTTTCTTGACAAGTTCAAGCATTGTGTTTTATGCTGTATGGAGAACGACATATGTCAAAATATCTGATGATTAACAGTCACTAATGTATATTTTTTAGCATGCGTCTCTCCATAAAGCTTAACACGTGGCAATTCATTGTCAACAAAAATGACTAACATCTTCACAAAGCTGGCATCCGTCACAGACAATCTTCAACATTTGGTCCACTCCACATGAAGATAGAATAAGGAGATGATGGAAACGTGACAGAAAACTAAACGATACATTTCTCACAATTCGTCGTGATCCTCGTCCTCTGATTCCTCGCCACCAGGGGGAGGTGCCCCTCCAGCACCTTCGTATAATTTACTAGTGATAGGCTGAACAACACTTTCAAGTTCTTTCTTTTGTGTTTTGAATTCTTCCGCATCGGCTTCTTGGTTGGCTTCTAACCATTTAATTTTTTCGTCTACAGCTTCGTTGATCTTTTCTACATCTTCTGCGCTTAATTTAGCACCTAATTTTTCCTTATCATTTACTTGATTTTTTAACGAATAAGCGTAACTTTCAAGTTCATTTCTTGCTTCTACCTTCTCTTTGACTTTTTTGTCATCATCAGCGTATTTTTCGGCATCGTTGATCATTCTTTCAATATCCTCTGGTGAGAGACGATCTTGATCGTTTTTAATGACGATATTATTTTTGTTTCCTGTGCCTTTGTCTTCAGCTGTGACTTTCAAAATACCGTTGACATCGATTTCAAAAGTGACTTCAATTTGTGGGACACCTCGTGGAGCAGGGGGGATTCCTGTCAAATCGAATTTACCCAATAAATGATTGTCTTTAACCATGGGTCGTTCTCCTTCAAGGACGGAAATGGTGACAGTGGGTTGATTATCAGAAGCTGTAGAGAAGATCTGAGATTTTTTGGTTGGAATGACAGTGTTTCTGGAAATAAGTTTGGTCATGACGCCACCCACGGTTTCGATACCCATAGTAAGAGGGTTGACATCAAGAAGTACAAGATCTCCGGTGTCCTCTTCTCCACTCAACACACCAGCTTGTACAGCGGCACCATAGGCAACAGCTTCATCAGGATTGACACCACGATTTGGCTCCTGTAACAAAATTAAATTTTAAAATTATTTTTCAAAATAAGACCACTAAATTTTCTGAGAATTTTGGGCTATGCATTATTACTAATAAAAGTGTTTGTAAGATGTGAATTTTTAAATTTTTGCAGTGGGTGGAACCCCTTATCCCTTTTTGCCAGCCCCTCACGTGAAAACCCAATTGGGCTTGAAACATCCTACAAGGACTTGAACGAGTCAACGATAGGATCTATATTCGCTTCTCTGGTGCTGAAAAAAATAACGAAAACAAAAAATGTACACACCTTTCCATTGAAATATTCTTTGACCAATTGTTGAACTTTAGGAATACGAGTGGAACCTCCAACTAAAACAATTTCATCAATTTCTTCTTTTTTAAGATCAGAATCTTCCATAACTCTCTGGACGGGTTTCATTGTTGATCGGAATAAATCCTGTAGAAACAAAGCAAGACTTTAGAACAAGACAGGAATTTAATCGGCTATTAGTAGATGCAGTTGACATTCACAACTGGAGAATTTTATGAACAAAATGTGGTTATTTTCAATAAAAGTATGACAATTTTGGTATATATGGAAAGTAGAGATATCCAATCTTACTAGAAAATACTGGATTCCATGAAAAACAATCGGGAGCGCAGCGCATACAGGACAAAAATTTCAGGGTTTCCCTAACCGGCAACCTGACGATTAGTGATGTCTGCTCGAGTGACATCAAAGGTTGCACGTGAGTCGCGAAGATTGTGTTAGTGAGCGCTTGATGTATATGTTCATAAACTCAATGGTTAGCTAAAACGTATAACAGTTTCTGAGATATTAAACACAGAAAATTAGGCTTCAATATTTAGGATAAATGGACAGCGACTAAAGACAACATGGTCTTGTGACACAAACATGCCTTCTTTTATTAAGATTTTTTATAGCAGGGGGTATTCCCTGGCAAACACAATGTTTTGAGAAGGATTTGAAACAAAATTTTGATATGTTTTTAGTCCAAACATATCATCAACACAGGAATGTATCTTTAAAAGAAATCAATCAATTTTCTTACCATGTTCAATTCTTCAAATTTAGCTCTGGTTAAAGTTTCTGAGAAATCTTCACTATCGAATAAAGATTCAATTTCAATTCTAGCTTGATGTTGGGAAGACAAGGTTCTTTTGGCTTTTTCTACTTCACGACGTAATTTCTGTACAGCTCGGTTGTCCGTCCTGATATCTTTACCCTTCTTTTTCTTGTACAATTTGATGAAATGGTCCATAACTCTTTGATCAAAATCTTCACCACCTTAAATACAGATTACCATGAAGTATTAACTAATGAAAGTATCATCCAGAGAGAGGGGCCATTTCGGGACTAACATGATTCAATTTTATTTCAATAATTCACTTGCGCGTAGGGGTCTTTAGCAGTGGGAGGAAACTGGAGGACTAAGAAAACCCATGAGGTTGGACAAGCGATCCTACTCCTTGTCCCGTACTACCGGAGAATCAATGACAGACCTTATGATACAGCACACACGCGCTAACTATTCGGCCATCCAACACCCCCCCGACAAAATCTAACAAGTATCTGACATATTGCGCTTCGTGTCTGAGAATGTCTGCAACAGGTACCACCTTGTTTCCAGGCTCGCAGTACAAAAATGTACACGATTATGTTTCAAGAAAAATAAAAACATGAACTTACCAAGATGAGTATCTCCGTTAGTAGCGACTACTTCAAATACACCGTTATCAATGGTAAGTAGAGAAACATCAAAGGTACCACCGCCCAAATCAAATACAAGAATATTCTTTTCTCCTTCCTTCTTATCTAAACCATACGCAATAGCAGCAGCAGTTCTAAAAAATACAATATTTATAGTCAGTTATTTCTTTTAACTAATATTTTATCATTATTACTTTGAAAAAAATTGCCATTTGTTTTATTACGCAACAAAATATGGACCATTTATTTTTTGGGTCCAGTATTTAAAACCTGGTAATTTTGAAAAGTAATTTCTAATCGAGATTGAAAGAGAAACCAATATAGAGAAAAAAGGACATTTATTGTGAATTTTGACAAATTGATCTAGAAAATTCTAATTTGTTATTTTACATTTCTAGCGTAAAATTTTTACTTACGGTTCGTTGATGATTCTCATAACATTAAGACCAGCAATTTTTCCAGCATCTTTGGTAGCTTGACGTTGGGCATCGTTAAAGTAGGCAGGTACAGTAACAACAGCATTTATAATAGTTTTACCAAGATAAGCTTCAGCGATTTCTTTCATTTTTCCAAGAACCATAGCTGAGATTTCTTCAGGTGCAAAAACTTTGTTGGTACCTTGTACATTGGCTTGTATATGAGGTTTGTTGCTTTTGTTGATGACTTTAAATGGATAGTATTTAATATCGTGCTGAACAGAAGGATCGTCCCAGGTTCGACCAATCAAACGTTTCACATCAAAGACTGTATTTTCAGGGTTAGAGGTCAGCTGATTTTTGGCAGCATCACCAATAAGACGTTCTTCTTCCGTGAAAGCTACATAAGATGGAGTAATTCGATTACCCTGGTCGTTAGCAATAATTTCAACACGTCCATTCTTGAATACACCAACGCTAAAATAGAAGCATAATATAAATCATAAACAAATGTTATCTGGGGTTTAACATCCTACTGTTCTGCTCTGACTGGGCTAATGGGCACACACCATACAGTCTGCTATGAGGGAAATATTGTCCAGGCAGCAGCATTATGGCCTACTCTTATATAGAATTAGAATTCCAACAGTCAAGGGATCTTTTAAGTAAACTGATTTACATTCAATCATTTCCGTTTTTACTGTAATTTCTAATCCATTATGTTTGGCAAAATATGCCAGAAGTCTCAATGGAATGGCAATCTCTAGAGACTTGTTATTCCAGTCTACACCAATAGTATTTATTACGCATTCTCTCCAGATAAGAATATGGCATCACCATTTGACATGACTTGTGGAATATGTCTAGCCTCGTTTTTTGAGTCCCTTGTTACAAATGGCACTGAAACGCATCATGATACGTGTACCAATGGTAAAATGTTTGTAGTGTCTTAAATGTTGGATATCAGAAGCCCATTTTTTCCCCGGTAAGATCACAACATCAATGTTGATTTAAACCGATAAATAATTTGTGTTTTCAATTACGAAGGCTCTGGAAGATATGAGTCATTCTTAACATCAATGGTTATGTAGAATGTTGCACGAGAGAAAAATTTGGCTTTCTCTAAGGATCGCAAGAGAAGTGCACTTCTTTTAAAAATTGTGACCATGAATACTTTTTAATTTTGAAGCTTGTAAAAACTTACCATGAGTAAGTTGTTCCTAAATCAATACCAATTACAGTTCCAACTGAATCTTTTTTCTTGTCATCTTCATCGTCACCTCGTACTACACTGGCAAATAATGCCACCACACACACAGAAAATAATAATTTCCTCATTTCTGAAATAGCAAAAATAGATTTTCAACTTACTGTGAAAGTAAAATGGGATTCAGTAAAAGAAGGCCTAATACACTGAATACACAAGGCTAACAGTCTGAAGTACAGGCCCGGAGTTCAAAGTTTTCTCAGATTTGAGAATTTACTCAACTTTCAATCACTGTTAATGAGAAATATCATTGATCCAGAAACACAAAACTTTCCACATAATTTCTTATTGATGTATTTGATACATTAAAATAACAAAAGTTTTATAAAATTCTATATTTTAGTTAAAATAAGACAAACAATTTTTAGCATAAAATCTGAACTTCAAGTCTGAGAATGCTTTGTGAACTTGGGATCTGATCTTGTAAACCAAAGCATAAATACTAGTCATGTTAGTACCATATGCTGGCCTAAGTACATGTACTTCAGGCCCGAACAAAACATTTTCAGACTTAAGATTTTACTCAAAATTGTTTGTCTTATTTTAAATAAAAATAGAACTTTATAAAACTTTTGTTATATTAATATATCAAATACATCAATAAGAAACTACATGCAAAGTTTTGTGTTTCTGGATCAAAGATATTTCTCATAATAAACAGTGATTAAAAAAGTTGAGTTAATTCTTAAATTAAGTCTGAGAATACTTTGCGAACACGGGGTCTGGACCCACTACATGTAGGCCCTACATGTATGTACCTTAACAGAGTTTCTAAATTCCAACTGCTATTCAAAAAGTCAAAGTACAAAATGAAGAGAACTTGAACAGAATACCTTGAGTTTCCAAATTCCAACTGATATTCAAAAATGAAGTGAACCTGAGCAGACAGGAAATGTAATATATGTACGAATCATAACCGGCAACTTTTGTCATTAAATTACAACAACCTGTGTTCTTTTCAAATTAATTACCCCAACAGCTTGCAATTAGTTTACTAACGTCTCACACGAGTGAAATTCAATTATAGAATAAACTCATAATGCATTATAATAATAGTGGTTGAACAAATGAATGATCAGTATGTTTAAGCTCACCAGACCATGATTAAAAAATCAATTTTTCATTAAGTATAGCTATTCAGAATTACATGAAATATTATTATTATTATTCTTAACGGCTTTATTCCTCCAAAAGAAAACTGTTCGTGGATTAAAGGAAACAGCTGTTTGACTTGTGGTGCTCAGGGTCATAGTGAGTTATGTGGCCGTTTGGACATGATGACAGTCTAAATAATTCATTCAACTTACGAAGTAGTATGGATGTGTTGTGTACTGTAGTCTTGATGCTTATGTACATGTACTATTTTATCTCCATTATTAATGAAATGGAGTAGATTAACTACACATACTTATAGATTATAGACCTACACCTCACCTCAGAGTATTTTGGGGAGTGGGGGGGGGGAATTTCAATCAAATAAGTTCATTACGAGATTAATATCAATGATGAAACCAGTGAAAACTATCATTACTGAAATTTCTAGTTGGAAGATGATAGCTATAGGCTCCAGCAAAAACCAAATTTCAAGATAGGAATATTAGAAATTCGAATATTATTAGTAATTTACTACCTATAGAACGTCTTTCTTCAAGTCCACATTTGGACTGGTTACCCCACTCCCAATAAATTGATAGTGGCGAATTTATTCACTTGCATATTTAACAAAATCAAAACGATTTTGTGATACTAGTAAATATGATTCCATTTGTGATTTGTTTTTAAAAATACACGTTTCGGATTCTGAACACGTGAGAAGCCGTCTGGTTGACGAAACGAAAAGTCAAAATCGATTTCACAAATTTGTTTTCCCTCAGCAAGAAATGAACTAATGTTCATTTACAATTTAGCATTATACTTATAGATCTATTTCTCTACTTACCAAAACCTTTTAACTCTATATTAATTGTCTGTTTTCTTGTCAACAGTTTACAAACTTGTTTTGAATGCGGGTTCTTTATATTGAAATCCTTCGGTCTCGTCTTTTCTAGAAATGCCAAATCTACCGGTGTATTCTACGCGTGGACTTTCTATTCCCGTCGATACACTCGTGTACCCTCCTGATTGGTCGACGACTTCACCGTTGTAGAAATCTGATTGGTCGGTTATCAATACTTGTGGGGAGTTCCCTCTGAGACACGTCAGCAAAATGGAAATAATACGTTATGTGTCCGGAATGGTTAGTTTATTGCGATTTATTTATGAGGTTACCTGAGGCAATATACAATTTATTGTTTTTATTATGTGTCTGTACTTTGAATTGTTTTCGAAATCATGGGTTTATTAGGGGGAATTTACGGTTTTCGACGTCATGTGACCACGTGATTAAATTTAACTACCATTTTTATGTAACTTTAATTTATTCAATAATTATTTTAGCGTATTAAAAACGACTAAATAAAATTGAACTAAAATTAGATGAATATTCACTTCAAAAATAGTTAGGGGTACGAATTTAGAAAATAAAGGTACCGTGATGCTTTCTAAACTCCGGTATGCACTCTTTAACCAATGAAATTCAAGGCTGAAATTATATAAAAGCACGTGTTCCGATTGATGGTAGTCTCGAATGTCAAAATGAAAACTATAATACTAATTTATGCAAAGTCTGGATAAACATAACTACAGAAGGGGTTCATCTGGCTCTCCACGGAAACCAACCGCACTGCATTCATTTCTATTGGGGAACACGTGGGTGAGAAGATCGGTTGAAAAAGAGGTGTTAGCGGTTAAGGCGATTAGTATACTGCAGGGTAATTATTACTTGATTGTTGACTTAATTAAACTGAACGAGTAAATTACAGATTATTAAGGTGGATTAGACCACTGAGACATAGGAAAAATCTTGGTTTGTCCGCGGCTAGATTTTACTTTGAATTTGGCGAGAGCAATTTCACGAATTTTAAATCATTCTTGCGCCAAATTTGCCAAGATGTCTAAATTATTTAGATTATAACATGCTGTGTTGGAAATCGTGGTGATAAATTATTCATAATTCAAATAGTTCAATCAAGACCCAGACTCTCTAAGACTGAATCACCCAAAATGATAAAAATGGATATTTTTCTAGAGGCCAGTCGACATCATTCATTGAGCCTATGAATGATGTGCAACAAGGCCAATGTTAAAACCCCTTCATCACCTAGCCCCCTCCACCAGCAACCTCTTAATCGTCTTTAAACTTTAATAGTCTTAATTATAAATGGCAGTGGCTATTGTTTAGTTACGAGTCGTAAAAATAGTCCTTGGGCTATTGTTACGACGATGCTTTCAGAGCCCTCCATCGACGAAGTTAAAAACTGAATAAATGATAGTCGTAAAAATAGTCCTGTGGCTATTGTTACGACAATCGATTTCTAAATTCTATTACTCTTCTGAATCAATGGATTTCAACTTCACTACAGGCATGATGGCACTCTGATGATTACCCTGTGCTTCAATGTATGTATGCCCCCTTCGACAAAATCCTAAACTTTGTCAATGGAGGGCTCTGTCTCAAAGCATCGTCGTAACAATAGCCTGAGGACTATTTGTACGACTCGTCGTAACAATAGCATAGCCACTGCAAATATAAATGCTTTTCAACCTGAACTCCTCGGCTATGGAGCGAAGTCAAACACTTGCTTATGATGTTCAAAAAGAATATTTGCTACGTGACTTACTGGATGATGCAAATTAAATTGACTGAAGCAAGTTTTAAAATTTGTTTGCTGTGAATGACTTATTTTATAGGTTTTGTTTAGTAGTTTATTGGATTCTGTCTTTACAGATAGAAATGCCTGGCTTCATCAATGCAACAGAGAAAATTACAGATTGGTTACAGGGTAATGAAAACATCAGTTTAATAGAATAAATCTAGCCTACATGCCAAATAAAACTGGATCAAATCAATATGATTAAAACACGGATCCTTTTCTTTACGTTTTTTCTAGTTCAAACAAACTTTAGTTTTACTTGTCTTTACTACACGAGGATCTGGAGAAGTTGTTATATAAGGCCACCTATAAAAAAAAATAGTTGATCGTCCTTTTTTTTTTTTTTTTTAAAAATGTGGGAGGGAGGTTTTTTTTTAAATGAATATACAGACTAAGCAATATACTTCAGGAATATTAACCTTTTATTTCATGTCAAAACACAACTCATCTGCATATAGAGCCGCTGATCGTCATTTGAATTGTTCAGATTAATTATTTAAACTTTAGATATTCCGGCTTGGATTCAATCAGATAATATAAAGAGATTTATAACTGAACACTTGGGCCTGGGTTAATGTTGCAGCCTTGCAGGATATCTATTCATATCATGTCTTTGGACTGATATTCCTTTTAGGCATTCAACTTTCATAATATTGTATTTTGCGAATAGTAAGACCAGAAGAGCCTGTTCAAAATAAAAAAACATTTTGCATAACGACTAATCGGTCGAATTAGTCATTCATGCCCCTCACCCATGGCCATTCTGAAAATCCGTTGTTACATTATTCGAGACTGTTCCAGTTCGTATTGTTTTCAAAATATTGTATTTGGTGCTGTACGCGTGCAAACAAAAATGTCAGCCATTGTTGCCGTTGACAGGTCGTAATTTGTTTATGTCATTCAGTCCTACGCATTTTAAGAGTATTGGAACACGTGCCAATAATTATATCCACTTCATTAACTCTTGCGCATTAGGAATTTCGTATCTGGCTACATTTTGGAACTTTTACCATTGGTTTTAAACATCTGACGAAGGTAAATTTTGAAAATAAAAAATAAAAAAAATTCTGGTCGGCTAGAATTTTCTGGGCGGGCGGGGACGATCACCAGCTAATTTTTATGTCGCCTAACTGGAAAAATCATGACCTGGTCAGATCTTCATGTAGTAGAGGCCATCAAAAGTAGAAGAAAAAATTAACGAAATATAGATCTGTATTTTAATCCGATTGGGATTGAATATGGGTTCCAAGTGGAGTAAATTTGACCAAACTGTGAATGATGACAAAAGAGTTAATTTTTTCTGTTAACCCAGTGATGAGATAAACCTGGTCTTTCACTTGTCTGATACAGTTGATTAATTTCTAGGTACCAAATATTAGCGATTTAGCTCCTATAACTAATTTGCCAAGACACATACTTAGAAACAATGTAAATCATAGATAGGTGTACAGGGAGTGCACATGACAAACATCTGGGGATACAATACAATACACACAGATGACTTTGTTCAGTCTTGATATACATGTACTGTCATGTGGATGGTGTGCGACATATATCACCACCATTTTCATTCGTTGATCGATACAGTTGGTTTTCTGGTTTGAGATGTAATCTGACCACTGGGTTACCTTCACATCTGACCCCATGTGTAATACAAACTTGATGTTCAGGTTTCTCCAGGGTTTGGATGGGACGAAAAACCGAGGTCCCATGTATACATTGGCATGCACGTAAAAGATCCCTTGGCAGTTGGAATTCTATTAAGAGTAGGTCATAGTGCCGCTGCCCGGGCCAAATTGCCTTCATAACACACTGTATGGCGTATGTCCGTCTTCATTAGCCCAGTTCGGATCAGAACAGTAAGACGTTGAACACCGTTACATTTCATTGTTATTGAAATAAAATTGTACATCGAACACCAATGAGTTTACCCTTTTATGGTTGAGGATACTAGTTAGTTGCAGGTAGTCATTGAAATCCTGCATCTAACCCCAATAGGTTATCCCTTTGAAGTTTTTAAATATTGGATTCAATTACTTCATATTTTATAATAAATACCATGTTTTGAGTTATAATTGAAAATTTCAATATTTTTCAGTCTTCCAGTATGCCTAATTTCATGATGTTCGCAATTAGTTTACAGGTAATTTGTATTCATAAGACATTTTGTTCATTCAGAATTTTACGTATAGTTCCAAGGCCTGTTGGAAGACTTGATGAATAACCATGATTTTTTGTGTGGAGTTTGTGAATGATGACTTCTATAAATCATTGTTCTATCTCTGTATACAAATATGATGATAAAAACTTGGTCTTTCACTTGTCTGACACAAACTTCAGTCATTAAACTAGAACTAAAATCAGACGGGTGGATGGCGTGCACGTTGTATCACAAGGTCTGTCATTGAGTCGACTGGCGTGGTTTTGATTCCCTGGTTGTCCGTCCAACCTCTGGTTTTCTCCGGTTCAAAATAGAGTAGGTGTTGGATGCTAAAAATCATTTAAAACTTATATCTAATGCATCAAGACTCGCTCTAGTTACAGTTATGCAATGTGCAGATCTTTATAAATCTTGCAAGAAAATCTGGAGTACATTTAGTAGTCATTTGAAAACAAGAATGAAAATTTTACTTCCAATTTTCATTGGATACAAAAAATATTTTAGAAACATTAGGCAACACAAATAAAATAACTTGTTTCTCGGGCACCGCCCGCACGCAAAATTGGTTGCGCGTGCAGTCTATTTATTAGTCTTGATGAAAAAAAATAAATATGTAACGCCCGCCCGCACATCGACAAGCAAGTCGTAAAAAAAATATCCCGCATGTACCTACATCCGCCATACATGTATATCTATTCAAATGTATTAAAACTGATTCAGATGAACATGCTGTTATTTTTATCCGAACAATGGCGAAGTTTGGCAGATTTGCCTTTTTTATTGATATCGAAAGAACCTCCATTTTGTATCACGTGATATTAATTACCTCCCCTGATAAACTAGAATTTGATTCGTGTTAAAAGTCATTGGCGACAATATTTCAATCATTCGATCGTAATCGGCTCATTATTGCCGGCTTCAGTCGGTCCTTGTTTGGAAAATCCTATTGATAAAATAATGAACCGTAGAACAGGTTAATTAATTATAGCTAAGAATACGATACGATGACGATAGTCGTCATAATGCATACCTTAGAATCTGGGTCATTATTAGCACATTTACGGTAGTTTCGATAATCCGGAAAATAATAATTGGATTACCGATTTGATGGTTTTACTGACCAGTTGTTAGTTAGATTTAAATAGTCATTCAATATAAACACCGGATAGAACACCGAATATCCTGAGAAACACACCGAATATCCCAAGAAACAGTATTTCCGGCAATCTCCAATACCGATGACACGGTGTGACATGCATTGGTTGGAATTCGGTAAATAATTATAAATAAACCGGCGATACTAGATTTAGTTTTAAATACTGTTTACCATGATTATTATTTATGATACACCTGGTGAAAGAGGCTTAGTTTTTAAAAATATTGTTGTCTTTATGGAGGGCTATTACATAGTCGTATGGAATTTTATTTTAAACCAATTTCAATTATGTGAATTAAATATGGAAAATTATTTTCCTTTCAGTCAGTGTTCAGTCTCAGTGTTTTAGTAGACTTGATTTTGGGTTTATGTTTTAAGTATGTACAATAAAGTTGAATATAACGGAAAGCAAAAACGTAAACTAGTAATGACTTTCTCATTTAAAAAAAAAAAAGAAAGAAAGACCGCCCTCCCGCCCCAACAATTTTCAGCAATAGCCAAATTTTATTTTGCACCATCAATGAGTAAAAAAAAAAAAAAGAAACCGCCCTCCCTCCCTACAGTTTCAGCTGTCAGTTGCCCGAGAAACAAGACATTTATTTTGTGTGGCCTTAAAGTGGTTAGTTGCTCTTCTCAAAAGATTTCAGTTTCAAGTCTCTTGAGGCTCGAGGCTGTTCTCTGGACACTGGAAGTAAAATTAAACTAATCAGGGCCCCGTTTCTCGAAATCTTAACTAAAGATAAAATTCAAATTTTAGTAGATACTTCAATTTTGATTGGCTAAGCACTAAAATCGGTCTAATATTATCCCATCAAATTACTAAAATTTGGATTTTATCTTAGTTAAAATTTTGTGAAATGGTCCCCTGGGCCCTTATTCACGAAAACTTCAACTAAGATACAATCGAAATTTTAAGAAATACTGCAATTCGATTGGCTGACCAATATGCAAATTGATTTTACTGGTCAGCCAATTGAAATGCAGTAATTCTTAAAATTTCGATTGTATCTTAGTTTACGTTTTCGTGAATAAGGGCCCAGAACAGGAAGTTAAATCCACGATCACTCATTTTAATTTGAACTTTTAACTTTGCAAGTGACTTGTTAATGATGTTATTGTTATTTGCTACTACTGATTTTCATTGATTAGACAATCTTACTGAAACAAGTCCATTATGCAGTCTGGTTAAAACACAGATCCTATTGTTTCGGTTTTTATAGTTTAAAATTTCGTTTTACTTGTCTTGACTACACTAGGATCTGGAAGAGTTGCTATATAACTTGTGTGAGGAATTAGTCAATGAAACAGTCTGTTAACGGCAGGTTTTTGGCGTGAGGTGCACGGAATTGTGGGGAACCCACTAGAAACATCAACGCTGATTGATTAAGCAAATGTTTGACCCCTTATGCGACCTCCCACTACAACCGGTCAGATCTTCATGTAGTAGAGGCCATCAAAACGTATTTTAAAAAAAAACGAAACAAAATATTGATCTGTATTTTACTCAGATCGGTCCAATATTTAATCTACTGAAACATTTTAAATTTCAGAAATTTAACATTAAATTGAATTCTTGTTTCAGTGTTGAATTGTTGATTAAAGATGGCGACTTTGCTTTCAAATGTGTAAAGTGATGAAATGGGTAAATACAATAGAATTTTCTTCATATCTGTTCTAGCCTCGAAAACCAGGATGGGTGGGGCATGGTTTTTTAATTTGATTTAATGTAGAACCAAATGTTTTTTGCTTTTTTTTTTTTTAGCAGTGGGCTCTATGTAACCTTCGTCATGGATGATATTCTCATTCAGAATATTTATGGTGAAAGCAAAATTTTAGTCTTTCGCTCCTATCTGACATGATTACTTAGAACAAAAAATATTTTATGTATAGGCACTAAAGCGGTGGACACATTAGCCAAATCGTTCTGCCAAATTAATGGGTAGACACACTAGGCAAATGCTTCACCCGGTTCACCAGTGGATTGCATCACCTTCCATGTCACATCATTAAATATGGCAGCGACCAGCTCTTCAAACAATCACGTGACTTCTTGATAGAAGTGGTGATTGGCTAATGAATTCTACAATTGAGCGAATGCTTCAGCAAAGCGGACACACTAGGCGAATGTATCAAACATATCAGATCTTTGTTTAAAATCACCAAAAATCAGTGTTAGCTTATCAGTCATGTATGATGATATTCCCACTCTAAAATATTCATGTTGAAATTGGAATTTTAGTCTTTCGCTCCTATCTGACCTGACTGATTTCAAATTTATTTGATCACATATAGTTTTTGGCATGTACAATAAAAATAAAACAGTATAAAAAAATAAAACAAAAAAAAAACTTGTCATTTTTCAGATCATGGTGATGGTTTGCAGCATTGGGTACATTTTGCTACTGTTGGTAAGTTGGAAATAATTTTTATAGCCTAAGTCAAACATTTTGGCAGAATCATGGTCTGTGACTACATCCTTTTGATGTTGCAGAACCACGGTTGCTAAGTTGTTCGGATGGGCTGAAAAGTCTGAGGTCCCTTGTATACATTCATTGATGTGCTCGTAAAAGATCACTTAAAGTTGGAATACGATATGAGTGCTGCTGCCCAAGCAAAATTTTCATCATAGCACTCGTGTAGCCCAGTATAGGAGTAGGATGTTAAAACCCCATTTCATTTGATGCCGTTGCTTTATTCAATCACTTTTTTGGGGGGCCATGTATTACTGACTATGGTTATTCCACGATAGATGGCCGAGCCCCTATAGTGTCCATAATGATGATTTAATTGTAGAACTGTAACAATTGATGTCAGAGTTGTGTATTAGCTCTAACTGAATGGACATGCATATAATTGTAGTATGTCAAATAGCTTGGCATAATAATATTTGTAAAATGGGGAAAATTTTCATATTGTAAAAAAATATATACTTGCCAATTAGGAGTGTAAAAGGGCTAGTGGTAAATGATAAGGCCATCTCAATATTTCATCCTAGGTCTCGAGATGTAAATAGGGCTAGTACTAATCCCAACCCTGGACCTAGCCCCAATGCTTGCCCTAACCCTATCCTACAATCTCGCCAACTATCACGTGCCTTAACCTTGTTTACTTCTCAACGACCATGACAACAATTGAGCTGTGTAAAAGTAAACTAAATATAAAAGGGCATACAAAGATATTCATTAAACTGAGTATATAAATTCTGTGTTCTCGCTTAATTGTAAATTTCTTTTTCTATCCGAAATATTTCTTTTGGGTGCAAGGGGTGTTAATTATTTTAGATAGTAAGCATGCCTTGTGTATGATGCCTATTTCAAATTGTACCCAGCAACAAAATCCGACAAATTTATATTAAACTAATATTAATAACTGGGGTTTCTGAACACCCAAGTTGAAACTATATTCAATTCCAATAATCTGTTAGTAGTGCCAGATATGCCATTTCTCATTTATTTGGTGTATTTACATAGTAAAATCAAAAGGGTTAAAATTTAAAACGTCATCCAAGCAACGTCCATTTCCAACCAAACATTACATGCCTAGTCTGATAACTAATGTCCTTTGATGAATTTACTGGTCAACCATTGTCCTTTGATGAATTAACTATCAACTAATGTCCTTTGATGAATTGACTGATCAACCAATGTCCTTTGATGAATTGACTGATCAACCAATGTCCTTTGATGAATTAACTATCAACCAATGTCCTTTGATGAATCAACTATCAACCAATGTCCTTTTGATGAATTGACTATCAACCAATGTCCTTTGATGAATTGACTATCAACCAATGTCCTTTGATGAATTGACTATCAACCAATGTCCTTTGATGAATTGACTATCAACCAATGTCCTTTGATGAATTACCAATGTCCTTTGATGAATTACCAATGTCCTTTGATGAATTAACTATCGATTGATGAATTAACTATCAACCAATGTCCTTTGATGAATCAATTATTGATCTCTCTCTGAATAAAATGAGGATTAATATGTTCTGAGGACCAGATGTACACAGATTTTACAATACAGCAAAATCAACAATCCAATGTTTTGAAGATTCTGTTGTAATTTTGACAGTAGCTCGGACCAGTTTTATTTGCATTTGGGGGCTTGGATGGCGGAATGGTTAGCGCGTTTTCGCTCTGTAAGGTCTGTCATTGAGTCAATTGGCCTAGTTTCGATTCCCTGGTTATACATGACGAGGAGTAAGGTCACCTGTCCAACCTCGTGGGTTTTCTCTGCGTCCTCCGGTTTCCTCATTCTTAACGACTCCTATGTGCAAGCGAATTACTGAAATAAAATTGAATCATGTTAGTCCCAAAATGACCTAGTTTGTGTCGAGTGGACGTTAAACCCCATTTCTTTTTGGTTGCACTTGTCTGCTGTTGATCAGTGCTGTCTTCTGTTCGTCCAGTTTGTGCAGAAAGTAGGTTGACCATTATCTGCTGAGTTTGATTATGTACTTGTTTGAAAAATGTGCCTATTGGTATAAACTTGATGAGTTCAAGCCTACTTCAATCATGATTAACTTCAATTTTGGATTGTCTGTATTCAATCAACTATTTATTAGTTTCTGCCCATTTCCACTTTAGTTTTCTCTGTGATGATACAATGGAATTACCGTTTGATTCAAATGAAACAGTTTCCATGGCTGCTTTTATATCTGAGAGATAAAAAAAAAAAAAATAAAAAAAATCATTTTTGTAATGCCTTTCGTGATTTCTTTTTGACTCTTTGTATTTGATATTTCAGACTTTTTTGGCTGCAAGTCTTCAAATAGGTTAGTATTTTTAATATGGTGATATAAGAATTTGTGCTTTCCTGCATTTTCATTTCTTGATGTTTGCTTTAAAGCAGTAAATGATGTAAAACACTATAATGGGAATCTCTCTGAAATCTGTGATCGAGATAAATTTCTGATACTGCTTACTTTATCAATAATAGTTAAAATACATTATGGGAGATTAGATAAAGGGAATAAGCTGAATTTCAGTCAAATTGCTCCACACTGAACCAAGATATTGGCTTTTGAATTTTAGGCTAGCCTTGATCATTATTAAAATAGGTCTGCTAAAAAAGTCATGATTATCCATTTCAACGTTTTATTCTTCACAAAAAGTATTCCAATCTGTTAAAATATCGCAGGCTAGCTATGACATCAAGAGTTATGGTCTGGATAAGTTAATGCCTAAGTCTGAAGAAAGACCTGCAATAGTCAGAATTTGCTCTTGCACAATGTGTGTTTTAAGACCTACATCTTAATTGAACTGTTAATGTTCTTTTTCTGGGATCCTCCCACAACACTAATATGTGCTATTGAATCGCGATTTTCGTGACGCATCCAAAATCACCTAGCTTGAGTAGATGTTAAACTTGCAAGTTTCAAAATGACTTTTCCTCGGGGACATTGAATCGTTTAGAATATTTATTTAATATTAGAATGGTTAATTGCTTCAATTTTGGGCCATTTGGAACATTTGTTTGATTCTAATAAACTTGACTAAGTAATGAGTATTTCTACTGGGTAAAGCATAGTGAAAATCTGATTCTCTGTACTTCATAACAAGATAAATATATACAGGTAATTAAATGAGTAATTTTTGGATTAAGGCCTACAAATGGCCTCACTGTAGGCTCAAGACAATTTCTGAATCCTGCTAAAGTCCTATGATGAAAACATTGAACTCTCTCCCTGAGAGGAATGAAGACAGCAATAGCTGAGGACTTTGTGTATTTGTAATTCATATTTTAATGTTAATAAAAATACATGTATAATATAAATATCCTGTATTTTTCAGTTAATGTGCATTGTTCAAGATCTGTGTGGATATGAAAAAAAGTATAAATCTGTAAGTATATATAAAAAAAACCTTGTAATTGGAGATTTGTTTTCTTGTGATGATACATTGGAATTACCGTTTGATTTAAATGAAACTGTTTCCATGGCTGCTTTTATATCTGAAGAATTTAAATCAGAAATGTTTCGTGTTCAATGCATTGACACGCTGGCAAGGCAATCCTGTCGATTAAAACTGGCTTTTTATATGCACACATTTCCAGGTGGATGCATTATGTAGTTGCCACAATTTGATTTCGTTAACTTTACTGTATGTTAAGGATCAAATATTTTGGATGACTTCGATTTTGGTGCAATTCGGACCTTCCATTGAGTTGTCTCCATGCTTTTAGTAAAATTTTAAATATTTGTACAAATTTAGTGGACCGCCAAAATGCTTGTTGAATTTATTGGATTTATTTTAAATTTGTTATGTAGCATTCGGGTCATGAGGACGAATCTTATACTCCATGTATTGTAAAATGTATGCGTATCTTGAATGGCATCTGTTGGTTATTTATAGGCAGTATGTAAAAAGGTTTTAAAGCTTGAAATTACAAAGGTTTTTTTTGATTTGTGTGAATTTCTCTAGTCCTAGTAGATATATTATCCATTTGTTAGAAATATTAAGGTTTTCATTGTTTGGACTAACATATATTCAGATAGTTGGTGTCGGGGCTGAGAGTTGTTTGTGTAGATTAAACAGATTGATTTGTTGATTCCTTGGAACACAAAGTTTAATTCTGATTGAGATTGAAAGGTTTATTGAGGCTTTGGAACACTAACTTTAATTCTGATTGAGTGAGATTGAAACTCCTGTTACATCAACACTTTGATAATGGGTCATATAAACTGAAGTTAAGAAATGATGATTGATACCGCCCCAGTCTGATGAACTGACATTTTACCATGACTGATTCGGTTTACAAACTGATCTTAAAATAATAAATGAATATAAAATTAAAATAATTTTTACACTGGTACATAATATTTAAATTTATATATTTGTTTTCAGTGAAAGGTTTATATATGAAGTAAAGATTTTATAAAAATGGTTATTTCTAAACTTCAGGTAAAAAAAAAGTTTGTTTTCATTATGAATATTGTTGTCTACTTGACAGTTCATTTATTATTAAGTGTACTATTTCACGGCATGCATGTTTTCACTTGATGCAAAGATAGAATATTTGTAATAAGATGGATTATCAATTAAATTGTTGACTGATAAATACACTGTTAGGTTTATAGTTCATATAACATATCCGTTAAAGGCTCATCTGGGAGAATATACACATGACTTAAGATCAATGCCAACAAGCACTGTTCCAGGTATTCTTCCACCCACTACTTTTACAACACAGCAGTTCTATGGATAACAATCACTATATTGAATACACACGATGTTTTGGTCGTTATCAAGCATACAAATTTACAAATACAGATACATTGAAAACAGTAACCATAACTTAACAATCTTATATACACACGACAATTTGACACAAGATTTCAATTTACAAATGAGGAAAAATACGAAAGCGTGTGTGTATATATAGGTAAATTCAACAGAAACAAAGGTTGCATGAACATCCATACTTCACCTCACATTTTCAGATTTCATTACTACTATAGTAAGAAGTTAATTTGAAGTCGTGAAAATTTTAAAGTTAGGAAATGATGATTGATACCGCCCCAGTCTGATAGAACTGACATTTTACCATGACTGATTCGGTTTACAAACTGATCTTAAAAATAATAAATGAATTTGAAATAAAATGAGATTTATACACAGTATGGGTTTCAAATGTTATATAATTTATTTAGACATTTATTCACATGACAAGCCTGGGTAATCTTCCTGCTTATCAGATGGCCGAAATTTAAATAAATTTGAACACCTACAATATTTAAAAATTTAACAAGAAAAGGGATAATTTGAACTTACGCCTTTTGTTGTCAAGTACCATTGCTACGATAATTTATTAGGAGATAACACTTCCTGTTACGTATTTAGAGGGGGTTTATTGTCCATTTAACCATGCTTGAATCATTAGAACATTGTAAAATTTGCCTTGATAATTTAGAGGGGTTTTATTGTCCATTTGACCAATCAGAATAAAGGACATTTCTAATTTGTGCTACAAAAAACAATCTCTGCTAAAAATAAAAAGCAATTAGCATAAAGTTAAAAATGTCTCAAGTATTTGACAGTGGGCTAAAAAAATAAGCATATAGCTTCCCATTGACTTTTTACTATTGATAAATTCTACACTAATGAAATCTTTGATAGTGTACATTAGATGGAGGGGGGGGGGTGTTTACGATTTCTAGAACTGGACACCATTTATTATCTGGTATGTGTCGATGAATTCTGTTTAGATGGCTAGATTGATATAATTATACCAAGTGTAGTTTTCTTGTGATGATACAATGGAATTACCGTTTGATTTAAATGAAACATTTTCCATGGCTGCTTTTATATCTGAAGAAAACTGATACAAAATTCTGACATTTAAATTTAACATGAGCTCTGTAGTTCTTAAATAGGTTCATGTAGGATAGTTCAGGTATCTATCAACTGGAATACTTCCATGGAAAAAGGAAATTCAGTTCATGATCTTTTTGCCAAATATTAAAGATAATTGATAGGAGGAAAGATTTACGCGATTATTCAAACTTTATTATGCTAAAACATAAATAATATCTCCTTAGTCTATACAGCAATCAGTTCTCTTGAACAAATAACTACGTGTACAATACATAATTTATTTGGATTGGGTAAACTAGCTATAAAGCTTACATTAATCGTCCGCAGTCACTTTAGTTTACTCTTGCCATTAATGTACATTGAACATGCATGCATTTTAAAGTATTGAAATGAATTAAATATTTGGGTCCTTGGAAACTTTCCATAGGGACCTGGTTAATGTTATCAGCCCCAGTTTAGCAGAGAATCGGTTGCGAAAGGGTTAACGTTGGCCTTAATTACATGAACAATTCTTCAATTTAAAGTTAAGAAGTGATGATTGATACCGCCCCAGTCTGATGAACTGACATTTTACCATGACTGATTCGGTTTACAAACTGATCTTACAAATATCATTTCTTGATAGATGAATTATTCTGAATCTGCCTAATGCAGATCTTTTGGCCCATGATCAACTCTAGGACTTCATGTAGTTTTGATTTTCAACAGATTTAAATAGGATTTAATTTAAAAATGGATAGTCGACACTGTTTATCATAACAAGGGTAGCAATAACAATTGAGACTACAAAGTTCTGCGGACGACGATAACTCGACTCAGAATGAAGTAATTTGAATGAAATTTTCAGCATATTCCCTTCATTAGCGAAAACTGTCGGTTCTTTATATAATTCTTATATAATGCATCTTTTAATAAACTCTTCTTTTTGTAGATTTTAGACAAGATTTAGAAATTATCTGTATGAAGTTAAAGGAGCATCAGGTTTGTAAAATTTATATAATATAAATATTTTAAAATTAATGATAAATGTGTGGAGTTTTAAGATAAGAAAAAAAGCTCCACCGCCCCTTTACAGATAAAATAGTTGATATAATAATGTAAAACTTGATAAATGATGAATTTTCAGATAGGGACATATGAATTACATGATTCTTTATCTTTTTCTGATTCAAGTTTTACAATACTTGTCACTTCTTAATAAACAGGCTAATTACATATTCTACATGATCAGTGGTCAGCCTTAAGCAGATATCTCAACAATGTAAATGTCTAAAATTTCACATAAATTGATTTAGGGTGACTAAAAAAAAAAAAAAGTATCGGTGATAATGTCTTTAAATCGAAACGTGAATTGATACTATTCAAATTACTGGCCTGGTAGATACTTCTTTTTGATTCCCAGTGACCATATTGGAAGTAATCAGACCTTGAGACCCCAATCATACTTGACTAAGATAAGTTGTCAATTAGATCCATGCCAAACAATGATCAGAAAGCTTTCCAATTCAAACCGATTCAGAGAACTAGCTCTTCCCCCGCCCAATCCCTGATTGTCAACTTGTGTAAGTAATTTCACACCATTGGCATAGAAAGAGATGGGAGAATAGGCGTGACATTCACCTTGTGACTCCCTGGTAACATTATTTTGGTACGACTATCCCCATAAAAATTATGTCAACATTCCCCAAAACACATAAGATCAAGTTTTGGTAACCTCAATTGTCACATCACTGGTTTATCTTGATTATAATGAAAATGATGAAAGTATAGATATTGATGTCTGGACCTCTGAGAGTAACTTGATGTTTTCTACTTTCTGATTTTATGGCTCAAGATTTTGTTTTGTTTCAAGTTTAGTTTTGTCTCCTCACAGAAACCTTGCATTTCTTCTGATATTAAATGTTGAAAGTATTGTAGTTTTTGTCTCTTCTTCACAGAAAACTTGCATTTCTTCTGATATTAAATGTTGAAAGTATTGTAGTTTTCAAGGGATTCCTATAGCGCTAAAATGATACATCTACCCTTTAAATGGTGTCTATGCTTAGTCATACTGTTTATATACTCAGTTACAAAAGAACACTAGCCACGTTTATAGGAAACCAAGTATTAAACTAGATTCCTGATTGGGCGGGGGTATTGTATGCCTGAATGTTTAGTGCATGTGCGTTGCATCATGTCTGTCATTGAGTCATCTGGCGTGGTTTAGATTCCTCGGTTGGACGTGACAAGGAGTAGGGTCATCTGTGCAACCACGTGGGTTTTTCTTGGGTTTGCTCCAATTGCTAAAGACCCCTGCACGCTAGCAAATTATTGAAATAAAATTGAACCATGTTGGTCCCAAGATGACCTAGTTTGTGTCGAGGGGACGTTAAACCCCTTATCTCTGTAGATCCCTGATTGAACCCTTACTATTGTCTGTATATGCTCTGGTAGAAACTAGCTTCACCTTGCATCATCAAGTGAGAAGACAGAACTAAGTAGTTATGATGTGCATATTGATTTCTGTACTATTTGATGAATCGGCAGTCCCATCTGAACTGATCTTGACTCTTTTAACAAAAAAAATCTTACAAATTATCATTTCTTGATAGAAGATGAATTATTCAAGAGCTAAATCGGCCTAATGCAGATCTATTGACCCATAATCAACTCGAGAACTTCGAATGGTTTTGATTTTCAACAGATTTAAATAAGATTGGCAGTTAATGATTTATCGTAACCTATTCCCTTTCATTATGGCGAGAACGGTTGGCTCTGCTCTTTATGTAAATCTTACATCGTGCAATAATGCATCTTTTAATAAACTGTTCTTTTTGTAGGTTTTAGACAAGATTAAAAAATCAGTATGAAGTTAGAAGAGCATCAGGTTTGTAAAATATATATAATATAGATATTTAAAAAAAGCATAACTGGCGATTTCGGCGTTCATCGTATATTATCTTCACAAAACGTTTTCGCCTCGTGGAGCTCCTCAGTGTGTATACAATGTCTATAATATGGTAACTGTATTATGACGTCATTTTCTAATTGTTATATTATGACGCCTTAAATAGCTTAAAGGGACATAATTAGCCATAATCTTGAAAGCTGTTCAATTTTAACGATCGATTCCGAGAACTAGGTCCTTCACTGCCCAATCCCTGATTCAAACTGAAGTAAGTTTATGGACTATCTGCTGAATCGTAACATTGTCTGATATGTTGTGTAAAGCGGCAGACACACGAGGCAAATTCTCAGACCAGCCAGTTCCATCACCTTTCATATCACATGATTAAACACGACGGCAACCAAAAAAAAAAGGAAAAAATGCAGTGCAGGGATTTTTTAAATTTTACACAATCGAGGTTGATAAGTTTAAGTAACCTTGATTGTCACAATCACAGGTTTATTTTAATTATGGGTCGATGAAAATGATGAAAGTATAGATATTGATGTCTGGACCTCTGAGAGTAACTTGATGTTTTCTACTTACTGATTCTATGGCTCAAGATTTTGTTTTGTTTAAGTTTGATAATATTTAGAACAGTCTTTAAGTATAAAATATAAACGGTCTTTTGAAACCATCATACATACTATTTCATTAAATTTATACAATTTGAGAATATATACATTCAGCATCGTCAAACAAATTCTGATTGGATCAGAATACATAAAACAGCAGGAACAAAAATAAAACTTGGTATTTAAAACCATTCAGAGGTCGCAGTCACACAAAAATAAAAATGGCATTTAAAACCATACATGACCACTTTTCTGATTAGTTTCATGAAATTTTCATTTTCAAAGAAACAAATTTAAAGGCTTAATGTGTCATTTGCATTTTTGTAAAAATATAAAATTTCTCACTTGTTAATCCATGCTATATATGTACTCGGATTAACATTTTTGGGACTGATAATTGTATTAGAGATTAAATGTTCACAATATTGTAGTTTTCAAGGGATTCCTATAGCGCTAAATGATGCATTTAGCCCTTAAATGGTGTCTACGCTTAGTCATACTGTTTATATACTCAGTTATAAAAGAACACTAGCCACATTTATAGGAAACCAAGTATTAAACTAGATTCCTGATTGAACCCTTTCTATTGTCTGTATATGCTTCTAGTAGAAACTAGCTTCACCTTGCATCATGAAGACACGAACTAAGTAGTGATGATGTGCATATTGATTTCTGTAATATTTGATGAATCAGCAGTCCCATCTGAACTTAGTTTTTTTTATCTCTTTGATTTGATTAAAAGCTGAATTCTGATTACAAAACTACAGAAATAATTAAATAAAAAATTAATACCTTAAACAATCGCCATACTTGTTTTCAATTTGTAGAACAAACATGGCAATTGCTTACGGCATACAAAGAGGCAGGCCACGACCACATCCACTATATATGCAGTGTCCATCCCCAGCTATTTAGTCGATTACCAATTATCTATCTTTTCATTTAATTATTTCTGTAGTTTTGTAATCAATTGGCAAACAAGTGACAAAAATATAATGCTACAAAATAAAACTAAATCTAAATTTTTATTGGCTGATCTTTGAAAATGTAACACAAATTATAACTCTTTTCTTGACTGTACAAGGGTTGATTCAAGTATAAAATGCATGATTTGTGTCTGTATAATGGATTTTGTAAAGATCTAGCTAAAACATTCTATGGATGTAATACATTAGTGTTTTGTAATGCTGATGGGGGGAGCACTGGTGGCTCGGTAATTTGCTTCTACTGACCAGATCTCTGGTTCAATCCCAGTATTGGTCGAGAAGTCCTCAAGGATCATCCAGTTTGGTTCCCATCCCCTCCCTCCCCCAGCCCCCCTCCTGTCGGTGGTTGAAGACCGAGGGCTTGTTAAAGAAGTGTTTTAGTCTTTTTAGATGGGTAGAAAGTTGAGGTCATTAAATTATTTTCACCACATCCCTACGAGTATAGGCCTTTGTATAACATGCTTATTTTTGCACAGGTTCCCTTGGATATAAATTTGTCACAAGCTTTAGAAGTTATTTTAAACAGTTTCTTTCGATTTCTGAGCACTTTTTGCCGTTCAGTTTTACCATATTAAAACAAGAACCTTTCCCTAAGTGCAAAATTAATTTTATTTTTTGTTGTGAAAAAAAATCAAAATGGATTTTGAGTAGCTTCAGAAATAAAGACAAGATCGAGTATTACCTCAATTGGGTGGGTGAGGCAGGGTGGCTTAGTAAGGGGCCGACTCGCTAATCATGGGGTCCAACATTTGACCCCAGTCTTAGCCAAAGTTTCTCGGGATGTTCTGGCTTGGATTTACCTTGTTAGTAGTACAAGATCTTGCAAGAAACGGTGTTAAATCTTTTAATGGTGTAAATAATCGAGTTCTGTGAACACATTGGTGTGACCGTAAGCTGTTGACATTTGGAGTTTGACGTTAAAAAGTGTTTTTTCTCGCCAAAATTTCTTACATGACATATGCCTGTCTTTATTAGCCCAGATGGTGTAGGATCCACCCTGGCTCAGTGAGTCAGATGTTGACTCCCTAACCTGGAGGTCAAGTGTTGTCAATCCCGGTGTTGGCTGAGCGAGTTAATCAGGATTTCCGAGATTGATTCCCCCTCGGTCAGTGGTGTATGACAGAGGGCCAGATAAGGAAGTGACTTAGTCTTTCAGATGGAATGGAAAGCCAAGGTCATTCAATTAATCCCTACCAGTAATTGGTCTTTACAAATTTTAGTAATTCTGTGCTTATTTGCATATTTACGAGGCATGTAGTACTTGACCCCACTATACCTTTATTGTGTGATAAAGTGAAGGGCTTGGTGAAAAAAGGTTTTACAAGCTTTCAAGTTATTTTCAATGTTTTTTCTTGACATTTCTCGATTTCAGCACTTTTTGCCGTTCAGTTTTACCTTATTAAAACCAGAACCTTTCCCTAAGTGCAAAATTAATTATATTTTTGTTGTGAAAAAAATCAAAATGGATTTTGAGTAACTTCAGAAGTAAAGACAAGATTGTGGATTAAATCAATTGGATAGGACAGTTCAGTAAGGTGCTGGTTGATAACCATAAGGTCCCAAGTTCGATCCCATGTACACATAAAAGGACCTTTGACTGGAATTGGACGAGTAGGGCATAGTGCTGCTCCACTGGCAAAATTTCTGTTTTTTCATTAGCTCAGTCATTTCATTCATTGCTTATTTCAATTAACATTAATACTTATTTCTGTTGATTTCCAGAGCTCGGGTTTCTGACGATTAAATAAAATGGACATGGTATGTTTTAGAATCAACATCAGGTAAAATGATTTAAACATACCTGCTTTGTTTTAATGAATACTCCTTCTGAATCTGGGCAAGGGAACATCATTTAGATGTAAACCCTAATCTTCAGAAGGTAGATTAAAACTGACAGTATTAATCCCAGCTAGTATAATATATAACAATAGCTGTTTCATGGCTGTCAGACATTCTGAAAATCAACAAAAACACATACTTATGGGAGGAAAACTGCTACTAGAGTATTTTAAGGCGACTATTCAAAGAGTATTCTCAATGTTCTTAGCTTAGAGATATAAAAATAGATTCTCAATGAGAATGAAATGTTAAAATGAGTTGAATTCAAAAGATTATACAGTAACATTTCTGATCAAAAAAAGTTGTATATTAGAATCTACCCTTTCTGTTTTCCACAATTGTTAGAAATTTATACTATTTACTTTAATAAGACAAAACCCATGATTTTGAACAATTACCTTTTTTATCAGTTATGTCACTAGATTAAAGTGGACCATTCAATTCAATTTAAATGTTTTATATCAGGAATGTTAAAACTAGGAGGAATTAGAAGACAATAAATACTTCATGGATTGTAACAATTGATCAGGATTTTTGTCTCCATTACAAATAACATGATTAATACATGTACATGTATGCTACCTCCTTTTTATGGTTTTCTCAGATGACTTGGCTTGTGTGGGTTCATGTCTTTAGTCAGGATTTTAGTTTTAAGATTTTGATAAGAGGGATCACGTGGCTAAGTGTAAGATGCTGGCTCACTAGCCTGGAGGTCAGGTGTTCGATCCCTGCATTGGCCGAGAAAGTTCATCCAGATTTTCCAGCGTGGTTCCCCCTTGTCAGTGATGCAGGACGGAAAGCCTGACAAGGACAGCTGTCTAGTTCTTTGGATGAGACGAAAAACCGGGGTCCCGTATATATAGGAATGCAGGTAAAAGATCCCCTGGCAGTTGGAATTCGATATAAGAGTAGGCCGTAGTGTTGCTGTCCGGGCAAAATTTCCCTCATAGCACACTGTATTGTGTATGCCTGTCTTCATTAGCCCAGTTCAGAGCAGAACAGTAGGACATTAAATCCCATTTCATTACTTGAAAGTGTTAGGAGTTTGTAAGGAAACTCAATTTAAGATTTGTTGGTACCCAATTGTTTAAGTTATGAGGAGGGTATTCTAGATCACTTCATGCCACTTGTTTGATGCAACAAAAGGCAAAACCTCGATTGTAAATTTGTAATAGATGAAATTAGTCAGAAAGGTTGTTGTTCATATAACCAGCTAGAATAGGCAAATATATGTGTATGTTGGTAAAATGATGATAAAGTGGATGAAACATCAGACTTTGCTGGTGACATTCTCCATGCTGCTCTCCTTCTGATACCATCATATATCTAAATTCTTTGATAATATTTACTCTGGATTTCAAAATGTTTTCAGTAAAGATTATGTTGGTACAATTTGTTGATTTGGTAGACATGCATGTAAATTTTAAGATTAGTTGGTAACCGTTTCAGTTTTGTCAACCATGCCAGGAAGTTAAGGTTTCTTAGCTGTTTGAAATTCAATTGTGCAATAAAGTTCTTTTAGTGCAATACATACCATTTCTTTGAGATTTTTTGGGGTAGCCAGTGGCTAAGTAATTAAGATGCTGTCTGACCAGCCTGGAGGTCGCAGGTTCGCTCTTTGTGTTGGCAGAGAAAGTTATTCAGGATTTTCCAGTGTGGTTTCCCCGTGTCGGTGGTGCAAGATGGAGTGCCTGACAAGGACAGCTGTCTAGTTGTTTTGATGGGATGAAAAAGCAAGGCCTGGTGTGTGCATAACAGACCCCTTAGCAGTTGGAATTCAATATAGGAGTAGGCCGTAGTGCCACATTTTAGGCAAAATTTCACTCGTAGCACAGTGCATGGCATATGTCAGTCTTTATTGGTCCAGTCGAGTAAGACGTTAAACCGCATTTCATTTCTTTGAGGTTAATTGAAGTTTACTGTAGAGGGATAGGGTCTGACATAGGCATTTTGCCTGTTCCCCTAATTTCCCATTCATTTATAGTGAATAAAATGTCTTTAAAAAAAAAATATTGATAGAAAATGTTGGTAAAATGATGATAAAGTGGATGAAACATCAGACTTGACTGGTGACACTTTCCATGCTGCTCTCCTTCTGATGCCATCATTTATCAAACATTGCTTTATCTCCTACATAATTCATGCCAGTCTACAATACTACGATATTTTATATATTTCAGGTAGACCTAGTCTGTACTGAACAGAGGTGGTTACGTGTTCGTGATGTAAGTGGATCATTTGCTTGTAAATAATAAAAAGATTGGTTTTCTTGTGATGATACAATGGAATTACCGTTTGATTTAAATGAAACATTTTCCATGGCTGCTTTTATATCTGAAGAAAACTAATACAAAAATTAAAATGATAAACTGGTAAGGGTCAATAGCATTGAGTTTCTAAAGCATGCTGGCTCCCTAGCCTGGATTCGGGTGTTCAATCCCTGCATTGGCCGAGAAAGTTCATCCAGATTGTCCAGCGTGGTTCCCCCTTGTCAATGATGCAGTACGGAGGGCCTGACAAGGACAGCTAAATAGTTGTTGGTATGGTACGGAAAATCGAAGTCCTGTGTAGATGATCCCTTGATTCAATAGAAGGGTAGACCCGGTCCGGGCAACATTTCCCTCAAAGCGCACTGTATGACGTATGCCTGTCTTCATTAGCCCAGTTTGGAGCAGAACATTAGGACTCTAAACCCCATTTCATTTCTAAAGTAGAAAAAATTGTTTAGTCGGCCTTTTACCGTACTAAATGTTCACTGAAATTAAACAATAAATATTGTCACTGTGTTTGTCCTTTATTTCACTGTTTATGTATTTCAATGTTTACAATTAAAAATATTTTTTATCCTTCTGAATCTGGGCAAGGGAACATACATTTAGATGTAAACCCTAATCTTCCGAAGGTAGATTAAAACTGACAGTATTAATCCCAGCTAGTATAATATATAACAATAGCTGTTTCATGGCTGTCAGACATTTTGAACAAAATATTTGTCTTACTGATAAACCATGGTTATTATATTGAACTGAACTAACTTCAAATCTCTAAATTAATATTGTCTAACCCCTAATTAGATTTGAGGGTAGGTTAGACTGGATAGAATACAAATATAATAACTTAATAATTCAAGTCCATGGGTATATCTTTGTCAATCTTTTGTCGGGGATTGGATGGCCAAATGTTTAGCGTGTGCGCACTATATTGTAAGGTCTGTCATCGAGTCAACTGGCGTGGTTTTGATTGCCAGGTTGTACCTGACGAGTGAGTAGGGACCCCAGTCAACCTCGTGTTTTCACCATTTCCCCCCACTGCTAAAGACCTGTAGGCGCATTTTTATTCTAATTATTGAAATAAAATTGAACCGTGTTAGCCCCAAAATGACAGTTTGTGTCTGGTGGATGTTAAACCCCATTTATTTCTGTGTCCATTTGTTACTAAAAGTAAACAGAAGTTAAGAAATGATGATTGATACCGCCCCAGTCTGATGAACTGACATTTTACCATGACTGATTCGGTTTACAAACTGATCTTAACTTTATTTACATATAAAATAACGTAGTACATTATTTAGTAGGGAACCATACTTAATAGGGTGGGGGGGGAGGCTCCAGATATAAGTAAACTGTAATAGATTAAACTATTAAACATCAACATTTGTCTGACAAATTTTGCAGCATTCCTTCATCTATATCCATTATCAGCAGTGATAATAGTATCCTACTAGTTTAACACAGGACACATTTATATGGAATACACTTGCAAGTTACTTGAAGGAATTATTCCAGTGACATTTCCAAGAGGATTCTCACTTATTTATCGCTGAACTAAATCATTTAAGTAACTTGTAATTGTGTCTTGTAGTATTCTCATCCAGTTAATGCCACTTAAACAATTTATCCTACTAGTTGTAGCCAAGTTATTACGGTGTTGTATAGAACAGTTTTATTACTGGAATGTAGATCAGTGTTATTTTAAGTCAAGTTATTAGTAACTGTGAGGTATAGAACAGTTTTATTACTGGAATGTAGTAGAGACCAGTGTTATTTAACCAACTATTGTTCTCACTATATTCTGGTTGTGGATTCTGTAAAAGTCATCAAAAATTAACCCCGTTTAGCAAGCCAAGGGTCAGAAGAAAATCAAAGGAACAGGTTGTCGACCAGTGTAAGTGTTATGGATCAAAGGTACAGGTTGTCGACCGTACGTAACTAACGTACGAAAATTAAATGGTTGCTGGCTTTTTTTCGCACGTATACAGTGAATGGCCATTTTGCTCAGTAATCCCAGCCAGAATTTGGCTATTTTTTTAAAATTGCGTTAAAGTTTTAAATTTTTGTTTAGAACTGAAATAAATTAACTTTTAGTCAATCCCCACGCTAAAAACATTAACAGAATTGATTGTGTATATCTGAAATAGACACGACCGAAGCACAAAATAGTGCCAATATGCCGACGTCAAATCTAGAGTTGTAGATGTTATTTTTGTGAAAAATCATTGGAAGAAGCGATAAGACGTTCTGTACGGATTATACAGTCCTAAAGTCTGCAAGAAGGCTATTGTTTACAATTTAACATTGTCTTGTACTGTTGATAATGATCATAATGGTGTTTACATTTTGTTTGTTGATATTACCTGTGACGTTTAGATAACGTCATATGCATATCACGGCTATTCACTGTGTCAGTCACTTCTCTGCAGGTAGGGTGAGTCTGTCGTTCAGATGGGTTGTCGACCAGTATAAATGTTGTAAGGATAGAATATATCATCACTTCTATTTCAAACCGGGGATGCACCACATGAAAGTTCACACCATTCATAAAATGTTGTTAAACATACTCTTACTCTTATATTTTCTTCGCCCAGTATGCAGTCGATTCAGACAATTCTGGGAATATTGATATTTAAAATGTGTTGACTGGTATTTAATATCAAAAATGACAAAAATATAGTGATTGACTAAGATAACAATGAGTTAAGTCACAGAAAATGTCCTGGGACCAGTTGTTAAAGATTCGTTAACTTCATGTTTAACGGAAGTGTTGGGCTCCGTAACGATGGCATTAGTCGGTCGTCAGTCGAAGTATTCTCGTCAACATAAGTTAATGGATCGTTATCTTTAAGGCGAGTCTGCTTCATGAAGGCCTGTTAACTTTAACATGTCGTTAACTTGCCGTTATGTGTTACGGAGGTGTTAGACTCCATAACGATGGCATAAGTCGGCGTCAGTCAGTCGAAGTATACCCGTAGCAAAAAGTTATAGATTACCAGTGTAATTTTCTATAGAACATTCTAGAGGATTGGGCTATGGGGGTGCTATTCCATTTTCTATAGGAAGAAATTTTATAGTATGCTGCAGAATTTGGGGGGCCTGTAGGAAATAATGGCCCCAAATATTCAATTTTCCGTAGTGCAAATCCCATTGTTCCTACAGATTTATGCTAAAATTTCTAAGGGAAAAAAAAGTATCATTTGTAGTAAATTCTGCAGTAACTTTTTGTCTTCAATCAAGTTTTGTAAACTTGCTGCACAGTTGCCCCATTGTCTTCCTTAGGGCGGAGCCATCTGATTCAAGAAGGTGCACGATTAAATTGTATAATGTAGTTACTTCCCTTGATAATAGTCGTAACAACTGACATCCAGTTGAATTGCTAGTTATATCCTTATACTGTATAAAATTTATAGGTCTTCAACCATTTCCCGTCCGGTGGGCTACACGTCGAACAACTAATGTTATCTCCCGATTTCCGGTACATGCGCCAGAAAGAACCGGATACATTTCAAAGTTTTAACGAGGTCTATCATCAGCATTGTGTGTTTGTTGGTACCGGTTCTACAGTCTGCTGATCACAGACTGTGACACATTAAGCATGTTGGCTACTGCTCGCTGTGTAGAACCCATTTGAATCATGACAATAGCACGTAGACGTTCATCATGTTGAAGACATCTCATTGCAAATTAAACATAACACACAAAAACAAAGATACGCTTAACAGAAAATCTTATGCTAGAACCGATAGGAAAGCAAACATGGATAGGATAAACCAGCACGCGGCAGTTTTCATCAACCCTCCCTTGAAGTGTCAAATTTGACAATGAAACCCCTCCCACGTGTATAGCGCTATTGCGTGTCGCATTTGCAGCTCTGTGATTCTGTTGGAGCGATAAGTTCTTCATCTGTGAACATAACTCTCAAACCATATCAAGTGTCCATGACTATTTATCATATCGAACCTGCATATGTATTGGCATTTCAATATCCCCGACTTTTTTTTTTGAAGAGTATATATTGAGTTTTGCGGTAATAAAACGGTGTATCAATATTATAGGTTAAAATCTGTATACAATCAAGGTTCCTCTGTATGACGTCCGTCTAAAGTCGGGTTGGTCGGTTATTATGGTGCAACTGTAAATTGTAACATGGATAGGAAATCGTCCTTTGTTCTTTTCGTTGAATAAGCAGATTGTTTTCCCTTTAGAAGACTGGGTGGAGCTTAACCGTGCAATAAATAGACATGTTCAATGTTATTTCACACTTTTGATGGTTTACACTAGTTATAGTAGAAATCATACTTTTGCTGGTTTACACTAGTTTTAGTAGAAATCATACTTTTGCTGGTTTACACTAGTTTTAGTAGAAATCATAGAGAAGTGGGGTGCGTTTTCTGTGCAATAACAATATGCATGTTGAGCAGTTGTCAATGTTACAAGTCATTTATATCACGCTTCATTCGTTAACAGGTTGAACCCCTCGGCCTTCGGCTTCTGGTTGGTTCATTCTCACCCAGCTCAAGACTTAAATAATCATGTTAGCGTGACTAAGGTGTTAATTGGAATTTCTAAAGAAGGATTAACTGTAGTCTGTTTCACATTGGGCACTGTTTATTTCATTAGGTTAAACCTAATAGTAAAACAAAATCACTTGATAATGTTTTATTCAACATTTATTATAGTAAAACATGTTTATTTTAACACTTTTAATGTAAATGGAAAAACTTAATATAAAAAATAAATAACTAAATAGCACTATGAAATGAGCATCAACATTAAAAATATATATTTCATATGGGCAAGTAAACATTTCATACTTTTTACTCTAAATGGACACGATGAGATAATGCATCTACATAAAGCATGATGTCTCTTTGACCATTTCGGAACTGATCTTTCAATGCTTGAAGTCTCTCTTCTAGTTCACGGCAGACTTTCTTCCTTGGCCTGGAAATGCCGTTAGCACTGAGCTGTACAATTCTTATTGTCCCCCGCCTTTCGAAGAAAGCAGGGGACTATTAAAATGGGTTCGTCCGTCCGTCTGTCTGTCTGTCCGTCACACTTTTTGGGACACAATAACTCTCTTCCTAATTGAGCTAGAATGTTCAAACTTGGTGTATGTGTTTATTAGGTCAATGCCTTGATGGAGTTCGAAGATGAGCATTTTCCGCTTAGGGTAAGCAGAGATAAGCAATTTGATTGGTTGATGCTTTGGGACACGATAACTCTCTTCCTAATTGGGCTAGAATGTTCAAACTTGGTGTATGTGTTGATTAGGTTAATGCCTTGATGGAGTTCGAAGATGAGCATTTTCCGCTTAGGGTAAGCAGAGATAAGCAATTTGATTGGTTGATGCTTTGGGACACGATAACTTTTAATTGAGCTAGAATGTTCAAACTTGGTGTATGTGTTTATTAGGTCAATGCCTTGATGGAGTTCGAAGATGAGCATTTTCCGCTTAGGGTAAGCAGAGATAAGCAATTTGATTGGTTGATACTTTGGGGCACG